GCGGACAGCGACGAGTGTTGCGACGAGACACCAGTGGATGGTGTCTTTGACTTTGAGCTCGGGTTCGAGGAGCGGTCCGTCTCGGCGATGGGAGGCGGCTGGGGAGATCGCGACGGGCGGGACGTGTTGGACATTGACGAAGGCGATCGCGAAGCTGGGAAACTGGAGAGTGAAGTCCGACGACTGGGCCAGGGGCCGTTGGGCGGGGGAGGATACTGGTTCTGCGTGTTTGAATAGTTGCGCGTGAGGAACGGCAGCGCAGCTTGAGTTGAAGCCATGCTTGCGAGAGCAATGTTAAATTGCGGAGTCGTTCAACAAGTCGGTAGTTGGGGGGTTCAAGGCGTTGCGCAGGCTGCCGGTAGCCACAGCCATCCAAATTCAGTCGAGAGGTCCGTTCGGGAAGGTGCAGCAAAAGTAGGTTTGTCTCCGATCGAGAAATGCGACGATGGTGGGAGCCCTTTGCTGACAATTACCCAGAACGATTAATGGCTCGCGGCCAACGACATTCGACGGTGATGCTGCGACATTAACAATGGCAATCAAGTGACTCCTTGCCAGGTCGTCGTCGCTGGAATAGGGCAATAGTTGATTGAAGGTCGGGCAGTTCCTTGAAGCCAAAGTGCGAGTCGATGGGCCAGGATGCAAGATACGAGATGGGGGGGGGGGAAAGGGCGGCGACGGAAGGGGAGATGGGTACGAAGTACGAGGGGAGGGAGGACGGAGTTGGCGAGGCGGTATAGTACGTAGTTGTATCTTTAGGTGCAAGGTAAGGTAGTCCAGGAGCGGTATTCGTAAGGTAGTGTAGGCATGCGCGGTAGGTAACCGTATTCAGGTCCAGGGTAATAGCGCGTGGAGGCGTTCTCAGACGATAGCCGAATGCGCTCTTCGAAACGTCAGATGCAGGCGAGTGACTGACATTTACCAGTCTTTGCCAGCGAGCGGAAACAGGATGGCCCCTCGGGCACACAAGGGGGAGAGAGAGCAGGTATATCCTGTCGGAACAGGATGCAGAAAGCGTCAATGCGTGGAAGAGAAAATCACCGAGACATGATCTGCTTCGACGTTTGGTCTGGTCTTCTGGTCTTGCCGGTTTTCGCAGGCTCGCAGGCGTTCTTGGTATCCTTGACTTCTTAAGGTATCCGTACTTCGTAAGTTCGTAGGTAGTACGTACAGAAAGGTTTCTGGGAGTCCCAAACCAGGCAGGACTCCTGACAGGGGACAGTTGATGGTGCGGTGCTTCTTTTTCCTCTTTTTTTTAAAAAATTGTGCAATCCAATTCGATCCCCCACCGGCTCGAATAATGCTCAGCTAAGGCGCGCCGAAGCAAGGTACACACACCTTGGTGCGAACCAAACAGGGCGTCGGATTGAGATGGAGGGGGAGGTCTTGCAGTGTGCCCCTGGATGGATTGCCGCGACAAGGACCTCTGGTTGGTGCTCGACGGATACTGGCAGCCCTCCGCGTGTCGCTCGGGGCTAGTCAAAGGTGACGAGTAGAGCAGCTCGTGGTTACGGATAGATTCAGATTCAGAACTCTTCAGCGCGCGTATCTCGGAGGAGCCAGGGCCAGCTGGTGGGCAATCGACCGACACACAGACGGGCAATCTGTCAGTCAGGTCAGACACTCAGCGCCGCGGGCAGACAGAGAGGGAAGAACAGACACGAGGCGGCCTTACGTTGCTGTTAGTGTGTGGTAGGCAGGTGGTTGACAGTCACCAGCGTAGGCTCTGGATCCGTATCTGTGAGCCAAGTGGGCAGTGTCTGCGAGAAAGCCTTGGACGAATGCGTCAGGAACAATGCTGATCACGGATTCTCAGTGTCCTCTTTTTCTTCCAAAATCCCTCCCGAGTCCCCCTCCTTTTGCGGCTTGCCTACCACCACCACCACCCACCTATTACCAGTGCCACAGTATGGAACTGGAAAGGCACGAAAGGCAGGGCCTTCTTTTCTCGGCAGCCCCCAAGGACCCCCTTGGTCCCCTCCTTCCTCTTCCCCTTTCCACGTTCCCCCCCGCCTTCCCTGTCCTATATGCTTTCCCCTTTTGAGAAAATGGGTGGTCCGAGCTGTCGCCCTCAACCTAAACTGTGCTTAGCGCCCAAGGGACCTTACATGAAACCCATGTGGCTGGAGAGAGGCATTTTGGCAGCTGACGCAGGGAGTTGTGGTCAAGCCACATGTTGACAGCCACACTTTCTCCCCTCCCTGAGGGATGAGGCTCTCCCCTCCCCTTCCCCCCCGGGATTGCCATGCACGGACGGGAGGGTCATGCAAGGCTACGGTTGTCACGGAGAAGACGCCTCTGTTTACTTTCATCTGTCACCCAAAGCCACCCATTGTCTTTGTTCTGGATCAGACCTTTCCACAATTGAACTACAACGCCATTTTAAACCCAACGCAAAACCATTCATCAATACAATACGCTCTATTTGATACTGGTACCGGAAGCGCAACTCGCAATTTCCGCAATTGCTTTTCTTCTTTACATTGCCGTCGCCCACCTACTCTTCTCTCGTACGCTTACCATTCGTTGCCTCTTGGCCCGAATCCCCATATTTCTCATTGTTTACTTCGCTGCCAAGTGGGCGCGCGGCATCACAGATCCAGAGCAAGGCACTCCCTATTTCCCACCCACAGCTGCTCCCGCCCCGAACACCCTTCGATATGGTAGGCTAGGGCCCATTTCGCGCGCGAATCATCAAATTTCTTGGAAAGTCGCATGAATTTTGACCTGAAGAACCCACAGCAGGCAATGCCCGCTGGCTACAAACCTTCCCCACTAGGGCCTCATGGCTCTCCTCGCAGTTCTCCATTCAGAAGACCAGAATCTCCAGCATCGCCTTCAGCAGTGCGCCAGACCTCGACGACCCAAGTAACCCAAGTTACACCTTTCGGCTCGCCCACCAAGGCATCCTACGCTACGAACAACGGACGCTTCGGCAACCCAACCACACCAACAGACACGGCCGAGAGCAAGACACCGCGAGTGCGAACACCAACAGCCGAAACTACCACCATGGCCTCGCCACAGCCTCTGCGGCCGGGTCTGAAGAAGACTATGAGCCACGGGAACGCAATATCGCATCTGCAGCCTGCGCAGGTCAGACAGCTTCGAGAGGGGTTCGAGGTCTTGGATCGCGACAGCGATGGCGTCATCAATAGGGAGGATGTAGCCGACATGCTGAATCAGTTGGGTAAGCATGAAAACCCAAGATACCCAAGATATCAAAGGAGTTCTCTCGGTTAACAGATTTGTAGGCCTACCGTCTAAACCCTCCGACGTAGCACTATTCTTCCCTCCATCAACGCCTCAATCGATGACGATGGCTGCTTTTCTGAATTCCCTTGCTACAATGCTGGCTTCCTTATCACCACAATCCGAGCTGCTGTCTGCTTTCTCGGCGTTCGACGACGACGATAGCGGGCAAATCGACCTCGCGGAGCTACGGGATGCGCTTCTGCACACCGCGCCAGAGCCCGGCGAGCGACCGCTTACAGAAGCCGAGGTTGAGAAGGTAATCGAGGGCTTCACGGGCAGACGAGCTTTCAATCGCAACATGCAAGGCGGTTTGGGCAATCGGCGTGAGGTGTTTAGATACCAGGATTTCGTCAACTCCATCATGGGTAGCAATACGACATCCGAAGCTGCATCGGCTGAGGGATCTGAGGATTGAGCTTAATTCAGGCAAGGTATCCGGCGCATGGGGGATTAATTGATGGTGACGACATGAGCGAAAGGCATGTGGGGACAAACCTCGCAGGCACGAAAGCACAAATATCCGTAAGGATACATGGAAACGAGGATTGACGAACGAGTTTGGACATGACTGTACTTTATTCGCATCAAGCACATAGGAGCACGGTGGTAACAGGTATAATTTCGGCTGGGTTTCACAGCATGGCAGTTTGGTTTCCGTTTAGCGCCGAGTCCACCGAGTAACAACGCGGTACCTTACCGCAGGCATTTGATGTGAATACTGACCTGACAACATGGACGTTGAGGAAAGAAGACATAGGACCGAGATCGGGTGGGCACGACTCCTCGAGCCTCGAGGACATGTCGTGATGTCCAAGCTCGCAAATCGGGACGTGCAATATGGGATTCTCGGTAATGGGAAAGGCTGGGAGACAGGCCCCCGTTGAACGGGCAGTGCATGCACGATGTATGACTTTGGCTTCGACCTGCATGTATGAGAGACGTCGATTGACCCGCTCGCTCCGCTATATTTCTGTAGTTCTGACGATGAGAGCAACGAAATCTGTCAAGAAAGCGGAAATTGTGAACCGGCAAAGAGGGCGGCATGGGCCATTGGTGATGCCATCAGCTCGGTTTGCAGGAGGTTGGGGATTGCTGCAAATCAGCCAGTGCCAGGCCCCCTTCTGCAGAGTGCAGCCTACACTCGCACCCGCAGTTGCAGCACACATATTTCCAAGGGGCGGGCGGTAGTGGCGACTAGGACATGGGTCCTTGGATGGTCAGGTCGCTGCGTGCCAAAATATCCAGGGGACTTTCTGTCTGTTCTCTCACAGAACTGTCAGACTCCAGAGAAAAGAGAGTCTGACTGACCTGGGGCAAGAGGTGACGCCCTCCTCCCACGGTGCAGCAAGTGGTCGGGTGTCATCAGTGACGGCAAGTTGCAACGCTTTCTTCGGGCGGTTCGGCGGACCCCCAAGGAGCCCCAAGGGTTGACAGCGGCCAACGGTCGAGGATGATTCGCTGACTGTGCAGGGTCCCGGGACGGGGCCCCACCGAACCTTCTCGAACCGGCCCGCTGGGTTGCAGCGAAAGAGAAGGAAGAAGTCACCGTTGGTTGCAAACGCCCCGATATGCCGATATTCGTCTGTATCCGAGCCAGACATCAGACGGACAAGACATGAGGTGACGGCAGGTACCTACCTACCTTTGGGCTAACACCGTAGGATTTTAGGCTCTTGCCTTGAGCCAGTTGGGAGCCAATTTCAATGTATTGTTGCCCGTCAACGACCTGATGACATCCGGGTCTTTCTGACCTCTGTTCGTCCCTCCAAATTCAATCCCGTCACTGTAGCTTTTGAGACAGGCCATTTGGGTCCCTGCAAACGCCTTGACGCCATCGCCTTCTGGGGGTCTCGTCTGGAGATGGAGACCCTCTAAATGGAGGCTGAACAGCTCAAGCTCCCCTCTCTCGCGAAACCAGAGTCTAGCCATCATCCTAGTCATTTTCTAGTCATTGAAACCAGGTCCCATATTGGTACAGACATAACGGAATACGGATACATGATACGGATACTCAGACGAACTTCAACCTGGCCCTTGGCAAGTTCGCGAGAGTTCTTGCGCCCAGTTCACCATTGGCCATTGGTGACCGGAAAAAGACAACAAGAAATAGGGTGGCTAGGAGACGACAGGACACCAGGTCAACATTTCAACAACGGTCCAGTGGCGGTCGTCCGACGATCCCCTTCATCCACTGCGGTGCAGGTATCATGGTAAACAAGTTGCGGTCCCAAGCGTACCATTGGCTCCGCGGGGACTGCCAGTAGTCAACGGGAGACGGGACTGGGCCGTTTGGACAAGCTTCTTGTGGGGTTGGGTTTAGTGGCGGGTGACCTTTTTTTTTTGTCTTGGTGCTGGAGGTAAGGTATTAGATGGTGCTGCTTGGTTACATCTACCTCGCATGCAGAGCTCAGCACACGCAGTTGACACGCAGTTCTGCATGTACTCGATACCGAGTTGGGGTTGGCTGCCGTTGGTGATGACCTCTCCCCAATGGGAGCTGCCATATGGCAGTTGCCCAGCAGAGCCGTTATTGTACATCCACGTTTGTGTTTCTCTGCGCTCCTCCTTTTGTGCTGTTCCAGGGGGCGGTTCCTCTGGGCCGGGCAGCTTGTGGGCGTAACTTTCGTACAAGAGGGATACCTTACATTGTACAATTTTTTTTGCATGCCGTGTATGGACTGCTAGCTAGCACATTTTCCACATCACGCATGCCCAGCCCAGCACATGGGCATTTGGACGGGGACCTTGTCCAGTCTCCGTCTCCCCCGTAATCCATAAGGCACTGGACGGATAGGCAGACCAGTCAACAGGCCTGGCAGGTGGGAAAAAAGCAACAAGATGAGGGAACGGTGGAAAAAAATTGTGTGCACAGCTGATAAATCTACACGGGTCCCTCCCCCTGGGGGTGGGAGAGACAGCCACAGCTAAGGCTCGTCTCGCTTGATGAATCCTGGGATTTTCGGTATCTCACCTTTGACCTTTCTTGTCCCCCTGCCTTGGATTACCGAAAGATGACAACAGAAAAGCAACTTTGTGCATCCCGCTCCTAAAGCTTCTTCTTCCTGCTTTGCTTGCACTGTTGCTTGCCTCTTCCTCTCGAAATCTTTCTCTCTCAGAACTCTCTCCACAGATCCCGCCCCCCTCCCCCTCCCTCAACCATCCATCGGCTTTGCCCAAAAGTAACGGATACTTTTTTTGCTCTGCTTCCTCACTCGAAAAGCACCCTGCAGCTTGCGCCGGCTGTATCTCCCCTCCAGTGTCCACTCCAATGGGCTGTGTGTCTTCTCGCCGAGCCTCTTCTCAATAGCCTGGGCTTTCCTTCCTCTTTTCCCTCCCCATCCGCCCTCACCTTACCTTGCCTTCCGAGAGCAGCCAATCCGTCTTCCTCTTCTCTCCAACCTCACTCTCACTCACACCACTTCCTCTTCATCGTTGTATTCGTGGGGGTTCTTCGATACGAACGAACGGACGAACTTGACGACCATCTGCAATCGACTTCCGCACCAGCCGCCTTCTCCCGTATTCATCCATCCGGGTCAAGGCAAGGTTCCGCTGCCTTCCACTGGACGCACCCAAGCAGCACAGAAGAAAAACAAAAGTAGCAGGTGCTTTTTTTCCACCCACTCTTGCCTGCCCACCCTCCTTCACTAGGCCCGTTATTGTGGTTTGGGGAATCTGGTGCACAAGCATAACCTTGCATCGAGGTGTACGGACCCTCCTTACCTAATTAACCAACAAAAAAATAAGCCTGCGCATTCTTTGGTTCCCCTCAGAGGGTGCTTGCTTTATCAATGAAGCTCTTCGCAAAGAAATCGTCCAAGAAGCAAGGCCAGGACGACGACGACAACCACCAAGAATCGAGCTACTTCCCTCCCTCTGAGGCCTCTTCTCCCACAAAGTCGCCCACAAAGCCCCGGTCGCCCACCAAGTCGCCGACGAAATCCCCCACCAAGAAACCCTCCCAGCCTGCATCCCCAGGCCCTCGGGAGACAAAGCCGTCGCGCACATCCCGCACCTTTGGCCGCCACCCCACCGATCCCGGCTCACGAAGGAGCAGCAAAATCGACCTCGACTCTCACCCCCTCAACCTTCCTCCTGAAGAACGTGCAAAGAGACTATCTGCACTTTCAGCCATGAGTGGAAACGCCATGGACATCGACCGTGAGTCGAGCGCGGCGCCTTCTTCGCCTCCTGCTGCTGCTGCTGCTGCTGCTGCACCCCAACCCTCTGCGCAGACTTCCTTCTCTGTCCCCAAGCCAAACGGCATTAACACCAATGTTAACGGCAATGGCGATGCTCCAGCCCCTCCCCCTCACAAGTCCAACCCCTCCAGTCCAGTCCCCACGACTGAGGACGAGGCCGAGGCCTACAAGGCTGCTGGCAACAAGTTCTTCAAGGAGAAGGACTACAAGAATGCCATTCTTCAATACTCCAAGGGTAAGTGTTGCCGATTGCAAATTTCTCTCTGGGCTACAAATTGACAAGTCTACTCCAGCCATCGAGTTGGTCCCCGATTCGGCTACCTATCTGAGCAACCGCGCTGCTGCATACATGTCCAACACCCAGTACGAGTACGCCCTCGATGACTGCACCCGTGCCTCTGACCTGGACCCCGAGAACCCCAAGATCCTCCTCCGACTTGCTCGCATTTACACTAGCCTGGGTCAGCCCCAAGAGGCCCTGCTCGTCTTCGGCCGCATCAACCCTCCTCCCTCGGCCAAGGACCAGGCTCCGGCCAAGGAGATGTCGAAGCATGTCAACGCTGCGCAGAGTGCCCTGAGAGACGGCACCGCTGGATCAATGGTGCTCCACGCCCTTGACCAGGCCGAGCGTCAACTAGGCTTCGGAGCCTCCAGACCCCGCAAGTGGCAACTGATGCGTGGTGAGGCGTACCTCAAGATGGGTACCGTCAACGCTCTTGGCGAGGCACAGAACCTTGCCATGGGCCTGCTGAGAGGCAACAGTCAGGACCCCGAGGCTCTGGTGCTCCGCGGTCGTGCCCTGTACGCCCAGGGCGAGAACGACAAGGCTGTCAGCCACTTCCGCAAGGCCATCAGCTGCGACCCCGACATGCGTGATGCGGTTAAGTACCTCAGAATCGTTCAGAAGCTCGACCGCATGAAGGAGGAGGGTAACTCGGACTACAAGATGGGTCGCTGGCAGTCCGCCATTGAGAAGTACAGCGCCGCGCTTGAGGTTGATCCCGCCAACCGCGGCACCAACTCCAAGATCCTGCAGAACAGAGCGCTATGCAAGATCAAGCTCAAGGAGTACGACGCAGCCATTGCTGACTGCGAGCGCGCCATCAGCCTGGACTCCACATACCTCAAGGCTCGCAAGACCAAGGCCAACGCCTATGGTCAAGCAGGCAAGTGGGAGGATGCTGTCAAGGAGTGGAAGAACATCCAAGAGCTGGATCCCGAGGACCGTAGCATCGCCAAGGAGGTGCGCCGGGCCGAGTTGGAGCTGAAGAAGAGCCAGCGCAAGGACTACTACAAGATCCTCGGGGTTGAGAAGGATGCGGATGACAACCAGATCAAGAAGGCCTACCGCAAGCTTGCTATCATTCACCACCCAGACAAGAACCCCAACGACGAGCAGGCTGCTGAGCGCTTCAAGGATATTGGAGAAGCCTATGAGACCCTGAGTGACTCTCAGTAAGTGGATACGCGTGTTCGTTGCCCAAACATGTGCTAACCCCCGTTTGCAGGAAGCGTGCCAGCTATGACAGCGGCGAAGACCTCATGGACCCTTCCGACATGTTCAGCCACGGTGGTGGCATGGGCGGTATGGGAGGCATGGGCGGCATGCACGGTGGCATCGACCCCGAGATCCTCTTCAACATGATGGGAGGTGGCGGCGGCTTCGGCGGTGGTGGCGGCTTCAATGGAGGCGGCTTCCCCGGCGGAGGTGGTGGTGGTGGTGGTGCGCACTTCAACTTTGCCGAAGGCGGCGGCCGCCCTCGTGGTGGTGGCGGTGCCGGCGGCTTCGGCGGACGCGGTTTCAACTTCTCAACCTGACAATCCGAGGAAGAAGCAGAACTATCCGACGAGTCAGCAAAGTCGGGACGAAATACGGGCGGCTCATTCGCTGCAAAGCCGATGAAGAGCCACAAGAAGCGGCGCCAAGAAGAAGGCGACCGGATTGTGGACAAGATTCGCCAGTATGGAATCTGGATCGTGGCCGCCCTGGTCCTGATCCCGTTCCAGCTCCTGTTGCTGGTAGCGGCAGCTATGGGATTCGTGTACATTTTCATCATAGGGGCCCGGAAGCTGGGCATACGGCTCCGCGGCGGGGAATGAGTCTTGTGTTTGTCTTTTTTTGTTATTCAAACGACTGCAGATCGGGATAGACTACAAACGCACAGAAAAAGTGTCACACGGGCGGCGTTTTTTACCCAGGCATCGATCCAATTGTCCCTTTTTTTTGTTCTTCACTTTACCCCAAACTTTTGTTTTCCTTTCACAACTTTACAACCTTTTTGTAGAGACATACTAGGGAGAGAGGGAAGAGGAAGAGAGAGAGAGAACAAGAGTTCACGACCAAAACAATATCCCCAGAGACCAAACCGAATTTCATGACCGAAACTGGGAAAGGAGGGGGTAGGAGGCGTCTTTGCATATCTCATTGAAAAGGGCACGTGGGTGATGCCTCCAACAAAATGTTGACGTTTATTTTGCGCGCTAAGTTAAGGCATAGTTGACCAGTTGGTAATTGACTTTGCAAATGTCGCGTGGAAGTACAATGTGCTAGTGTTGTCGATAACAATTATTGTGATTCTTTCTGTCTGACGTGCCCTTCACACGACTCTTGTCTGTCTCTGGGTATCAAATTCCATGCGCCTTCATCACTCGCCCCGTTGGCACTGGCCTTTTTTCATCACCAACTTTCGCCCATGCCCTCCTAACAACCCCAAAACTCTGTTATCCTGATGCTCAAGATCTCTCAAAGCTCATAAAACCAGAACCCAACCGCCGAACTTCGAATCGCTCACCCTCACAACCCACCAGGCTTCCCACTCCCAACAACCTTGGCCCCCTCCAACACCCGTCCAACATCCTCCCTCAACTCGGGCATACCCCTCTCCACATGATCCGCCAGCACATCCCTAAACTGCGCAAAGGCGTTCATTTTCCCCTTCATGAGCTGATTCCCGCGCCTGACGAGCTCCACAAACTCGCGCGTGTAGATGTCCGGGTTCCGCCCGTTTTCGACGTACTGCACCAGTTCCGGCGGGATCTTGGGCAGCGCGCCGGGGAGGTCGGGGGAGGGCGGGGCGCCTGCTGTGGCGGTCATGTGGACGCGTTGGAGGGAGTGCGAGAGGGCTTGGACCGAGTCTGCGAGGGCGGGGGCGGTGGGTGCCGAGGGGGTTGCGTTGTAGGTTGTTACTTGGACTAGGATTTGGTAGAGGTCTTGGATTGTGTCTTTTAGTTGCTCTAGATTTTTTGGGAGATGTGTTAGCGGATGTGGCTTAAGGGAGGGCGGAGGAAGGGATGTGGGTGTTGTAACGTACGTTCCAGCTCTTCGGGGGTTGGTTTGTCTAGCGGTGCCATTTTGGGGGGTGCTGGGTTTCGCGATCTTTCGCGGCGTGATATGCGTGAGTTGTTGTGTTCTTCGATTTTTGTGGAAAGGTAGGGGGGGGCGCAGACGACGTGGATGGGCGGAGCAGCTCAGGCGAGGACGATTGATGGTGGTATGTGAAGTTGCGATTGCGACGTGAGGGACGAGGCTGAGAAATTCGCGGGTTGGAGTGGAAAGCGATCAAGGTCGAGGTTGGATTGGATTGATGGACGGATGGAATTGGTGCTAGCCAGTTGGCGGGATGGGCCGGTGGCACACACCTTGTGGGTGAGGTGTGGGGGCGCTTGCAGGGATGTCAAGTGCGACTGCAGACGGGGTCCCTGGCGCGCGACCACGGCCGTTATATCGCGACCATGGTCTTTATTTGTGAAGGAGCGTTCAGTCTAACGACCCCTCTACATAAATATGAGATGAATATGAGAGGGACGATGGACCAGCCAGCTGGATTATGGATACTTGTGCTTCATCATTGGACTTTGTTGTCAACGCACTGGGAAGATCCCACATCGTTGAAGAGACTAGTATTGATGTCTCTATTGGTGAAGATACATTCTATTCTTGAAGGTTTCCCGCATTCCGCACTATCATCAGTGGTAAAGGATACTTGCCCAAGTGCTACTCCATCTCTGGCATCTGGCATGTTTGCGCCGCCACCTCTCTTACTTCCCACTGAACAGCTTCCGTAGAGCATGCAGGTTCCTCTTCTTCCCTGCTTCGCCGGGCGAGTCGGCCCCATCCGAGAGAAGCCTCTCCGTGCTCTGATTCGGAACCGGAGTCGGACTACTACCATCGTCCTCAGTCGCATTATCTGTGTTCCTTGACACCGCCAAGCTAGCCCTGGCACGACTAGGTGGACTGAATGCTGTCATAATAGGCCGTGTGATCCGCGGTCGCGGCGACGGGGACCGGATGGGGTTGTACCGCTCCAGATACTCGGATGACTGAGGCGGGGGCGTTCGAAGTACGGCGTGACGCCGTGGGACGCGAGCAGGTACCAGTGGACTCTGCGGTCGTACACGCCGTAGCTGCGGCGGTGGCGGCGGGGTGTTGTACCTCGCCTGCTGCTCAGAGGGCGTCTCTGGCGGAGTGACATAACCCGACGAGGTCGTCGTGTCCGACTTCTCGAGTCGGGATGCAAATCGAGAAGAGGGCCGCTTGAGGGGCTCATTGCTGACCCACGAGAGGGGAGGTGCTCGTCGAATCTCAGACGGTATCCAAATCGAACGAGACCTAGGCGGTGTTTGCGGCGGGGAGGTGGAGCATACCGGCGTGGTTGGTCTGATGGTCGGTGTAAGTGAATTCGTCGACCTCATCGAAGGGGTCCCGGATATTGATGTCGCTGGGGTCTGCGAGAGGCCAGCTAGAGGATGAGACGCGAGGATTCCTCTTTGCTCTTCTCTGGCTACTTGCTCAATGCCCCGGAAAGGCTGCATCCATACCGGTATGGGCTTCGTCGGACTTGGTTTGAACGCAGGTTGGCCGATGGGATCGTTGATGGAGACGTATATCGCAGGCTCGGCAGGTGGCGTCGCGAGATACCCTCTACTCTCGTCATGGGATCCGTCCCCTATCCTGCGGAACGATGACGAGTCTGGGCTGAGAGACCGGATAGACTGGTGTGAAGTTAGCGTCGACACCCTCATCATCCTCACACAACTTACCGCCGGGGCCCTCCTCAACTGCCCAGCTCTACCCTCGCCAGCACCCCATCTCGCGCGACCAAGTCCACCATCAACCCTCTCAACCCTCCTCAAGCCCTTCTGCACAACATCCTCCCCCTCCGTACCAACGCAACAAGAAGCACAAAGCGGCACCGCCTCTACCTCTTTCATATTCCCCTTGCCCTCCGTCCCAGCAACCCTGCCAGCCATGCTCTTCCTATCACCACCACCAGCATCGCGACCCTCATCAAAGAGATCCAGCACAGACACCCCTCGATAGATGAGCTTGCTCCCGTAAAACATACACCCGTAACACGCGCGATGCCAGAAGCACTACCCCAAGCTAACGCAGTCGTCCCCGCGGTAGACAATCTCGCCGCAGACCCAGCAGATGGCCAGGTCGATCAGCGCGGCGTAGCAGGGCGAGCAGCTCAGGCGGGCTTCACGGCCGATGACGTGTGAGGGGCCGTCCGAGGGCTGGAAGCAAAAGGTGCAAGTAAACGGGGTTGGCGCCGTTGATGCCATGTCTTTGAGAGAATGTCCCAGCCCGGGGCAGTCACAAATGATCCTTGTATAGAAAATGAACGGATGTTGATGTTACGTCAGGAGAGAGAATGCAGCGGCTGCACTGGGCCATGGAAGATCTGTTTGGCCAAGACTTGGTCGTTGCAGCTGCCTGAGAAAACCGAGACGTCGTTCCTTCTCCTGTGTCCCATCGAACCCCCATCGCAGCTGCTGCAACATTCGACAAGCGTCACTTGTCTCTCAATCGTAGCAAGACACCGAAGGTCAACATGTTTGTACGTGATGGAAGTGCAACTTTTCATAGACCTGAAGCTCAGCAAAGGTAAAACCTTCGGCCGAGAACTAAAGTAAAAAAACAATCTCAACCCAACGCCAGTAGGTATTGTACAAAAATAAGCAAACACAAACGCCAAGACCAGTCCATATGCCCCCCCCCCCATCCAACCGCCGTGGTCCAGCCTATTCCATCCATAATCATCCTTGTTACGCCAGTCGTATCCTTCTAGACTTTGCACTGCTGAAGATCATCGGCTCTCCAATGCAATCGACAGCACGTGTGTCCAATTCGCCAACATCCGCATTCATCGTCATATTATACAATCCAACAAGATCAATGTAAGTGGTTGTGTGTCCTTCGATCAGCCAAGTTGTCGGGCGTTTCCTGTTACCATCCTTACTGGCGAGCCTTCGGCTTCGCCAGCATGTTGAGTCGGCTCAGACTCATACCACCGTGCTTCTTCGTGGGGCTCGGCGATTGAGCAACGCGAGGGCTCTGAAGCTTCTTGCCAATGGTGCCGGGGGTCGCACCCATCAGTCTGGGAGCCAGGAGAGCATCGCCCTCGGGCACATGCTCGGCCTTGCGTCTCTTGCCAGCTCTATCACCAGAGTCCACCTCAAGGTCTCCTTCCTCTTCACGAGCTCGAGCCCGCTTCTTGTTGGTCATGCCGTGAGGCTTTCCAGCCAAAAACTGCATGGGCGATCTGTTCTCCTTGTTGGAGGTGAACTCGGGGCCGGTGGGGAAGCTACCCGGCATGTCCAGCGAGGTCCGCACATGACGGACACTAGCTTGGCCAGCAGTCGAACCAAAACCAGTGGGAGAGGCGCTACCGAATCGGATGGTGTGGTCGCTGCGGAAAGTGAACGTGCCAGGTACAGTTGGAGGCAGAGGCTTAGCGCTCTCGCTGGCGTTCTCGGTCGCCTTCTCAGACGGGCTACCGACGTTCAATTCGGGGTAGAGGTTATCGCCCTTCTTTCGTTGGGTGACATTACCATTTCCGAGCATGGCGTCGAGGCTCGGATACTCAACCTCTCCATTCTTACGGATAGGGCTCATGCTCGCAAAGGCTCGGTGCGCAACTGTGTTTGGAACATCGGCGGCTCGGTTGGTGTCCGGAGTGAAGTCGACTCTCTTAAACAACTTCCTTCGTGGAGTGGTGAACGGAACAGCTGGAATAGTCTTCTCTGCAGCCTGCGGCGCAGGCGTCTGGGAGATGCTGGAAGCGGGCTTGGGAAGAGCACTCTTCGTCTGGTTTAAGGCTCCCTTACCGCCGCGCAGAATCGACTTGACTCTTTCGAAGCGTCCAGGGCTCACAATTCGGCGTTTCAGCTCGGCTGTCTTCTCCAACGCACCAAGATTGTTGGTGGTGGCAGACTTTGTGAGGCCACCCAGATCAGGCTTGGAGGGCGACTTGACGAGCGATCCCAGATCAGGCTTGCTGGCTGACTTGGTAAGAGTGCCAGGCAGGGGCATCTTGGAACCAGCAGCGCGAGCCAGGGACGATGCAGTGGGGCTCGTGAGGGAGGCCAGACTGGGCTGAGATCGAAGACCAGCAGGCGCATCTGTTCCGCTAGACTTAGGGCGCGGGAGGGAGCTGCCATCGCGAGAGACCGGTCGAGCAGTGGTGGCATCGTCCTCGAAGCGCTGTCGCATGCGCTTGACCGACGAAGGTGGTTCAATGTTGGCGAAGATGCGAGACTTGGGGCGAGGTCCAAGAGACGACTTTGTAGAACTGTTGGAGTCCGCGTCGTCCAGGTTGGCCTTGGACGGAGAACGCTTGAGGCTAGACTTCTGCTGCGAAGGCGTACCGGGGATGCCCAAGTTGATCTTGGACGGCTTCTTCAAGATCGACTTCGGGTGAGTGGGCGTATCGTCGATGTTCGGCTTGGACTGGGATCGCTTCAGGACAGACTTGGGCTGCGTTGGCGTGTCGTCAAGGTTTGCCTTGGACTGAGTGCGCTTCAGGCTCTTGAGAGGAGTGGTCCGGCCAGGCTGGGCTCGGAAAGCTGAAGGATGACCTTCGATAGAGTCCATCTTCTTGAACTCGGCCATATGGACAGCGCTGAAGCGACCAGACTTACCCCTGGCCTTGGCAATCCTACGGCCGTTGATCTCTTCGTCTTCTCTCTCCAGCTCACGCTTGGCCAGCAGTTCGGCCTTGATTCTGGCCGCCTCCTCGCGCAGCTCGTTCATCATCTGCTGGGCATCGCTGCTCAGGCCATTGTCTCCGGTAGGCTGGGCGACGCGGAATGTGAAGGGCGACTCGGGCACGCCCGTGGTCTTGAAAGGCGTCGCCTGGGTGGTCTTGGAGGGCGTCGCCTGGGGATCGGCCTTCTTGTCGGAGGGGTCCATATCTCTGAAGCCGAGCCAGGTAGCGGAGGGAGGTGCTGCGGTGGGGTGAACCTTGCTCGGGTGCATTTCCGACAACGGGGCCTTGAGGTTCGAGTGGGAAGAGGGCGTCGCGGGGTCGTGGTTCGGGACGACGAGCGCATTCAGACTCTCAGCGACCTCTTGAGCAGGAGGAGTATCATCGCGTTCGGCAACGGAAGTCAGGGTGGATTTTGCCTTGGGCTATAGATAAAGAAATAAAAAAAAAATGTGTGAGTTAGGCGCCGCGCCGTTTGTTTACAGAAGCGGTCAAAGAGCGTAGCCTGTTTGCTTACCTTGGGCGTGTTGGTGCTGGCCAACCGGGCCGAACGACGGCGAGGCGGCGACGACATGTTGACTGTTTTACTCGGGAGGATTGTCAAGCTCGTTTGCGTGAATGTCAGTGATGATCGAGAGGAGAGCAAAAAGGACGGAACTTCGGAAGAAGTCGAGCCAGCGAGTCCCTGGTTTGGAAGAGAAAGTGTTGATGATGTCAGGCGAGAGAGAAGTGGATGGGTGTTCCGGGCTGCGGTTGCGGTACGTAGAGCGCGACGGGGATATTTTGGAGAGGGGCCGCTTCGTTTGTTTACATTGTGCGCGGAGGTCGCAGCTCTGATTGGATGACAGGTAAAGGACGGCCCAAGCTCTAGACCCCTTGGCTCTGTGACCTTTGGCGGGATGAAGTGGGGGCACAGTGGGAAAGATCAGAGAAGTCATGCGTTTCTACGTTGGTTTGGCCGTGATTTCACAGTGGAAATCCATTCTGCCTTCTCCTCACGACATAGGTAGCACACCCAGTGTTTGCTTGGATGACCCTCGATATGCTCCTCGTGGGTCAAAAACAAGGGGAGCGCGTGGCTAGGGACCCACGGCCACTTATTCTCGAACCCTCTCTTGCTTCAAGAGAGCTGGGCGTATCTCATTTTGTTTGATCCATGGCATGCTATATCCATACACTATTTTGTATAGCAGGCCTTCCGCGTGCTCCGATCTATCTTACATCTCGAGGAATGCGGTGCGCAGAGAGACCGTTGGATCTAAGCAGTGCCGGAGGCACAGCCCAAGCCGAGCGTGAGCCACAACGGCCCGCGCTTCGAACTCAATTCTTGTCGGGATTGGAGTCATTGGCTCAATACCGTGAGAAATAACCCATCCCGTGGCATCTCAGCTCTGGTCCTTGGCCTCGCTGGAGATCTGATGCTCAGCATTGATGACTATACTGACCATACTCTTGCGTTCATTCTGTCTCATGGTGGATTACGTCTGCGCAGTTGTCTTAAGAACATCGGCTTTCATGGAGCCCATGATGATACATGACCACTACGTACCTTGGCTTGCATTACACACATTGCCATCTGAAAGCAGCGGATGCTGGCGCTTCAAGTGCTACCTAGATCACACGCTCTCGTATCAATCTTACGACGAAGATATAGGTAAGAGTGATTTCAAACATCATTATTTAATGGCCACATCTATAATTCCGAGTGGTCCTCAATGCGTCGCAGCAACCCCCAATACAACCTGTATGGGCCAGAAGCTCAATGCTCCTCACGAGAGGTCTCAATGCTGAGCCACATATCCAGTCTATAAGTTGAACCCCGTAAAGCCTTAGACCATTACTATGGTAAAATGCATGTGTACCCCGCCACCCTTGTCCATGCCCATCCAAGTTAAACTGTGTATCCGCCAATATAAACAAACAATCCTAAACGCCGACGAGTGAGAGGAATTTTGATCTTCCAGCGTAACGATTTTTTCTACCAATGCCATGCAGGGTTTTCAATGCGTGGAAGCGATGGCGCCCGTGATGCCCAGCAAGGCCATTCCCATGAATCCGAAAAAGATGCAGAGATTCCGGTTGTGGTTCAAACTCAGCGCCTCAACGAACAGCTGAAGCCCGACGCTCACCATGATTCCAGCCGTAATGGCAAACATGCAAGCGTAAGAGACAGCATTCGGCGTCAGGTGAGTGTGCTTCGCGAGTTTGAACCACAGCACAGCAATGCCCGCACCAAGAGGCTGGCTAAGGCCACCGAGGATCGCGGCCCAGAACATAGCCCTCATGCGGCTTCCAAGTGCCATGTACAACGGCAGTGCCATGGCAAATCCTTCAGTGATATTGTGAACGAACAGGGCCATAAAGACGTTGAAACCCAATGCCGGATTCGCGTGGTTCGTTGCGTAGGTAATGAAACCTTCCGGGAACTTGTGGAGCGCAATGGCGATTGATGTCTGCAAGCCGAGGGAGAGAAATGCATTAGTAGGGACGTGGTGGTGATGTTGGGCCTCGACATCTTCGTCTGCGTGTTCGCCGTCACCGTGAGCGTCGTGGTCGTGATCTGCATGATCGTGGCCATGGCTGTGGCTGTGGCTGTGTTCGTGGTGATGATGCGCCTCGTCGTGTTCCGGCAGAGGTTCTCTCGAAGCTGCGCGGCTGGTCCGCATGGTCCCGCTGATGGGAGAGTTACACGAGGAACCGCCCTCTTCCAAGTCCTCCAAATCTGCATGACTATGAGCATAAAAGTGCCCCGTGTTAGTACGTAGGACAGCCGGAGGCTTCGACGTGGACGTCGAACGACTACTCATGTGCTTGAAGCATTCCTGGCCACAAGGGTCAGTGTATCCAAAGCATGGGCCCTCCTCATCACAATTCGTCTTCGTGTCTTTGACGAAAGACATGACCCGTTGTTGGACTTGGGCCATGGACGGTCGCCTATGGACGGTGGGGCCACGGCTTCGCGAAGTTCGGGTCGTGGGAGTAGAATGATCGGTGCTGAGGCTCAGGTTGCCGCTACTCGAGGCATGGCGCTTCGCCATAGGTGGCGCGCCGTTCTCGTGTGTAACCTCGCCATTCAGAAGGGGTGTAGATTCGGTGGCATGACCGTTCTTCGCTATCCTTTCAGCAAGCGGTCGTCGTCGAGAGGAGCGGCGACTCGAAGTATACAAGGAAGTCTTTCTGCTCTGGCTGCGCGATCGGGTATCGGTCTCGTTGTGTTCGTGCGTGTGGTCGCAATCAACAACATGAGATGGCATGTACTGATGCAGCAGACGTGAAATGACTTGAATGCCAACAAAGCCTCCAATAAAGCCGGCCATCATAAGGAATCCCGCGACCTGGTCTTGGAAGCCACCCTCCTTAAGGTATTGTTTTGCTGATGGGAGCATGTTGTTTAACGCTGAGTAAAGCTGTTTCGCAAGAACGCAGTCAGTATGGGTTCACCAGGATCCAATTGTAAAAAGTTTCTGGGTTTCAACCCACCATGACACCAAAACTCAGACTTAGAGAGCATGCTAGGAAGGCATTGCTGTCTTGTATCCTGAAGTTGCGTTTCCCAGGAAGGTATCGGATAACCAGGTCAACGCAGATGATAGATGCGCCCACAACACAAGCTGCCAAGCAAGAAAAACGTTAGTCCAGTGTTCGTCGTAGGAGGGCGAGGCACGGCGCAGTGTGTAAGCTTCTTCACTCACCTATTCCGCTCACGATGCACATGATCCACCCCCTGGTGTCGTTGTCGATGTCTGTCGACTCCATGATGGGCAGCTCGGCTCAACACCTCCGATCAATGCCTGCAGGATGCCTGTGTGCTCGGCGCATGCAGGATGGGGATGCGTGGTTTGATATTCTTCTCGTCTGCGATTCGATCTATCTAGTTCTCGAGGTTGTCGACAATCCCAAGAGACCGGATACCGTATATGGTTTAGGTGGCTGCGTCTCGTCCCGCAGCAGAGCGGCTCTGACGTAGGGTAAGGTTGTACGTGCGCAAGGACCCGGTTGGATTGCAAGTCGTGTATGTATGTAGGTCGTAGAAGATGCAGGGAGGTAGACGGCCTAGGAGAGGATATCAGGGTGCTAAGGAGAGGCCTTCGAGGTACTCGTCGCAAGTTGGTGAGGAGGGGAGAGGAGCGAGGAGGAGAAGTAAAGGCGTAGGTCTAGGGAATGAATGAGTGTGCCGTGATGTTGCAGAGAGAATAAGGTAAGGTAGTGATGTCGATGGCCGCTAGTGAGATCAAATGCGTCTTTGCGCGCAGACAGGTGGGGAGACTGGGAGAGACTTCTGCGCCTTAAACTTTCCACCTGCGTGGGACGTGGAATCGGGGGCGCTGGATCTGGCTCTGTTGGCGGGACCGGTGCGTTGTTTCCCAGTGATGTTCCATGGAGTTGAACAATGGCTGGGGAGGGGGGAGAGAGGATGGGCGACCAGGGGCCCTTATGGGCCTGCCTTTTTCATGGGTTTTTTGCACCGCATTCTGAGGACCTTGATGGCCTTTCCCAGTCAGACTCTCGTCACCTCAGTATGAGGGAGTCTCACGTCCCGACAGAGCCCGTTTCCCTTTCATTCTTACTTGCATGTTTGATTCTGTTTTGGTCTCGTACCTACTACCTACGGACCGACCGGTGTTACTAGGTTTATTCATCCTTCTTTTAGTTGACTGCCGCCCTGCAGCTTGCCGTCTGACCCTCCCCGAAAGCAACCCCCACCTTTTCTTCCTTTCTAATGCAGGAAACATGCGGCTCTTTTTCCTACGAGAGTTGAGGCGACGAACAAGCCAATACTACACTAGGTGAATAGGAACTTGTTTATCCTGTGAGCCAGGCAAGTCACAAAACAATTCAGCATTGCAATGTTGTTCGCCCCTTTGTTCGGGATCCCTCGCCCATGTCCCAGACCGAGTCAAGGCATGTTGACAGCTCACACCCGTGAATGGATCAAGTCTTGGCTATGAGAACCCGGATGGCGGGATGAGGTATCCACGTACCTTACCTTATTCCCTCGAGCCCCGTGATGTGCGCCAGCCGCCAACTCACTGAAGCCGCCCGAAGCGCCCTGCTATTAAAGAAGACTGCGCAACACGTGAAAGTTCTCTTCGCAATTGTTGTCGAAGCGGCATGCTTTTGTTATGTCTTATTTGAATGCTTGATGCCAGTAGGCCAGGATCCCTCTTCAAAAAGAGAGTTTACATCGCGCGCGCGCAGGGTCAATATGCGCCGCGAATCGGAGGCTGGGATTTGGTCATCCGTCATCCCTTGCCCACACCGAGCCGCGTGTCATCGGTGAGCCAATCACATCGGGCTCACCGAGGTCTGCTTTACATGGGCCCCTGCACGAAATCCTTCCACCCCACATCCACCTGCCTCACGCCGGCAAATGCTCGGGGCAAGGAAGCTGCGTGGCTGCATCCTCCTGCCGCACTGAGCTGTTCCCTTTAGATTTCCGAGCAGGTCCCTGGAAATCGCTGCCCCGGGCTATGCGCCGCCGACCGTTGCCCAAAATTTTCCAGCTCTGAGCTCCAGATCCCCGTCCCGTGAGGTGAGACATCCACCACACCACCACCAGCAACATCATCACATGCCCTTTTCTCCTTGCCCCGTGGTCAGAACAGTGTCAGCAACGACGGAAGCTTGAAATTGGGCAACTCTTCCAACTTCCCCTCCCACTATCATATCGTGGTAGTTGCAAAAGACAAACGAAAAAAGACCCGAAACCGCGTCCCTACAAACCGAACCGTCGCCATGTCGAAAACCACTTCCCTCGCCCTCATGGCGCTAGGCGCCGGAGGCGGCGCCGCGCTCACGGCCTCGATTTTCTCCATGCGCTCCCAGAAGCAACCTCCCACCGCAACGACAACGACAACGACGACGACCTCCTCCTTCTCGACAGCCCCCTCTGTGCCCGTCCCCAGCACCCAAGTCTTCACCTACCCCAACGCCGTCCCGCTCCCTCCCGCACCCTCACCATACGGCGGCGGCGGCGGCCCCGTTGCCTCAAACAGCCCCGTCGACCCAGCAGGCCTCTTCGAATACGGCTTCCCAGGCCCCGTAGCCGACCTCGCGACCCGCCAGGGCCTCGTCTCCTCCTACGACCGCCGCACCCGCAACCCGCACTGGGTCGTCGAGCACATCACCCCGGCCTCCCTCGCCCAGCGCGACGGCGACCGCAAGCACAGCACCTTCGTCGAAGACGCCTCCGTCCCCGAAAAGTTCCAGGCCAAGCTCAAGGACTACTTCCGCAGCGGCTACGACCGCGGCCACCAGGTCCCCGCCGCCGACTGCAAGTGGTCCCAAAAGGCCATGGACGACACCTTTTACCTCACAAACATGTGCCCGCAGGTCGGCGACGGCTTCAACCGCGATTACTGGGCCCACTTCGAGGACTTCTGCCGCCGTCTGACGACGCGGTATCCTTCTGTGCGCATCGTCACGGGGCCTTTATACCTCCCCAAGCGCGACCCCGTCGACGGCAAGTGGTACACAAAGTACGAGGTCATTGGCAACCCTCCCAACGTGGCCGTGCCGACGCACTTTTACAAAATCATCTTCGCCGAGGACGGCAAGGTTGGCGGCAACGTCGCCATTGGCGCCTTTGTGATGCCCAATGCGCCCATCCCTAACTCCAAGCCGCTGTCCGAGTTCGAGATGCCGCTCGAGGCTGTCGAGCGCGCTGCGGGGCTCGAGTTTGCGAGTAAGCTTGCGCCGCAGCGCCGCAAGAGGCTCTGTACCGAGGCGTCGTGTGCTATTGTCGTTAAGGAGTACGCGGACAGGCAGAAGCAGATTGGCGGCGGCGGCAAGGGCCGTTCATAGAATGGATCGGCGGGGTTGCTGGAGGACCATGTCGTCGGAGTGCACGGGGATGTTGCGTTCCACCATGGACCGTTGGGGTTTCTCCTATTTGGCGGGGATCTAGCATAAGGAGTTATGTTCACCGTTTACTTACCTCTCGGGATGTACCATTACTGTACTTTGGGGGAAGCAACCTACGAGAGAGAGACAGATGAGAGGTTGGCTGCATCGCATATTTGCATATCAGAGCTATGACACAAGCATCATGCGAAGGGGTTCAAATCACAAGCAGTGAGGCACATGTACACTAGACAAGCCTGGTCAGTCGACAGTTGCCGACATCATGCCTTCACATACATACATCATCACACTGTTCAAATAAGATAAACGTTTCCTCGAGTACCGTGACTTGACTTGTATGTTTTTGGTTCCTCTCCAACGCCAGGGTATCATCGACCCGGTTTTCCACCTCAAAACCACTAATCGTACAATGCCAGGAATGTCGAGGGCCTGAGTAATGGAAATCGACGTCTTTCGAACCATGTGCCTTCAACCCCCTTTCCCGCTTACCCTCCCCTAGTTTCCCGCTCGCTCGATCTCTCAACGCGACCTCGTGTAGTTTCCCCGTCGCTGCTCCTGCTTGAGACTCTCCTCCTGGCTGGGAAGCGGAGCCCGCCTGCCGCCGCGGCCGCCGTGGTCGTCGCGATCTCTGTGATTGTTCACGCCAGGAGGCGCCATGGACATGGGCATGGGCGGGAACCCCGGCGGCGGCACGAAGTTCGGCGGCGGCACCATGCCAGGCGGTGGTGCGAAGCCGCCCGGTGGCGGGGGAGGGAGCGTGCCGCCCGCCTTTTGAATCATTTCGGCAATCTTGGCCAGGTCGGCCGGGTTGCTCGGGTCGATGCCGCCTGGTAGACCTGGGATCATGGGCGGCGGCGGCGCACCGTTTAGGCCGGGCAGGGGGAACGGTAGAGGCGGAGGGGGTGCGCCGCCTGCACCGCCGACGCCGGGGATCATGGGCGGTGGCGGGACGGGACCGCCTGCGCCGCCGTTCTGCGGCATCGAGAGGCCGGGTAAGCCTGGTAGACCCGGCAGACCTGGTAGGCCTGGGAACCCAGGGACCATGGGCTGCTTGAGGGGCATCTTCTGGTCGACGAGGCCGTCCATCTCGTCTTCCATCTCCATCTCCTCCTCCTCCTGGCGCTGGCGGCGCCCGCCGCGGCGGTCCCAGGTGCCGTTGGCCTCGGCGGCGGCTTCGCCGACGTGGTAGCGGTCCTGGAAGACGTCGGCGTCGCCGGGCCGCTTGCGGGACCAGAAGCGGGTGATGCGGTCGTTTGAGCCCGAGGCGAGGATGTGGCCGAGCGGGTGCCAGTCGAGGGACCAGATGGCAAAGTCGTGGGCAAAGGGGACCTTGTGGGCGGGGTATATCGTCTGCGCCGGGGTCGTTGAGGGGTCGGAGCTGTCGTAGGGCGCCATGGTATTTGCGTGGCCGGCGGGCGTGTTGGGCTCATCTAGGATGTAGTGGTACAGGGAGCCGTCGTGGCCGCCTGTGCTGAGGAGGTTGGAGTGGACTGGGTGCCAGGCGATGGTCGAAATGTCCTTTTCGTGTCCCTTGAGCAGGCAGATGTCGCGCATCATTCGGAGGTCAAAGACGCGGGCCGTCTGGTCTCGTGCTGACGTCGCCAGGCAGTCACCCTGGACCTTTTCGAACAGCGTCTTTGTGATTGTGTTTTTGTGGCCGTGGAGAGTGGTCAGGCACCGACCTGTCCTGGGATCCCACAGCTTGACCAGATGGTCTTTTGAGCCTGATACCAACAAGCCCTTTGTCGGATGCCAATCGCAGCTCTTGGCGTCCCAGCCGTGGCCTTTCAGGGTTGACTCCTCCACTCCTCCAGCAAAATCAAAAATCTTGAGCGTCGAGTCATCGCATGCTGTGACGAATTTGGAGTCGTTGGGGCTGAATGCGAGGTCTCTGACCGGATCGTTATGCGCGGCGATGCTCTGGAGGTTGTTGAAGTTGGGCTGCCAGTACTTGACGCTTCCGTCGTGATCGGCAGAGATGAGCCAGTCGTCGTTGTGAGAGTAGGCCAGCGCTCTGATGGCGGAGTCGTGGGCCTGCATAATGGTCTCAAAGTTGAATCCCGTGCCGTTCCATAATGTGAACTCTCCGCTGCTTGACGCGGTCAACAGACGGCGACCTTCTGGCGTCCACCGTACTACGTTCACCGGGTGTTTGATCTTGTTGAGTGATGAGTGGAGGTGCTTCACTGGAATTGTGTCGCCGGGATCTGTCCTCCTCGCGGCGGGTGGTATGAACTATGAGCATGTTAGTGTCAGGGATGGGGATGAGGAAACAGCTGCCTTGTGGAAGACGTACGTCGACGATGAAGCTGGCACTTGGCCTCTCGACTTCTCCAGTGTATGCATCGCCGTCGAGTGGTGATCTATGGCGCATCCAATTGGCGACGGTTGAGCCATAATCAGTTACGGGACCTAGAGAAGTCAGCTATATGCCTGTGAAAGCTGATTATTGTCTCTCAAGCACAGGAGTAGGCGTGTGTGAGAAGACCAGGTGGTGTTTGCCTCAGTCTCTCATAATGTAGACCAAGCATTCCCACTCTGGTTTCATACGCATGAGCTTGTGCTAGAGAATCTAGGTAATAACTCACGTCGACCCCTGGCTCTCACGAAACCGCCATCATGACCCTCTCCATCGCCGCCTGGGCCTCCTCCTCTCCTGCCATGGTGATCCCCTCGGGGTTCATACGCCATCTTTACACTCTCATGGGGGTTTCGCAATATCCCTTTGTTGTTATTAAGCTCATGTGTAGTTTATGGCTGATGAACTAAACCACGAAATTTCAGTAAAATATGATTTGGCGCTTGTTGGTGACGGAGCTTCAGCATTGTTCGGTTCCACGAGGCTGGTTCGTCGCCAATCACAGTGAAAATGACCGCGACGCGTGCACAGGCCAGCTACTTTTCTCGCAGTCACATGACCCAGGATGGACAATTGCGAGCTGGAGCTGGGAGCTGGGAGCTGAAGGAAGGCACGTCCCTTCCAACGTCGTCGTCAATTTCCGTCGATGAGCTAATGCAGCCTGGGTACGTACCGATTCACGCACCACTTCCCGGGAAGGTCCACGGTTTTTATCGGTTTTCTTATCCGGGCCAATATCGGGCACCCAGGTCCCAAATTTCCCATGCCGCGAATGCCCAAAAATATCCCGCGATTCCTCGTGAGGTGATAATTTAATATGGCAAGGTGCGATTCCTCAAGGCCGCCCCTCCCCACTGCCCAGTCAGACAGGCATTCCATTTTCACATGTGATTCCGGTTGCAAAGCCACGGCTCGTTCAGAGTTCTTCGTTTTCTCTGACTCCCAAGTTCCCTGGACCCACGAGGCGACCACCATGTTGGACCACTCAGAGCTGCCACCGGGGATCGCCATCACTATCCGTGGAGCCGTAGAGGCCCTTGGCGTGCATTGGATGCATGCGACTTTTCTCTCTCAAGGCCTCAACTTGCCTAGGCTGGCGGCGTCAGGATGCAGGATGTGTTGGGTGATTTTAAACACAACGGCCTTTTTTCTCTCTCCTCTGCTGTCTCTTCTCTGCGGTCACCTCATGCATTAGCGCTGGCTCCGAGGCGCTCTCCGTTGATCCAGCCAGGTTCCGGGTCAGACAGCTCAGCGACCCTGACATTCCCAAGGTCCCCCCTTCCAATCCCGCCCCAATGGGCCGTGCCATCATCTACCTTAGTACCTTGGCCCGTCGTCACTCATCACTCGTCCGTCTTGGGTCTGCTTTCTCTCTCTTTCAAGATTCTGTTTTGTTTACTTCGTCTCTCCTGCATTTTATGTCTCTGATCAGTCTCTGATCAGTCTCTGCATCGCGTCTCTTCAACTGGCCCGTCCTGCACGCCGTCTGCATTCTTGTCGTCAGCGCGCCTCCTCTTCCCTCATTCCTCCACGTTAATGAACGAATCCCCACGCTACAAGGTCTGATGGCGTCGGCTTAGCTTCCTCCACCTGATTTTCCCTCCGACTACACTACCTACACACTCACCTTAGACTCCCCGGGCCAGTCTCCTCCTCTTCCCCCCCCCCCCCCCCCCCCTGTGCCTTGACGTACCCCCTTCTTTAAGCTACCTCACCACTCAATCGCTTTCCCGCACCTCAGCCATTGCCCCTCACCAGGCACAGCCAAAAGGCCAATGCGCCCCTACCTTGGACCATCCAGATAAAATAAGGTACCTTCTCCTCAATCCTGAAAGGAGCTCAGATCGATTCGCGGGCGCCGTCCGTTTTCCCTTGGAAACACCGGCTACAAAGTCAATCCGTACTCTTCTTCTTGCCTGGCCCCGCGCGCGGTGTCTTGCATAGAGGCAATTTTGTTACCTACACCTTACCTCACTGCTAACAAGTCCGATATCTTATCGCGCTTGCCACCACTTCCCTCCCTGCATTGCATATACATAGCTCTTCCTTACCAGCCTACACGTCTCCTCACCTTTAGACTTTCACCCATCTTTCCCCTCGTCATCCACTACGGACGCTTTCCCTTCCTCTTCTCTCACACACATTCTTGTTGAGGATCCAATAGCTCCAGGGACGTCCTGCCCGTCATGAACACGGCCACGGTGACGAGCCTTGAGAGCTCAAGCACCACCTCATCCTCCCTGCGTAACAAGCACAATGGCACCTCCAATGGCAACTGCAACCTCAAGGCCGCCGTCAAGCCGACTACACCCGAGACCAACCGTACGACCGACGAGTTGAGGAGGGCAATTCAAAAGAAATACAGACACGTCGCTGCCGTCCACTCCACATCCCGCCCATCAACCCTGAGCCATGACTCTAATACAGCCCCGAGCTTCATTGGCTTCAGGAACTTAATGATAATTGTGTTAAGTACGTCAAGCCGATGCCGGACCTGCTTCAATGGCATTGGCTAACCAAGTATAGTTGTCGGTAATCTTCGTCTGATGATGGAGAACATTCAAAAAGTAGGCTCAATGAGCTGTTCCTGATGTGTAGACCCACGTCACTAACCAGGCATTCGTAGTATGGAGTCTTGATCTGTATTGGCTGCCACGATTTCCGCCGGCAAGACCTCGCTCTCGGCTTGGGCTTATACCTCCTGATCCCTTGTCATCTGTTCGCCGCGTACCTGATCGAACTGGCCGCCGCTCAGCAAGCAAGGGGCTTGCGGGCGAAATCAAAAGACGGAGCCGCCAGCCCGACAGAGGACCAGCGCTCGAGGTTCGACTCGACCTGGAAGGTCATTGCTTGGATCCACGCCGTCAACATCACCCTCGCTCTGACCGTTACATCCTACGTCGTGTACTTCCACATCCACCACCCGTTGATCGGCACCCTGACTGAGCTCCACGCCATCATCGTCTGGCTCAAGACGGCGTCTTATGCCTTTACGAACCGAGACCTTCGACATGCCTACTTGCACCCCGTCAAGGGCGAGCTCGCCGCCATGCCCGAAATCTACCAACAATGCCCCTACCCTCAGAATATCTCGATGCACAACCTGGCGTACTTCTGGTGGGCTCCGACGCTGGTCTACCAGCCCGCGTACCCGAGGACAGACAAGATCAGGTGGGTCTTTGTCGCGAAGCGAATGGCAGAGGTGTTTGGTCTGGGTGTCTTTATCTGGTTTGCCAGCGCCCAGTACGCCGCCCCTGTCCTAATCAACTCTCTCGACAAGATTGCGTCTCTGGACGTTCCCAAGATTCTTGAGCGGTTGATGAAGCTGTCAACGATTTCTCTGGTCATCTGGCTGGCGGGCTTTTTTGCACTCTTCCAGTCGTTCCTCAACGCCCTCGCCGAGGTCACCCGCTTTGGTGACCGGTGTTTCTACGAGGACTGGTGGAACAGCGAGAGCCTGGGTGCATACTGGCGACTGTGGAACAAGCCCGTATACCAGTACTTCAAGCGTCACGTTTACTCACCTCTGATCGGCCGAGGATGGAGCCCGAGGGCCGCGCAGCTGGCCGTTTTCTTCGCGTCTGCGGTTCTGCACGAGGTTCTTGTTGGTATCCCGACACATAACATTATCGGTAGGTTGTCTGGGGGAAATCCATCTTCAAATACAGATTGCTAACGGATCATGTAGGTGTTGCCTTTGCGGGCATGTTCTTCCAACTCCCCCTGATTGCCCTTACCACTCCTCTGGAAAAGATGCAGTCTCCCACGGGACGTATGCTCGGCAACTGCATTTTCTGGGTTTCGTTTACCATCCTCGGGCAGCCCTTTGCAGCTCTAATGTACTTTTACGCATGGCAGGCCAAATATGGCAGCGTCAGCAGGCAAATGGCCTGCAATTCAGTTGCAAGCTCGTAATCGGCGAAATCAACGTCAAAGGAGACATGGCGTTGGCCTGGTATTTTTTCTATATATATACTACTATCTTTGGGTTTTAGACAAAAAAACAATAATTGGCATTTAGCTCAACTGCAATTTTGCTTTCTAGTCGCGTGCTAAAAAGGCTGGGAGCCTCACAGAGCCGCGAATCCATACTGCCCGCAAAAGGGAATCATGGTCCCGACACGCTTGCGATAGTCTTCGTAATCCTGCCCAAAGAAGCGCACCAACAGCTCCTCCTCGTGGCGTATCCTCTTTGAGAAGAAGTACCACAGCACAACGGCGTATGCCACCAAGGACACCACATTCCCCATGACGAGCTGGGTGCCAATGGCCCACCAGAAGAAGCCAAAGTACGAAGGGTGCCGAAAGTAGGCGTACACGCCGCCCGTGACGAGGATGTGGGACTCGGCGCGGTAGTGCTGGATGGTGTGGTTGAAGCTCTGGCCGGCCGTGACCATGGCCGCGGAGCGAACTGTCTGGCCGATGCCAACGAGCAGCAGACCTGTGAGCAGCAACGGGGTGCGGAGGCCAAAGGGTGCCCAGACGCTATTGGGGAAGACGAGATTTGTGAGGAGACATTCTGCAAAGGCTGTTGCGTGGGCGATTGCGTAGGCGGGCCAGTTTGCTGTTAGGAGGTAGGCGTGGACTGTTGCTTGCGGGGTGTTGTAGGCTGCTGTTGTGTAGAATTCGAGGAAGTGGAAGAGGGAGAGGGCAGAGAGGAAGAAGGGGAGGCGCCAGAGGGGGGATGATGTGAAGAGGAGGATGGAGGTTAGAGACAAGAGGCCGAGGGTGAAGGTTGTGCCTAGGAGGAAGGCGCGGAGGGCTATGCCGGCGAGGGATTTTGGTTGGTTTGGGTAGTATTCTTTTCCTGGGATTGTAGGGTCCTGGGGGCGGGCGTCGCTGGGGAGTATGTTAGTTACATGGAAGTCAGTGTGCTTGTTGGATGGGGGATTTTCGGGTTGTTGTGAGGAGAGAAAGCTTTGGTTGTGGTGGTGGTGGTGGTGGACCAAGAGGTTTGTGGTTTTGGAGTAGAGGGGGTTCACGGGCGTGCGTGAAGACATCGCGATGGTGGGGGTCTTGGTGTTGAGGGGCAGGAGTTTCGCAGCACAAGACGTCCTTGGAGCTGTCCGAGTACGTCGAGGTTGCAGCCACACTTCCTCGCCTCACTTCATCTCACACCACGGATAAGGTACCTCAGGACAAGACAGGACAGGACGGTACGGGATCGGGGATATGCGGGGAGGAAACGGGGCGAAGGACGGGAGATCCGGGCGGTGTTGTGATATTGATGCCGGGACCGAGGGTGGTGTGGCTGAGTTTGCGGCTGTGGTTTGGAGCAAGGCGAGGGAGGGAAGGCACAGGAAAGGGGAAAGTGGTAGCGAGGTAGACAGTTACTTACACCCGACGGAAGGTCGACATGGTTGTGGCTGATTTGCGAGAGAATTCGTTGATCCGATGTTTTTCGAGAATTCAGGCAAGGTCGATTGAGCCACGATGCTCGGGAGCCCACTAAAGGGAGAAAGCGTGGTGGTGGTGGTGGTGGTGGTAGTGGTGGTGGCGGCGGGATGCGGGATGGGGTGCAAGGGCAGATGCAAGTGTGGCAGAGTTTACGTCGTTGCGAGAGAGAAAACCACAGAGCCTCAACGAGACGGAACGACGTTGAGACTCGAGAGCGCGCTGTGCTGTGTGTCGTGTGTGGCGGGGGCAGGTCCAATTGGCTCTAGCTTCCTTTTACAGACGTGCCGTCATTTCCATGCGAGAACCAATGCGAGAGGTGAGTTCCAGTTTTTCCATTGCAACACAGACGTTTGCTTTGCGACGAAAAGAGTGAAAGCTGGAAGAAGGGAAAGGAAAAGGGAAAAAAAAAACTTGGCAGTGCTGGTAACTCTGTTCGAGTTCAGACCATAGCGTCGTCTCTGTGGCGGCGGGCTTGCGATGGATGTGAATCAGGTACGGAGTAGTACAAAGTATAAGTGTAAAGGTTGATGTTCGTCAGCCACACACGCGTGTGGAAACGGAGTACCTCGGATTCGTGAATTGCGAGACTCCGATGAGTGAGGTTAGGGGTTCCAGGTTCTCTCCCGGTCGTTTGCTGCAATTCTCGGAGGTATTAGAGTAGTGTGCAGTCAGAATCGTGGAGAGATGTGGGCGTGAGACGGCACAGACGTTGGATCATTTTCTGTAGACTTGTGGATAACGGAAACGCAAGCAACCCAAGATACAGAATTAGATGTCGTCCCCCACCCTTTCTCACCAGCGCTAGTTCTCTCCACCTCAGCCCAGCTAGGAGAGGATACTGAGGTTATTCCCGGGTGTCAGGTGAAACTGTTTTTGTTCAATTTGTTCATCAGCAGGCCCCTGCCCCATTTACTGTGAAAGCATAAGGGACAGGAACGAAAGGTAACAGGATCTGCCAAGCAATGTTTGCTGTGCCTGGCAGATACCTAGAGACAGAGAGAATGAGTACGTGTGTCTGATGCACACACAGTTCGACGCGGGTAAGGCCAAGCGCGAGCGCGGGCCGAGTTAAAGGGGGGCGGGTGACGCAAGTGCGTGGAGCCCCCGCGGCCTTTTCGATGCGCTTTGAACCTGTGCTGTACGAAGTACTGCTAAAATACTGCTCAGTGATGGCAGCTGCTTCTTCTTCCCATTTTGGAGGGGGGAGGGAGGGGGAGCGGGGGGAGCCACTGGGGAGGAGGAGGAGGAGGAGGAGGAGGAGGAGCAGCAGCCAGCAACCAACATGGTCCAGGTCTGGTCCCCTTCTTTTTCCTTCCCCCGTTTACACGTACCTTGCTTCGGGTTCACCGAACCAGATCATCCTCCAGATTCCTCCTAGCTCTGTTTTTTCCTTTCCCTTCTTCTTCCTAGCTCCAGTTGCTCCATTGGTCACTTGATCTTTAATGCCTCTTGTTCAGGGTTGGCAGCTCGTGAATTAAACTACCAGACTACTGCCGTAGCTCGATAACGGCCGGCAATTGGCATCCGAGATCGATACGTTGCCTCCATACAGACCCTTCTTCTTCTTCTTCTTCTTCTTCTTCTTCTTCTTCTTCTTCTTCTTCTTCTTCTTCTTCTTCTTCTTCTTCTTCTCCCATTGTATAAAAAGTCTTGGGGCCTGCCTACCTTAAGTTTCCATCTGCTTTACTCCAGACGGGCCCTGTCTTCAGTAGAAACACCTTGCTTTCGCTTCATACACCCATCACTTCCGTTCCTCCTCCACCTTGTCCTTCTCTGTGGATAACCCTTTTTTACTCACCGACAAGTTGGTTGTTCCCACCCCAAATTCCCCTTACCCCCGTTTTGAACTCACCTCACTTTACCTCGCCTTACACAGCTTGGCAAACATAAACACACATCAACACATAACCCACGTACACATACGTACGCGCGACCGCGCACAAAAGACATATCCCACATGCTCATCCTCCAAGACGTACCCATGGATACTCGCACCATCGATAAAGAAGAGAACAGGAGGCGGATGAGGAATGGCGAGCTCTACTGGGCCTTCACCCCGGATCTCATCGCGGACCGGAAACGATGCAAGGTAGCCTGCGACAAGCTGAACAACGCCGGCGATGTAAGCCGCCGTACCCTCATTGGCATGTGGAAAGAGTGAGTCTCTTCTCTGTTTCTTCAGTTCTCTATCTCTACACCCCGCCCGTTCTCTGTGCGCGTATCGCCATGTCCCCGCAACGTTGGGTCTAGGCATGTTTAAGAGCTTTCAAGAGCTTCCCTTATCACATGTACACCTATGCATTACCTCATGTATACCCAGCACAAGGAGTGAATGGATCTGACTTGAGAACCCACCCAGCATCAACCGGGACACGATCCCTCTCCCTCAGCCACGTCTCCGCCATCACGAGGACGATGCCCTCCTTGAGGATTACCCGTGGATCGACACCCCAATAAAGATGGACTATGGCTACAACGTGAAGTATGTGACACCACCCCCGGACCTCCACAGCCAGGCGAAGCTTATCTCTTACTCACCGCCTCATAGGCTCGGCGAGAATGTCTATGTCAACTCCAACAGCACATGGATAGACACCTGCCTCATCACCGTGGGCGACCGCACCCTCATCGGTCCAAATTGCTCATGTAAGTCCCTTCTCTTCTGCCACACTTGGCCCAGCCGGCGACCCGCGAAACCCCCTAAGCTGACCTCTCAAAAGTCTACAGCGGCACACATCCGCTGGAACCCCGTCTCCGCAACGGCACCCGCGGGCCAGAATCGGGTAAGCCAATCACCATCGGTGAGGACTGCTGGCTCGGCGGCAACGTCATCGTGCTGCCCGGGATCACCATCGGCAAGGGCGTGACTGTCGGCGCGGGGAGCGTCGTGACCAAGGACGTTCCGGATTTCGTGTGCGTGGCGGGCAACCCGGCGCGGGTAATCAAGACTGTCGAGCAGTCGCAGCCGACGACAACAAAGCCGTCGGACGAAGTGTCGAACAGAGTCGTTCCTAGCTCTACTATGTAGTAATGCCTATTTTTGCGTGCCTTGCTTTGCTTTGTGTGTATGTGTGTAATGGTGTTTATGTATTCATGCCGTATCCATCCTCAGAGACCACCTTGAATGGTAAAGGACGCAATAATAAGTACGAGGACGTTGATGACGCCCCATAGTAACGGAATCCAAGTCGACATGGAGAAGAAACCGGCACGGTAAACCGCCGCTAAGCTGTGACACAATATCTCAAGTCAGCCTCTCTCTCTTCCCTCGTCACCCATATATTGACCTGAATACCAGAGACGAGACCAAAACTCACATCAGCCCAACAACACTACCCGCGACCAGCGCCTGCACGCCCGACACGATGAGGTACAGCAGCGGCACGGCCCAAATGTACGTCAGGGACCCGCGCTTGTTGGTGTGCATGGCGATGGTGATGGCCGCGGCGCCGAGGTGCACAACGCTGTAGATTATCGTCGTCCATAGCACGGTGAAGCGCCAAATGTCCTCAATGTAGAAGAGGCTCCAGCGGTGGTCGTCCGTTAGGTCGCGGAGCTGCCAGTTGATGCTGGGGAACGAGGGCGTCTTGTAGTTTGTCGGGGGGTAGTCGCGCGCCGTCTGCGACATTGCTTCGGCTTTTCGTTCTTGCGGGGATAACACGTTCGCTTGCGATTCGGGGTTTTTTTTTTTTTTGAGGAGGCCGGTGTTTCGGGACAATGGTTCGAGGTCGTGGACTTTTTGTTTGAGGTGGTTCGTAGGTTGGTTGTCGATGTAGTTGCAGTTTCGCGCGCGGTGACGATGTTGCTGGGGTTGAGTGGTCGATCTTCAGGTGCCAGTTGGGGTCGGCGGGAGGTGTTGCAGGGATGGCGCAGCTTAAGCTCGAGGTGTGGCTTTAGGGCGGTCCCCGTCGGTTCTCCAGGTGCCTCGGCAAATGCGCCCGCCCGCCGAAATGTCCTGCTATCGGCACCGGCTTCGATCGCATCCACCGGCAACATCAACCCGCCGCATCTCTTTCTTCCACCACCAGTCTCTTCCGTTGTGTATCCCACTCCCCTCCCCGTCTTTAGATCATTGTGTACCGAAGCACAACCCGCCGAATGATCGACCGTTCTCGCGAATACGACACGACACGACACGAACGATGCCGGCCGACAGACTCCTCAACACGGTCCTGCAGCTGTACCAAAACGTCCACGATGACCGCAAGACGGACCAGATCGTCGGCTCGACCGTGAACCTCCTCGCCTCCCTCTCGAACCCGCTGAACCTCGGCGTCCTCACCTCCCAGCTCCTCATCGCGCCCGCCATCTGGCACCGCCGCGACGGCCTGCGCACGAGCCTGCGCATCATATCAATCTACAATAGCGCCGCGATACGGGTGCGGCAGAACGAGCTCGATGACGCAAAGGCCTCCGCCAGCAGCAATGATTCCCGTATTATCCATACACCGACGACACGGCAGGGCGGCGGACTCGGCAGCGAGACGTGGGTCCGGGCCGTGGTCAAGGGCGCTGATGACCGCTCTAATAGGTGGCAGCATCTCCTGGTCCTCACGGGCATTCTGATGGGCATGGAGGGCAACGATAAGCGCTCGCTGTCGCGGGGTCTACGCAACACGCTGGAAGAGGCTGTCGTCACGGCCGCGAACCTCGCGCTGGAGCGTCAGGATGGGTCGTTCGCCTCGGCGTCGATTGTGCTTGCGCTCAACTACGTCTTTCCATTTCTCTCCGAGTTCCACCAGGCCGCGATTAACTGCAACGCGCTGCTACCCATTACCGTGCTCGCCATCACAGGGGAGGACGGGTTCCGGGATGGTGGGTTCTTGGAGGACATCCGGAGGGACGTGAAGCAGAACGGTCCGTTCGTGGAGTGGTCTCCCGCCTCGCCGTCGTTCAGGCTGCAGCAGGCGATGGAGAGCAAGCCGCTGATGGGTGGGATGGGACCGCTATCCCGACTGGCGGCCTTTGCCGTCACAAACGCGACGGACTCTTCAGCTGTGCTCGATGCGCAGGACTCGCTGCTCGAGTTTGCGCAAAAGCTGTTCCAGCAGTGGCGGCTCAACCCGTTGTCGACGGTCGATGCCGCGGACGAGACGGCGCGGCTGGAGCACAACACGCTCGAGGGCACTTGGCCGGTTCTCTGGGGGACGCTCAAGAAGACAATGTACGCCACAGTCGCTGTTTTACAGTCCATCGTCGGACGTAGTCTTCTTGATCCGCGCATGAGGAACGACGTCATGGGACCCCAGGTCGCGACCAAGTCACTGCTCACTCTGAGGTTTCTGTTCTTCATCTCGTCTAGACACGGAGCCAGCGCATTCCAGGCGTACACCTTCACCTATCTCACCTCTCTCGACATCCTCGCACGATTCCGAGATGCTTCCGTCTCTTTTCTCACGGAGACTAAGCCCCCTCACGCCGGAGTGGTGCCTCCCAGCCCTCTCGACAGGACACTAGACCTCTTCTATCTCAACGTCGCCGAGCACCTGCCCCTCAACATGCCCACAGAAGCCTGTGACGCCCTCATCGTAAGGCCGGCGACAGCCTACCTCACCCACACCGGCGCCCTCACAGCGTCCACAGTCGAGCTTTTCGAAGCAGCCCACAGCGCCGTCCTCTCGGTGCTCTCGTGCCCGCACAACAGCTCCCTGACCGTCAACCTCGTCCCCTTTTACATCGACGCCCTCTTCGCCTCGTTCCCGGCCCAACTCTCCACCCGGCAGTTCCGCGTGGCCTTCAAGACGGTCATGCAGATCGTCTCGCCGCCCTTTCCCATCTCCCTCGCGGAGCCGCAGCTCTCCGAGACGCTCCTCGAAATGGTGCGCTTCAAGACGCTGAGCGCGGGCACGGCGCCGCTTCCCGCCACGCATGACGCCCTCGCGCAAGCCGAGAAGGGCCTGACGGAGACGACATCCGAAGAAGAGGTCGTCTCGGAGCAGAGCTCGCTCGTGCTGACGCTGGTGGACTCGTTGCCGTTCCTGCCGCTGCCGCTCGTCGAGGACTGGTTGACGCTGACGGCGCAGGCGATGAATGAGATTGCGGACCCGGCCGTGCGGCGGCCTGTGAGGGACCGGTTTTGGGAGGTGTTGGTGAGTGGCGAGATGGATGTCGAGAGGGCTACGATTGGGGTTGCGTGGTGGACTACCAAGGGCGGGCGGGAGCTTGTTGTCGGGAGGGATCAGGTGCTGCTGCTGCGGCAGCAGCAGCAGATTCCTTTGATGAGTGGTGCGATTATGAATGAGAGTAAGTCGAGTAGGCTGTAAGACTGGTAGAGAAGCGTGTGGTTTGTTGTTTATATATTTGAGCGGCTATGAGGTTACATGTCATGTAGAATGAAGAATAATATGAGCGGCAGGAGTTACTCTCAAGACAGTCGATTCCAAATCTTCCAATCATCTTATCTGTGGCCTCTGAAGCAAGTGCTCCCTCGTCCAGAAGGGCGTGATCTACACACAGATGGCTCTGGTCTAGCAGCGAGTCTCACGTAACTGGGGAGGAGTTTAAAGTAAGTGCTTATAAGCCTCACATCCTCCCCCCTAGATTAAGTCCTACGAGATGAACAGCTATACCAGGGCAAAGTCACCACGCCATGAAACTGATGTTCGGTATTGGTATCTCGCTGGTCGTATACAATCGTATATCGCCAAGTTTCTGCTTCCGTGGTCCTCCCAATAGTCTTGGTTCTGCAATGTGGTTTCCCACGTATCAAGTGCCTTCCGTGTTCTCGACTCGATGCTCATGGTACTCATGATGTGTTCTTGATCTCCAGAATCCGATTCATGACAAGCAGAGAAACCTGCTATCCAGTGGGTTAACAACAACGATCGGGTTGAAAAACGGTCTATTTAGACTCACCAAGGTAATCCCCAAAAGGAGGCTCAAAAAGCGCAAAAGGAGAGCAGCAAACTCGTCTTTTTTTTTGGCCAGCAAGCAAGCAAGCAACGAATCTCATCGAAAGCAAGCCGGAGAGCCACAAGAGATGCCACACACGCATTCAATGAGGCACCACGGGTCCATACCACGCCTTCAACTGCATAATGACTCTCAGCGCATCATCAAACACCCAAAAGTGCGTCTCGAAGCGGTTGCTGTCAAAGAAGCTGTCGGCGTCGGGCATGAGCGGGTCCTTGGACGCCCTGATGAGGCGCGAGATGAGGGCCTTGAACATGGTCGTCTCCTCGTCCGTCAGGGGGTTGGTGGAGAAGGAGCGGGCGCCGCCGAGGAGCCGGGTGACAAGGATGCGTTCCTGGCGGGTGATTTCTGGGGCGTCGGAGGGGATTTCCGAGGGGCCGGCTCTGGTGGCGTTGGCTCTGGTTTTAGTCTTCATTGTTGGGCGAGGTAGAGATGTTTTGGGTTGAAGGGATGATGCTTTTTTGGGGTGGGTTGTGAGTGACGATGTTGGGGAGGTTGAGTTAGGTAAGTTAAGTTGGGTAGGTAGAAGCCAGCGACGGGGGATAAAGAGATGTTCTAGGGGTTTGCGATCTGGTTGTTGTTTAGAGGTGAATTCCCTTCGGTGAGGCAGAGAGAGAAAAGGTGAGAGATGTGATGATTCTGTGAAGTTCAAAAAAGAAGGAGTGACCAAAATATCACAGTCTGGGAGGAAGGACCGGCCATGGGCTGTGCGCACACTTCACCCCTTTCTTCCCTCTGAATAATCATCTTGTGTGTATGTGTGTATGTGTGTATTCCTGTCGGGATGTGGTGACTTGTTTTCCTGTTCACATGGTCGATCTTTCGTCTAGCTAGTGGCTGCCAGCGCTGCATGGTAGGATTTGACCGTTTCAAGAAAACTTGAAGGTAGCATGTGGCCAAGAAGCTTCTTTGAGAAACCTGTCACATAAGCAAGTAGGTCTCTTCTGTCTAACAATACTTAAAGCCTTCATCTGCTCGATTTGTACACGAGTGACAACTTTATATAGCAAGCCACCTGCTTGCATAGCATGCCAGGCTGGAAAGATTTATAGAAACAGTGTGAAGTTACAGCGGAATAGTATTGCGGTCATGTTTCACTGCGTGTGGACGGATTGATACTCACATTTGCCAATATCAGCCAACCATTGACTCAGGACTTGGCAGCTGACTATGGGATATGCTTCAGTCCCCAAGGGCACTCGGCTGGTACTTGATGGTAGAAGGCAGCTCTTCAGTGCATCAGTGCTCGTCTCGTCCATCTTTTTAGACGGATGTTATGCCTTCTCGTATCTGGGAAGATCATGCATTACGAAGGGCACTATGAAAAGGAAGCCGAGCAATCATCCCTTTACTGTAGAGAAACAACGCGGAAGGCATTGCTATGAGTCGCGATGGATGTTGACGATTGGTTGACTTTATATCATTTGTTCTGAAAATCACTCGCATTTGGAAGAGATGTATCTCTAAGTCTGGCCCTCATGTGGACATAAGTACTTCAGCTGCCTCAGGTCTGAGCCGAGAGGTCTAGCAGCGCAATACCAGGTCTGCGGTAGTCGGGGCGGATCAACAACTCGAAGCCTTGCACCAGATCAGCAGGGGCTCGCCTGGCTTTACGAGTAAATGAACGTACCGGGCTATATGTACCAAGAAGCGCTGCGATCCAGGGCCGTCACTTGGACACCGTGAACTACTACTCCTACCACTTCCATGCCCAAGATGGCTTGTGTTTGTTTGTTACCTTATGTATCGAACGGCAATAGTCTGCTGCCAATATCTAACGAGGCTCGATAACTTCTGTCCCATTTTTGAATCGCTCAGCTTCACAGAGAGGAGACATCTGGCGGTTTTGATAATAAAACAGGAACCTGAGACGTTCAGCACCCTCAACGTTGAAGGTAGTTGGACGAGAGGATTCAGAACATTTGGGTTGAATCCTCTTTCGAGACCTAGTCAATGGTCACTCTTCATGGAACTCCTGCATGCTGGTAATCCTATATAGTAGCTGTCTCTATGCCGGTGTCACTCGAGCAGCATGACTGAATTACAATTTTAGTGCTCATATACGAATGCATGTCCCTAACTCAAGTAGTAGAGAGTTTAACTCACGTCACCCAGATCATGTTGCATAACAGATGTGTAAATAAGAGACGCGGACTCAGCCCAGCGCGAAACCTTAACTCCATTTCTTGCACCCTGAGTCGATGCCGTCCAACCCACCCCAAAAAAGAATGACGGGAACACCAACCAACAAAAGATGAGCTTCGAGAAACAGAAAAAGATTTGGTGTTCCGACACCGAGAGTCGAACTCGGATCTCTCCGGGACTTTGAATCATTTGATTGACTGAAAGCGGAGTATGCTAACCGCTACACCATGCCGGATTGATTTCCATCAGCCAACAATCGGTTTATGAAGGTCAGACAATGTCTGTGATTGGTTGTGCTGTTACCAGGATGACTAGCGTCATGTTGGGGTCGGTTTGGAACGTCAGGTACGGGATGTGCATTGACAGCGCGGTTCTTTTCCGTATTCCTCAGACGGTTCTGAATTGCTTGGTTTCTGAACAAGTTTGATGGCGGCTATGTTCGTGCTGACTCGAGCGTAACGCTGAATCTGTTGCAAGTTTCCACAGTCTAGTTGAGAGTTGCTGGTCGCAGTAAAGGGGCAGGGTTCGCACAGAGGAACCATGGTTAGCATTGAGCCGCCAACGCACCGAACCCTCTTGGGTAGCGATGTATAGCCACGGCTATATACAGCTATGCTCGTTACAGAACCTAACAGCAAGCCCTACAACCTAGTCTTACGAGGTTTTGCCCCTTGTGGTTTCCCTTGTGGCGGTATTACCTATTACGATATACTCCGGACGGTTACTGGAACGTTGTGTAAACCAGAAGCCTGCGGGCTCTGGGTCGAAGGATAGGAGATACTGGCGGAGTTGCGTTCTAGGGACGACCATAGCACTGTCTCGGGCAAGCCAGCGGCACCCAGAGACAGGTTAAACACATAGTTGCCTTTGGGCACGATTTGGAGGACGAGCTGGACTGTATCTAGTGATAGCTATAGGCCTACGGCCCTCCACGCCATATACCCTTCGGGAAGTCTGCCGCAAGGGCGGCTGCGCCCTTGCCGCTACGGCGTTAAAATACAACAACAACAACAACAACAACAACAACAACAAAGCACCGAACCCTCGAGTTAAGAGAGTCGACCGTACTTCGTAGTCGTACACAAGTTGAGAACTCAAAAGACGTTGAAAAATTGCCCGACATGCCACTGACTCACTAACTCACTTTCCCTTTCCTCGAAACACCGATTTGACTTTGACTCGCTCAACGTCAAACCCATCACGAACAGAGCCAAACACAATGCCCTGGCCCGAAGAAACGAAAGGGATTTGAGCAGATTTTCCCGAACCATCTCTCTTCGTCCCACGGTACGGACCAGGTTTCACATTCGGGTGGTGTCACTGGGTGTGTGTGTGTGTGTGTGTGTGTGTTGCCCAAAGATTGATAACATCGGACGCGGCGGCATCGACACTTCTTGGCAAAAAGCCGGATGTAGTCCGAACGCTTATTTGTGAGGCATCAAGCCAAGCATCGCAACGTGACAAAGGTTCCCATGGAATGCCAAATGTCTAATTACCTACTGCAGTCTGCAGGTATTCATGATCCCCGTGCCCGGAGCCCCCTCCGCAGCGCCCCGAAGATCACGATCTCGCGAACCTTGAAGGGTATCTATCTTTGTTCGTACCTGGGACTTTGCGATCCTCGTCATCTCGTCACCTGACTGAGCGACGTAACCGCGCTGCAGTCCAGACTATTGACTGCCGCACGTCGTGTTTGCGATGACCGTTGGAGTACTACACTACGTGCCAGGTGCTGACATGAGCAGCGGCGGCCGGCGGCCAGCTACCCCCTCCCACACACCTCGACGAGCTTGACCCAAAGAGGCAATGAAACGACAAGACTTGCATCTCCCATGTTCCATTCTCCACCACCGCGGTCCACCAGGGAAGAGAGCACAAGAGGCACAGAGGGAGCGCCCCGCCCTAGGGCTTCGCGTACCAAGCACGGGATGAGATGAGTTACGTTGCAGGAAACTTGGAAGAAAGGAGGGAAGGGAACGTGGGAAGAGAGTGCGACTGAATGCGACGCGGCGAAAGGCCCTTTTGGCTTTTGTGTCAGACCATTGGCTTTCCGATGTTCGGATGCCGCGGCGAACGATGGCAGGACCGCGCTGCGCGGAAATGCTCCGGAACTCGGAGACTAAGAGGACTTGGCAACTTGCCCGGTTTCTCTCGAGACTAGAAGTTTTCTAGAACATGGAGACCTCGCAGGACCCACTGTTTATTCTGCTCAGGTACGTATCCGGGCTCGGACCACCTGGACGCCCGATCCGACGCCAGGACCAATTCGTCCCAGACGGTCACCTGAACGGAGCCACCAAATGAGGTGAGAGAGGAGAGACTTTCTTCGACGGTCAATCGACCACCGTGTTCACGGACGACAGACGACGGACGACGGACGACGCAAATACCTTACTGCACTTACTTGCACGGTCTGATCGACTGCCAACTCAACAAGTCTTTCGCGGCCGACAAGACAAGTCTTGGCCTCCTTCCTGGTGACGGTGTCCCGACCTCTGGCGAAAAGACGAACTTTGGAGGCTATGTTTGAAAAGTCAGACGAGGTCGGATCAGCCGCCAACCCAAAAGAGTTGGAGTGCGTCAAGCGTTGGAGGTTTCTTTTTGGAGAACATCTCCAAGCATGACGAAGGGTTGGAAAAACATTTCAACATCGCAGCAATCAGCATGAACGAAGGTGTGACGAAACGCCGCCGCCGCCATTGCCCTCTTCCCGAATGCTCGGGTCCTGCCGTAACAATGAGAGAGGCGTGCGTTTTGTCTTGGATGGGCAATAAAAGCGTACAATTATTGGCCGCCAATCTTTTTTCTCTCTCTCTCTCCCAAATCTTTCCCACACCAGGATAGACCACCACACCAACTTCAACCGCGTTCGACCTGCTGTGGCCTGCGTCACGACTGGAAAGAGAGGCGCTCCGGCTCCGCGGAGATGCAAATTCTGCATTCTCAAGGATCTGAGGCAGGCATCCATTAGTGTGGTCGCTAACGTTGCCTTACCGCGCAGTCTCGCAGGGATACCGTCCAAATGTCGCTAGGCCTTTTGGGCCCTTGGGGGCTGCCAATTCGTGCCAATCTGTGCTGCAAGCCTGCAAAACGCTTTCAGGGCTGTCTGTTACGGCACTTCCCAATGCTGCCCGTCGCTGATCATCGCATCGGTACCGCCGGTGTGATGCCAACGCTTAGACTGCCCACCAAAGGCTTCAGCCTTCAGGTCGTGGGGGGAAAGGATGCCAATCTAGCAAATGCTCGTTGTGCCTTGTCGAAGCCCCCAACTGGCGATCATCAGCTGGGGTACGGATAGATTTTTGGATGCTTCTTATCTTCAATTTCCATGGGGGGTTCCCAATTCACGCATCTCAACCTCATTCCGACTGGACGACCAACTCGGAAATATCTACGCAGCTTTTCTCGCAACGACCGACAGGCACCCTTTGTTTTATTGACAGCCATCGAAACGTTTCTAACGTTTCGCCAGCCAGAGGTACATCTGGCGCAGGTACCTCCAAAATGCCACACTGGTGGAGGGGCGTTGGCCTTTTGGTGTGTGTGAGTGTGCCGCGCAACTGGACTGGACAGCAACAGGTCTGAGGTTGGAGCTCTCCGCCGCCCGGATGCGCCTGGCTGGAGCTCAGGTGATCTGAATTTTTTTTTTTTGATTGATTGCGAACGTGGCTCCGCTCCTGTTCAAAGCCCGGCCCCAGCTTCGTCTGATGACCCCAAAGCCCAGCGAGTGCGACCAGTCGCCAGCGACGCCGGCCTGCCGCGAGGCACACCTGGCCTGGGACGTTCTACGTCTGGAAGGGCTGGTGAAATGACCTCTTTTCCTTTACGCCAAGGATGGTCGTGGTGATGCCTCAACCGTGGTTCAATGACAGAACCAGTCTGTGTCACTTGGTCTTGCGCGGTCGTGTTGACGAATTCTTGGCTACGCAGGGAAATGCCTGTGGAGCATCTCCGAATCGGAGTGTGGGAGATTGGTACTGATGGAAGTTTAATATTGCATCACTGTTTGGGTTCATATGCGACCATCGCAATCCGAGACCGCCAGCCTTGAACGGTGGACCTGGGGAGATAGGTCAAACAGCGGGCAAATGCATCTTGCATCACGATGCATTTTGAGTAGCCGTACTCCGTACCGCCGCCCCCTTTCTTACACGCGCGGATGGATACTCGATTCTGGTTTGCTGGATGACCTTGGCCTTCGGTATCAGGCTGGCAACCGCACAACCGCATCAAACTTACGGATATTGACCATGTCTGTCACGAACGCAACCGCAAAGCTCACGTCTCCGAGTCAGCAATTAGTTTCCTTGGAGCAGGTGTTGCGTTGCACGTCTAGGCTTGGCAAAGTGTGCCGTATTCGAACCTTGCCGCAACGATCCGACGAGGACGACCTTTTGGGGGCAAGGTTCCCCAACATGACCCCTTCCCTGAGCTTCGACTTCAATAGTTGAATAGAGGAGATGGGAGCCAAAAAGAGCCAAGAGATGGTGCAGGCAGGTCCTGGTCAGACGGCACGGGACCTCGAATTACTTCAGGAACGTGATGAGAGTCGAGGACTCAAGCTTTTAGTGGTGGTCACTGGTCAAGTCGTCAAAGGAAAGAGGCTGCCCGGCACAATATCGCGTAGGGCGCGATGAACAGCTCAACAGCCACCACCTCCTAGTCTCCTGCTCACAGACGCTTTCCAAAGACTTCAGACCGGTGGTTGTCGGTAACACCCTTGGCCTTGGATGGAAAGATGGAAAGGAGGTTCTGGACCAATAATTGCCCACTTTACAGGACGAGGCAAGTGCCTTGGTTTCTGCTGGCCCAGCTTCCCACCTTTTTTTTTCCTTTCTTTTCCCACGGGACGAATTGCTCATGTTAATGCTTCGTGTGCCACAAAAACATGCCAGTTGGGAACTTGGCCGGGGTGTGTGTGTGTGTGTGGTTCTGGAGCAGTGGAGGGGGCGCTTTCTAACAGCTGGACAGCAAAAGTGACCTCCAACCAAGTACTCCGTGTGCCCGTCCTTCTCCAATGCTAATGCCATAAGCCATATAACCAAGAAGAGTCCCACCCCGTGTGCAGATTGTTGGTCGAAAAGGGGTTTGAAAAGCTTTTCTGGCCTTCCCAAACGATTTCATACATCATTGAACTTAACCTCTAGGCTCTGGTCCTTGGATATAAGACACCTGAGTTGCGAGAACCCCCCAAAAAGGGACACACAGGCATATCGAAACGCCGTTAAAATCCGTACGAGCCGTCAACAAGACTACAACCAAACGAACGACGGGAGGCCGAGACAGCGCTACGGCTACATCGCGCAGCAAGCCATCATCACGCCCAGAGGAAAGAGACGCAGACGCACACCTATCCGTACCTACCTCTACGACCCCTCCCCTTCCACTTCCACTTCCCCTTCCCTCCACCGTGAGCGTGAGAAGCGGGGTTTAACTGAGCTGGCGCAGCATCCGCGCAACTTGCCCAGCGAACTGCATCTTCGTTGGAGCTGAGCTCGGAAAGCTGAGGCGAGGGGCGCGAGGCATCGATTGGGGGGGGGAGCGCTTTTTGCAGCAATCCATCATCCACAAGCACCAGGCCCGAGTTGTCTTTCCTGTTCCCCCTTTCCCTTGTTGGGTTACCTTCACCTTTGGAGCGACATTCGTCCCATTGACCTCTCATCCATCCATCCTTCGAGCATCATCGTCTCGTGCTTGCTGGCTGTTCGTCGTCGAAGGTGCCACAACATATCGGCCCAGCTGCGTTTGAATCGTCGAAAGAGGCAACATATTCTGCCACCACACACCCTTAATTGTTCGTCGTCTGCTGCTGCTGCTGCTGCTGCTGCTGCTCACCCGATCCTCTTTTCTCTCTTGATTTCCGTCCTCTCACGTTGTCGGAGCAGCCACCACCAACCCAACTCAACCAGCCACTCAGCTCTCACGACTGTGTGTGTGTGGTCTAGAGAGATCACCACAACCAGTTACAGAGACCCTAGGAGAGAGAGAGAGAGAGAGAGAGGCTTGGCCCTCACCCATACGGATTGAACATCTGGTTGTCTGTGTGTCTGCACAGCATCTGCACCAAAACGTGGGGAAGGCCGTGGGAGAGAACCAAGACACACAAACCGCAAGAAAAAGAGAAGAGACAAGCAGGTCCCATCCTGTCAGGCTGTGTGGACGTTGTGAAGCAGAACATCCCGTCCTTTTTAACAGGAACGACGACCCGGTCAAGCTTGGCCTACAGCCTGTTCCCCACACACCCCCCTCGTTCCCTCTCTGTCTCTCACAGCCGGAAGTCTTCTCCTCTCTCTCAAGAGGGACACTCACACGTATCCCATACTCACACCCCCCTCCTCCTCCTCCTTGAATCCCCTCCATCCCCACCGTCTCTTCTCACAGTCACCAGTCACCCATCCATCCATCCATCCATCCCTCATCCCTCATCCCTCTCCGCTCGTCGCTGCACGCCCACTCCCACGCCGGCGGCCCTGCTCGGTGGTGTCTGGCAAGCCGCAAAGTCTGGGTCTAGGCGAATGGCTGGAGTGCGCCCCCCCTCAAGCTGCCAGTTTATTATCATTACATAAAAGACCGCCGCTCTCTTCCATTTCCTTACACACTGCAACCTCTCATCGCTGCGTCCCTTATCTCTGGGCTGGCAAAAACAAGCTGTCAAAGATTCAACTGAAGCTCAATTGCGCCCGCTTGGATGCCTTTCCCCCCAGTCACAGTCTCAGCAGCGCACCGCTCCGTACCTTATCTCGCGGCTGTCTAGATTCTCCCACCCTTTCCAAGTCCCCCTCTACCACGCTGGCGGTTTCGCCCCAATTCCCGTGCGGGCGCTCGTAGGCGCCACTGGCAACTTCTCCCCCGGATATCCCTTTTTCGGGCAATTTTTTACGACCCCGTCCCTGCTTGTCATCTCTTTTGCGCCCGCAACCACGCGCGAGAAGTGCTAAACACCCATACAACGAACACTTCCAGAACATCGTAGGGCTGGGAGTGTGGAACACGCGACGTCACAACGGCGTCCTATCTACAGATCCGGATCCAGATCCTCCCGTAGCTGCTTGCGCTTGCTGCCGCTGCCGCTCACGCTGCCGCTCACGCTGCCGCCGCCGCCGCCGAGACGCCGACCGGCAACCTGCCTCAACCCCCGGACCAGATAAGGCATGGCAGATAAGATGTCCATCGACAACAAAGATCCCGTCAAGGAGGATACTCCAGAGACCGTGGGTTCTAGTCCCGAGGGCGAACATCAGCCTGCGCCTAATGGCACTTCCAACAATGCCAATGGTGCTGCCGAGGGCCAGCAACCAAAGCGAAAGGGCGGCCGTAAGCCTGTGAGTAACTCACTCTTTTCCCCTCATTGCATCTCAGCATCAACTTCGCTCAAGTGTGCGACCTTTTTGTGTGTTCGGTGTTGTCTATCAACACCATAACTTCCCCAGACTTTCGTCTGTGTCACACAATCTTAAGGTTTCACCTGGGACGAAACCTTGTTTGGTCCTATCTCAACTCCCGCTCGACAGGAAGGCTAATTGTTTACCCCAAGATCTACGCCACGTCCGAGGAGCGTAAGCAACGCAACCGCCAGGCTCAAGCTGCCTTCCGCGAGCGTCGCACAGAGTACATCAAACAGCTTGAGGAAGCCATCCGCGTTCATGAGTCCAACCTGCACAACCTCCAGGCCGCTCATCGGACTGCTGCCGATGAGTGTTTGATGCTGCGCTATAAGAATTCCCTATTGGAACGCATCCTCTTGGAGAAAGGTACGTCGAATCGCCGTCAATTGATCGAGGGTTGTTTTGGTATTAACAGTCTATCAGGCATCGATGTTCAGGCTGAACTTCGTGCCAAAACTGGCAGTCCCAACTTGGGACCGACTCATGCTCCTCAGAACATGGTTCAACCCCCACCTATCCAGCGAGCCATTTTGAACCGACATCACCAGTCTCGCCGATCCAATTCGAGCATCGCCCCGAAACTGGAGCCCGGCATCAGCCCTCTGCCTCCGCCAATCCAAGCAGCTCACTCGGCTGCTTCTCCAAAGGGACGGCCCACCCCTTCATCACACTCCAACTCGCCAACAAACACGGCACCGTACGGCGGCCAGCAAGCGCTTTCACCAGCAGCCTCTGACCACGGCCCGCTTCGTCCTGGCATGGCATCGTCCATGAAGTCTCAGCTCAGCCCCATGGGTCCCATGAACCCGGCCGCTCGAGCTCACATGATGTCCGGCGGCCCTCCTCGCGTTGGCAACAGTGGTTCTTACTACCCGACACCTGGGTTCCAGAACCACATTGAGCAGCTAGGTAAGTTAACCAGCCCTCTCCATTCATGAATCTTGTCGTCTTATTCCTAACACCAAGCTCAGAACAAGAATATGATGCTCCTGCGGACATGATCGAAGACTCCGAGATCGACACCCCGAGCGGACCTGGTCCATATCCCAACGGCTTCTCCGGCGACGCACCACAGCACATGATGACTTCGCCAAACTCCGTTGGTCCCGGTCACGGTCAGCACATGACGTCTCAGGCTGAGCCTCCACAACCTGCCCACACGACACAGGGTGCATACCCTTCCATGACGCAACTCTTGGATACCGGCATCGACTGGGATCCCTTTGGACTGAGCGCCAGTATGGCCTTCCCATCACAATTCTCTTTCGATACCAGCAACATGCGGTAACCCTACGCCCCCTCGGTGAAAGAATCGAATTCATCGAAACCTGCACATGACGGTGATTGTTGTGATCAAAGAGGAAGATTTGTCCAAATATGTTTCATCAAGGCCTACATGGTCGCTGTCTTGGTTTCGAAAAAGAAAAAAAAAAAAAAAGAAAAAAAAAGAAGAAGAAAAGTTAGTCATATGAAAATGGGAGGTTTGCGGGGAGGGAAGAAAACTCGATACCCCGAGACGACACGACATCAGCATTCGGACGGCGAGATTGTTTTCAGGGCGAAGCCTACAGCGGCGTCCTTAACTACAACACCAGCGAGGGGAAACAAAAATTTTCAAGATGGCTTTCAATACCCGCGCCGTGCGGTCATCTACGGGGAAATGCGATCACGACATAAAAAAGTTACCAACAAAATCATTTTGTCTCTTTCGAAATACGGACAGTCAAAACTGGGCGGCGAAAATACCCCACGGGAGGTTAGGCAGCCTGCAGTACTTGTCTCTTTTTCAATGTTTCTATATGCCGGGAAGTTTCCCACCAAGGAACCCCGCGCTTGTTTATAATGGCGTTTATTTTATTTTTTTCATCATTCACACATCGCATATTTGATGGTGTATAGGATACAGGAGGAACCAAAAAAAGTTTTTTTTTTTTTTCAATTTTATTTTTTCAGACTTCTAAAAGAGTTTTCAACATATTCTGCTTGGGTGAATGGATCTCGGTTACATATTATCAGTGAAGCAAGCGTCACTCAGCATTTGCAAGGCGCCTTGGGGACTGATGGCTTGTCGTTGCCAGAGGCCCCCGCTGTGAGGTCCAGAGTGGCCGACCGACGGAAGATGTGGGAACACGGGAACACGGAGGCATCTGGGAGGAGAATGGAGGTGTCAGCGCTTGGTAGAGCCCCATCTGTGCCTGCCGCGCGTCTGGGACAAGACGGGACGAACGGCATCGGACTCGGTTCCGTACACAAGAGACTTTATTGGCTTGAATTGCGTCGAAGACGAAGTTCACTACCCGAATGAAACACAGCCTCTGATCTGGTCATTTATCTTTGCTGAAGCGTTCTTTTTGTGTACTTGTCTTTTCTGTGAACATGTTTACACCTTATTTTGTGAAAAAGGCGTCACCGTCACGAGCAAAGCCGGCAAGGATTGCGTGTCTGCTATTACGGATTGCGTTTCTGTCGTTCGATTGGTGTCTCTTCTTCTTGGCTGGGTCCCCATTCTGTGCTAAAGGGCGCGATGTTGGTCACGTTCATGTGACGTCTTTCTTGGGAGTTTAGGTAATAGCCAAGAGCTTTCCGGGTGGGTTCGAGAATGAAGACACGTGGAGGAGGACACAAGGTAGGAGGGCCGGGGCTGTGAGGATGTATGTATTACTTTTGTGTTACTTTACGGGATTATGTGCGTAGCGGAAAGCCCTGGAGACTTGAACCGGGACTGGGAGCTTTCGGGTTTACCTAAGTTTCTGGGCGTGTGTCGTTTCCCTTTGCATTACGAGTCACGACGAGCCTCTTCCTCTCGGATCGAAGGGAACAAGCTTGATGGGGGAAGAGACCGGGGGTTTTCCTTGGTCCGAGCTGCGGGTTCCTGGATTTCTCTTGGTCATAGAACGTAAGAGGTTTGGAATCAATTATTTTGGTCTTTTCCAAATTATTGCGTTAGTGTTGACCTACGGTGCATGGTGTGGTCTTTGAGTTTACTGCTCGGGGAACCAAACTTGAAGGGACACAGGCGAGATTCCGGTTGGTACGAGTGTATTTTATGGCCCCGAGGGTGTGAGGGTCGGGATGGACGAAAAATACAGGCTGTCTGGGGAGAATGAGCAAGGCCGGTGATGACTGTGAGTTCGGCACTCACATGATGCGGTATGGTAACCGTATGGACACCTGCCTGCCTCGAAAGGGCGGGTCCATTGGTATGTCTACGCAGGTAGGTATGGAAACGACTGTGTCTGACTGCGACCCCCGGCTGGGACCTTTTGTGATATTGATTTTTGAAAAGATGGGGAAAGAATCTGGGGCACCGGCCCCCCTCCGTTTCGTTTGATTTGAGTGGTTGCATACTGTTGTTGATGCCCTGCCATAGTGGATTACGGCTTGTGCGTATGTTTTGTGACCGGGACAAGTGGGCATCCCTCCATGGTTCAAAACCCATTTTCATCACCTAATGGCAATCGACTAGAAGTTGAGGATCTGGTCCACCGTGACTGCGGGAGATGGATCATTGGGGGCGGAGAGAGGAGGTTGGTTTTCGGTTCCCCGTGAGTCCCACTGACGGTGTTCGGGAATTACGTAAGTAGGACTTTTTTCGTTTTGGACTTTGTAGAGATGGGGCCTGTTCGAGGTGTGAGACTGCGAGGTTTGTATTGTTTGCTATTGGAATATGCAAGGTTTGCAAGAGAGATGCCTGTTTTGGGCAAGGTAAATGTAGAGACGGAGAGTCAAGGGGGAAGGAGGGTAGATGGGGAATGAATCCCGGAGCACCCGGGGAGGAGACCGGGAGGTCCAGGCGGCGGAGACGACGGTTTCGGAACGGCTGTCGGCTCGAAGTAAAGAGAAGGGGGCATTGGTATTGCCGCTTGTGGGATCCGAGATTGTTGGTTGAGACGTACGTACGTAAGTATGTAGAGAACTTGGCTTGAGACGGGCCAAGGGTGATTTATGACTTGGTCATCGTAACGTGGTTTTGGAACGGCTTGTAGAGTAACGTCGGTGAAAGAGTTCTATACGCTTCCATGTCATCAGGATCACTTGGATGATTAGCCTGATCTTGGAGCCAAGGCAGGCCGGCCACTGATGGCAGGAGGGGGGGAGGGGCAAGCTTTTGGTGAAGTGAGATGCGAAGGCCTCTCACAGTTCCGATGGTCCAGGGCAGAATGTGAGCGCGAATGTTTGTATTACTTCCACCCAGTCATGTTCTGAATTATTCAGAGGCTGTGCCTTCGTTACACATGAGGTAACAGTGATGTTTCCACCTTTTAAGCAGTGATCGGTTTCTTCTGTATGCCATGACATTCAAATCCACTACCTCAAGAGCCTCAAGGTGAGGGGAGTACTCCGTATATTCACTAGACCGTCCAACTTGTATTCAACCACTGCTGTCTGGGACAGAGGAAGTGAAGTATTTGGGTCAATTCATCTCGTCTTCTGTCATCAAAGGCACATGGGGAACGAGGCCGAGGGGTATGAAGGGGGGGGAGTCGATGTACTAACCTGAAAGTCCTTGAGCCTCACTTAACCTAACCTTTTGTTCGATTCCCTATTGAGGATCAATTCTATTTTCCTCTTCTTACTTTTTGGGTTCATTCTACACCCTCCTCCTCCCTTTCTTCAAAATGGCTCTCACCCTCCAGTGCAATGCCGACTTCAGTATTAGTCTCAAGCCACGCTAAGAAATGGCGACGCGAGGCTTGAAGGCTGGTTAGCTACAGATGGTTCGATATGGTCACAACCGACAGTCGATCGAAGCCAGGAAAGACAACGCATAGATAACACGGGAAAATCAAAAGGGCGAGATAATCCCGTAGGTCCCCTTTCCGGATACCGTCAACTTGGGGAACGCATCGCAAGTTGTCTGCCAACTGCGTAACTACTTAACTTTACTTCATGAAATCCTTCATCATTTCCATACCCCCTTTACACCGCGCGTCTTCTGCCCATCGCCAGACCGAAGTGGCATCAGAAAATCCATATGCAGCTGAGGCACCACACGAAATAAGTCGTTGGAAGGATAGAATCTATAGTCGAGGCACATCTAGCGTCGGTTCGGCAATGGATCATGTGTAAAAGGTATTGGTGTCGTTATACCACAAAGTACTGGCCACCAGTTCACTCCGTCCTCGCTTATCAGTGGCTGGTCTAAATTGCCCAACCGGATGGAAGACGTCAGTCGAAACACCGGCCGACTCGGCCGCGGTGGCGGTGCGGAGTAGTGGGGGTGGCAAGACAGCGGGGAGAGAGCCCGTGACACCAGGCCGTTCAACGGCTCATCGTCGCGGACTAAGGTTCACGCAACTTTCCCGGCCCGTTGACACCCTCCTCGATATCCAAAAAAAAAAAACGCGTCATGCAGGTTCCCGACCGTCTTGCTGGATCCTCGAGGTAGACGAAGAAGAAGAAGATAATTGTAACCCCCCGTCGTCCATCTCCCAAGAAACCATGAAGATCACCGACGCCCCCGTAAACGCATCCGACGAAGCTTGCTGTACCTGCGCGAAGCTCCTCAGCTCCGTGCCCCGGTACAGCGCCGCCACCGAGAAGCCTCTCCCGGACGACAGGCGACTCGGGTGCTGCGCTCGTGTAATCTGCGGAAACTGTATCCATGTGCGTCTGCCCAGACAGAACTCATATCGCGAATCCCCCGCCTTGGAAGACAGGGAACGCTAACAGCAACGCAGGAAAACCCCCGCTTCGCATCCTACTGCCCATACTGCCAGACATCCACAGCGCCCTCAGTGCTCCCCCGAACCTCAAAGACCCGCCATCATACACCTCCTTCCCGCCAACCCACCACCTCTCCTCCGGCGCCCCGGCAACCCCGCCTCCGCCTTACACACCCGACACCGGCGCCGACGCCGAAGATGAACTCAACGAAAAGAGCAGCGGCTCCTCCTCCTCCTCCTCAACCGCCACACCCCCAGAAGACCCCCTCCACTTCCTAAACCACAACACAGACACAATCACCTCTCTCTCCCTCCGCTACGGCGTCCCCGCCGCCGTCCTCCGCCGCGCAAACAACATCACCAGCGACCACCTCCTCCAAGGCCGCCGCACCGTCCTCGTCCCGGGCGCCTACTACGCCGCCGGCGTCAGCCTCTCCCCGCGACCCGTCGAGGGCGAGGAGGAGGAGCTGCGCAAGAGCCGCATCCGCCGCTTCATGACGGGCTGCAAGGTCTCCGACTACGACGTCGCCGTGCTGTACCTCGAGCAGGTCGGCTACGACCTCGCCGCCGCCATGGAGGCGTACGCCGACGATGAGGCGTGGGAGAAGAGTCATCCCGTCCAGGACGGTGGTGGCGGCGGCGGAAGGGGTAAGAACAAGGTCAAAGCCGCGCCGCGCAATCGGGGGCCGTTTTGGAGAGGTTCTGCGTAACAGGGGCTTGAGGTTGGATGATTGGGAATCTGGTTTTGCTTGCTCACTTTGGTTCACTAGGCGCGACACGCAAATGGGCAATCGGCGTTCGGGCAATTTTTGGTATTATTAGAACTCTTCTTCATTGCGTCGTCATGTCCTTAACCACCTTCACGGCTCTGTTTGGCCTGTATAAAAACGCCGCTACCGTATACCATTGTAACGCTTTGTACGCAATACACGTGGCATATCCCGATATCTCCTATGCGAGATGTACTCGATCGGTGACGATGCCTGCATATGTAAAAAAACAAAAACCCGTCCCGGCCAACGAAGCCCTTAGAAGGCGGACCGCGTGCGAATGTCCGAAATCTTCCTCTCAATCTCTCTCACCGAACGGTCGAGTTCACCGGCAATCATCTGCTTCTTTTCGCTGGGCAGAAGGGTATACCTCTCACACAAGTCGCCGTCAATAACGCCCTTTACCGGGACGTAGTAGCCGCGGTACATGAGGTGATCCCTTCCAGCGAGCGGTGCGTCCTCGGTACGCATGTGCTGCTCGAGGTTCTGGAAGAAGTCCACGTCCTCGCGCGTTACAAACGGAATGAAGACGCCGATGGTGCCGTTGATACCACTCCAGAGCAGAACGTCCTGGCCACCGACGACCAGACTTGTTTTGGTGATGCTCGTGGGCACATCTTGAGTGTAGGAGTGGCCCAGGAGGTTGAGGCGGTGTGGTGTGCCGTGTAGGTAGTCTCTCGTATTGAGGAGATGGAGACCGCCTGACTCCTCGTCGGCTTCTTGACTTGCCTTCTCAGGGCAACGGACGAGGAACATGTTGCCGAACTTGTCGCCTCCGACGACCGATTCGTAGTCCACCATTGCGGTGCAAGTCACCCATCTGGAGATGGTATCGTCGACGAAGGGAATGAGCTTGTTCGTGGTCGCCTTGTAGACAACATATGTGATACCGTGCTGGACATCACCAACAACGATGCGGCTTCCTTGTGTGCTCAGAGACACAATCAGTTGCGTAGCCACATCGGCTTGGGCCTTCCTCAGCATCTGTCTTAGGCCGAGATCGTAAATTCTCAAGGTCTTGCCAACGCCTGCGAGTAGTCTGCCTTGGAATCCAAGGAGCGCTGATGGAGGCTCTTCGACCTTCGTCTTGTGAATGAATTCCAGCTCGTGGCCATCTTCGCTGAAGCGGTAGACATGGATGTATCCTTCAGAGAACTGGCGTGGGTTGACGACCATGTCCTTGCCCGTACCGACAATCAAGAAGCTTTCGTTATCCTGACTGGCAAACGAGACGATTGCAGCGCTGACAGCTGCTTCGTTGTTGTCGAGGTCAACAGTCTGCAGGACTCGTTGATCCTCTGATAAGGGGTCGATAACGCTGATGCAAGAAGCCCAGCGGCCTTTGCCCTTGGGGTACCCAAACTCGTCAGGCGGTAGTACTACGGCATCGCCATTCACAACGCCAGGTTCCGCGATGAGCTTGGCTCGCAGGTCGGGAGGTAGCGTGTTGTTGTCTGCCTCGACTGTGTAAAACATGGGGTGTTCAGGATGCTTGAGAAGACGTCTCGGAGTGTAGGTGAGGGGTATCGACTTTTGCGTAATGGTGTCTCCGAGGTTCTCAATGGCAAAAATTCTAATCCTCTGCGTCAGCTGGTGATCAAAAACATTTGGTTGCAAAAGATTAAGAGTTGAAGAATGACTCAGTAGGAACAATTGGTATGTTGCGTAAGACCTCATAGCGCTTTGGCATAGGATCCCAAATTTCTCATCATGTCATGGGAACGAGTGAAGAAAACTGTCGTGCTTACCTCAATGATTGGCCCTGAATGCCAACAACACCTTCTTCGCACTGCTCGCTGCTGAAGTTCCAGACCCATTCGAGGTCAACATAGTTCAAGGGCGTCACCAGGAAGCCTCGAGTGATGGGATCGGAATATCCAAGCCAGGGACGGGAGCTCAACCCTATTACGCAGGTACGTCCTTGAACGGTGGCTTGGAATAACCGCACTGGCTTGGGGCCGAGGAATTTCTGCCTCGTATCCGTAAGCTCTCCAGTGATTTCGTCCAAAACTGTGCGGAGATAGACGCCGGAGTGCAGACCGATGTGGAGGTAGAGTGTTGAGCCTCCGGACGAGGAGTCATCCATGGCAATGATTGCAAGAGATGATGGAGGGGCAGTCAAGGCTTGGACTGACTTGCTCTCCAGCGTTGACTCGGGGTCTAACGACAAGACACGCACAGTGCTGTCATCGCATCCCACAGCAAGGAACGAACTTCGCAGGCGTCCCTCGGGGATTTCACCCAAGCTCAAACATGTGACAGTTCCGAACATTTCCTTCTTCTCATCGTACTCGGCTAGGGATCCGTCGCCATCCATCTCGAAATAGACAATCTCACCCGAGCTGAGTGCAACTGCAACCTGATGCTCGTTGGTAGTTGCCGCGACGATGGACCTGTGCTGCGGTGCAGCCCACTCGTTGACTTGGCCGTGCCGGATGTGACGAATGCCCTTGGGATGGACCTGAATGAGGCCGTCTTCGCCCAGCAACTGTGCCGCCAATGTAGGCACAGATGTCAGGAAACCGGAATCGCTGACCTCCTCGACCGTTTCGCCGATGCTCAGAACAAGAGTTCCGTTGGTGAAAGACAGTACAATGTACGCATCGTATTGGTCGCCGCGGCTCAGCTTGAGAGTCCAAACCGCCGAAGGAATGCCAGGCAGTTCGGATGCCACAATCTCGTTGACTTCCAAACCATGCTTCAACATCCTGAATGTGCTACGAGCACCGTTACCGCAGGCTGTGTAGATTTGTGGCGCATCTTCACCAGTCAAGTTGGCCACCTTGCAGTCGAGCAGGGGATTCATGGAGTCAATGCTCTCGACAAGAGCGAGATTCTCCAGCGGTCTGGGATGGAAGTAGACCGCTTCGTAACCAGCCCTTGGATCTGTTGGGAAGTCGTCGCTTGAGAATTCGAGTTCCTCATCGTCATCTCCGAGCTTCTCGAACTGGTAGAATTGGTGGTTACCAAACTGGCTGGCAGCGTACAGGAAACCGCTCTTGAGGATGCAGAGGCTAGATGATACCGGTGCTGTGTCGAAGTACTTGATCTTGAGTCTCTTCACCTCGCCAGTGGGGTTACCATCTGCATCCTCAACCATATCGAGGGTGGCCTTGAAAAGATCACCATCCTCAGTCTGCAAGAGGAAGAAGAAGGCGCCAGCACTGCCTTTCAGCTTGTGCATGACGCCAGATACCACGTGGCGCTTCCTGGAAGGGTCTTCGGTCGCACCTCGCCTGCGTGGGATTGGTACGCGGAAGGCTTCTTGGTTGGAGTGCCTGTACGTGATGTTTTCCTCTCCACAGACCAAGACTCCACTCGGTCCATCTTGACCACCTGGAACTTGGAACAGGAGTGAAGCCGTGGGATCGACTGGTTCGGACCATTTCCGAACGACGTGGTTTAGTCCCAGGTCCAACTCGTAGTACACCAGCTGAGTTTCTGCTTCCCGAGCTGCCTCTCCTGTAGGATCTTGGTCTGCCTCGGTGTACTCAATCTCGAGCGCAGCGAAGACCGGGTTGGCATAGCCGACGTCCAACGCGACCATGCACAGCACCAGGGCTCCGGGCTTGTGTGCCTCGAGAGGCGAAGAGATCGTGAGCTCGGCCTGCGAATTGCGGTTGAGGACGTATACGAGCTTGTTCTTCTCGACTGAGGCGATCATACATGCTCTGCCTTTCGGATCGCATGCAAGATATTCTCCAGGTATGACACGTCGTACCCCAGACTTGCCAAAAGTCTCTAGATGCAGACGCTGAAATCGATTCTGCGCGGGAATGTACTCGACGATTGTGATCCTTCCAGAGTCAGTCGCAAGGATGAGGTAGTCTTGACACAAGGTCAGCAAAATCCTTTGACAATCACGTCTCGCATCCGAGGCCGAGCGACATTGACTGCATTGACGCCTGTCGCGACCGGCAAGCTTCTCAAATCACTAAGTGAAGCTTTAAATGGAACATGGGACACGAGACATACCTTTATTGCTTCCAGCCAGGCGGAAGGCGGCCATGGAACGGATGATGCCGAAAATTTCATGCGAGAGCAGGGTAATGACTTTGCCCTGTGACGGATCAGGGCGAAGCAAAGTCAATCGCGACCCTGACGCCGTCACAATGTTCTGCTCCTTGGTGCCCGAGAACTGACCCAACACCGCCTGCGTGACATTGGTAGGCGATTGAAGGGTCAGGGAGTAAAGAAACATGTTCGAAGTCGTCGCCATGTTTGCAGGTGAGCGCAGATAGCCTGCGCGGCCTCAAAGTTCGAGCTCGAATGGATGGGCGGTGCACGAGACGCGGTGGTGTTTTTGGAGTGATGGTGGGTTGAGAGGCTGGAAAGCTCCAGCACGAAATTTCAGAAGCTCCAGGTTCCCACTTGGCGCCTGAGACCCGCGTGGTGGGGACTTGCGGTGTCGGCATCTTGTTGATCCGAGCTCGCCGAAATTTCGGGTCGGCCCCGTCGTCGACAGCGAGAGCTCTCTGGAAGCTTGTGGGAGAGGGAGTGTTCTGGATGTCAATGCAGGCCGCAACTGGACTTACGTACAACACCGGGCGACATGGAGCCGGCTTTTAGAAGAGCAGCGTCAAGCGCTTGCGGACAATGCTCTGCAGCACTGAGGAGGCAATTGATTGCCAACGGAGTTCCCAGAATCACCCCTCGCATCGCATCAGCCCACTCGACCCGAAGCCTCCATTCCACCGTTTCTAGGAGTTCGAAGGCCAAAAATGTGCCCACAAGACAATTCTCCTCGTCCCCGAAAGCTTCGAGCGAGGCGGCAGCCGTGAAGCCCGCTACCACCGAATCGTCGACCCCCAAACTCCGATCAGACGACCTGTTTCACTCTTTCACGAATTCGCCCATCCCAGAGATTCGACGCCGTGCGGCTTTCATGCGCCAGCATGCCTACTGTTCTCACCCCGATCATCGCGCGACAAGAGTCCCGACTGTAGCACCCCACGGCGAGGAGAAACAATCGCAAACGGGTCAGCTTGCGCCGGCGCACGTCGATTTCGAGTGCCCCGATTGCGGAGTCCCCGTTTCCTGTAGCAAGGAGCACTGGATGGACGATTATGAGGCTCACCTCGAGATCTGTGACACTTTGAGGGAGATCAACGAGGACGACCATGACCTGCGATCCGGTCGTACGTTCCCGGAGTTCGTTATGGCCGATGATCAGATGCCCGAGGCGGTCGTCAACATGACCAACTGGGACACCTTCATGTACAGCCGCGAGTTTGAGGCCATTAACGACGAACGCAGCATGCGGCAGGTCACGAAGATGCTCACCTACCCCATCACAATCGGCAGTGTCCTGCATGAGTTGAGCCCTTATAGCATCAAGCAGGGGGAGAGGTTGACGAGCGAGGGTTTGAAGAGTTTGAGTGGTAAGTTGAGTGGATGGACTTAAAAGAGTGACGAACTGACAAGAAGGCAGCTTTGCGGTACACTCTTCATCCTCCTCTTACTGGAAAGGGCACTTCGATGAAGGAACTCCGTCCTGAGGCTCCTCCCGTGAGAGTCTTCTGCTTGGGAGCCCGCGCCGAATCATCGCTGCCCAGAAATGTCTGGCTTCAGCTTGCTCATCTCTTCCCAGAGAGCAAGATTCACCTGATCTTTATTGGTCCCGAAAGCATGGCCAATCGAGACGATGAGTTCCCTCTGCCGCAGCGGACGCCCGAGAACCCGTTTGGTATGGTGATCGAAGACCGGATATCGCACAAGATGAAGATCAGCACCATCGTCGACTACTACCACACCATCCACAAGACCGGATACTTTGCGCCTTACGACCCGTACTTTGACTGCTTCTGTCTCTTCCATCCTGGTTTGGGCCATCCCGCAAGCAGCCACGAGTGGACCGAGACGCTTCCTATGCTTCTGGAGACCAAGGTTCCTATCATTGCTACAGGTTACACCCAGTTTGACATGGAGAGAGATATCGAATGGGTCAGAAAGACCGCTGCCGGCGAGTTCGACGTTCTGTTGGAGCCTGGCGAAAACCTTTTCCGCAGCTTGAGATGGGATTTGAATGATCTGGATCCCCAGGACGTCAGCTGTGGAAACTGGGGAGTGTGGGCGTTCCGTGGAAAGAGGTATGCACTGCTTATTGCCCATTGGTGTGATCTGACGCTAACAATGAGAACCTAGGTATGAGACGACTAAGAAGGATGATGAGTAGGTGCTCGTCAAGTTGCTGGCTGATGAATCAAAATGGGAATTATGTTGGACCACTTATAGAGGTTCTGTAAATAAGTGTATCATACTCACCGGCATGTGCATTGTATAACACGAAAGGAGAGAGAAAAATCAAGACCAAGTCGACTCTGTAACAGCCTTGCTGCATAATGTGTCGTGCCTCCTCTCCGTGCCTGTCCAGGTCGAGACTTGTATTTCCTGCGCTGAAGCTACTGCTCATGACATAAGATGACCAGAGAGCCGAAGGTAGTTGCGGTTGAAAACAAATATGCTTCGGATTATCTGTAATCAGACTTCATTCAATATGCATGTACCACTCAATGATGCTGCTGCGCTGTGCCAAGATGAGCCAATTCTAGACGTATTCTGTTGTGTCAACCTTGCACCAAAGGCAAGGCAGTCTGACTCGCATTAGCAAGGCAAAACAAGCGCATGCGTTATCAAGTGTTCCGGCAGGTCGGGTCCGGTGGCCGGCGCAAGTGCCGGGTTGTCCTCTGCAGATGCGGGCCACTCCGGCAGGTGCCTCCTAAATGGAAGGGACCTAAGGCAAGGTACCTTATGTAAGGCGCCTGCCCTGGGGGTCCTAGCGGGCTGCAGCGCACAGGGCCACCGCCGTTGAGCCGCTAAACGCACCTGCACCGGGAGACAAGCCCTTCCTTGTAACCGACCAGCACCGGGGGGCAGGTCCCCAGTTTCCGCCCGCCGTCACTCAACCACCTCACAGATCAGCGTCGTCCGAAATCTTGCTGGCTGCAAGTCAAACTTGACGACAGCTCATTCTTGACTCTTGACTATCGCCGCCAAAAGGACACACGCGCCCGACTTCCGTGCTTCGTACCATGAGAGTGCGGTCGCGCCAACGATAGACGGCCATGGCAGCTGTCGCTACCCCTCGCGCTCCGACGCCGCGACCGAAAGCCCCCGCGACAGTCAGCTTCTTGAACGACCCGGCCGCGGCCGTTTCTACACCTTTGGCTACCCCCGGCGCCGAACGAACCCGCCCTCCGCTACAGACCAATCCTTCCGCTCGCCGATCCGCCCGTCCTACCTCTACAGACTACCTTTCCGACAAAGCGACCGCCGCCTTCATCCGCCGTGTTCTGTGCTCCAAGCATTTGGCCGAAAGGGGGAGAGCAACCCCGTCCCCGATCGAGGAACTGCTACCACCCCTGACCAGCCGAAACGACGTCGACCTCCAGCTTTACGCACTCATATCTGTGATCTTGAGGGAATACGTACAGGTGTGGTATAACAAGATCACTCCCGATGACACTTTTGTGGACGAAATCGTCCAAATAATCGCCCATTGCACGAGGGCCCTAGAGCAGAGACTGCGAAAGGTCGACCTGGAAAGCCTCTTGTTTGACGAGCTGCCTGACTTACTGGACAGACATATCCTTGGTGGGTTTCAGACACGCAAGCTCTTAGGCCATTCTTTCACTAACGTCCACTCCATAGCCTACCGCGCGGCGCATGATCCTGTGTCTCGACCTCCAACCGAAATAGACCCACGAGAAGTCTATCACTCGCTATGCCCCTTGGCTCCTCTGACGCCCATACCTCGCCCCGAAGACCCCTTATCTGTTGCGGGCCAGCAAGAGAACGAGACGCTTTATCGTCAGCTGTTGGTACAGGGTGTCTTGGCTGTTCTCCTACCAACCGAAGACCTCGAAAACGACTGCCTGACCTCTCTGGTTGGCCAAATCTTCTCCGAGCTCATCATTGGCAACGTCCTCGCCAATCGTATTTCGCAGCCATGGCTCATTTACGAAATCCTCATTATTCTCACCAGAGTTCTCGACAGGAAAGCGTCAGAGCCTATCGAAGAGGGAGTGGCGGAGGCGTTGCAGGCCGGATCAACATCCGCGCTCCCCAGACCTGCTCGTCGCAGTTGGTCCATCCAGGGCGCATTCTGGTCGCTCGTGCAATGGTCATTCCTCGCTTTCACAACTATCCGCTTCCTCGTCATCACTCTCGCAATGTCTTCATCCCTGCCACCAAGGTCAGATGGCGAGCTGAATGAAAAGGACCAAATGACTGGTCAAATATCGCATTCGAAGACGCTGAATCCCACAGCTAGCTCGAATGAAGTGCAGCCTGTCAAAACGCCAATTGCTGCCTTCAAGCTGTGGAGTTGCGTAGCAGATTTGATCGAAATGGACTCCCGCATGCCTTGGTTGAGTGGAATAATGTCACTTTTCCAGCTCGGCGCAATGAGCGGCCCAGGACGTGTTGCTGGTCTCAATGGAGCCATGGACAGGTAGGCAACCATCACTTTGTTTCTCCCTCTCCCTCTCTACCAATCTCACGTCACACCGCATGAGGTTCAAGTCACTGGATCTCAACCAGCTCCAGTGAGCATTCAGCAGCGCCCCGTCAGGCGAGTGAGTAGGACGGGATGGCTCTTCCCACGACAGTCTAGTGGGCTGCACTGTGGATGGATTTGTCGATGAGTTGATACGGGCTATGGGAACACACCTTGGGGTGCACGCAGAGATGGGGGTCGAGTCTCTTGCAGGACTGCGCGAAAAAGCCGAAATATGCTGTGTGACACTCACACCCGGCCCATTCTGCGACCCAACCCTGACTTGACCTCGTTCCCCCGATTCCTCGAAACATGCGGTTGCATCCCAATGACCTCGTGGCTTCCGACCAATCGCAGCCGGCGTCAACATTACTCGCCTCCGATTTGCTTGATAGGCCCTCGCGGGGCTGCGCTTCCATCCACCAGCAAGCCTCAATTACGCGCCCAAGTCCAACAGTGAGCATCACTTTACAGGGGGGTCATTTCCATCACCGTCATCTCCTTTGCCCAGCGCACGCCTACGGAAATACGACGTTTGGTCACCTACGGAAAGCTGTCAGTCTTACTCGCTTCTTGACGCCCCGCTGCGAGGTCGGTGGAAGAAGTGGCCGCGCATGTTGGGACGCAAAACCTACCTAAGCGGCCGCCCCTTTCACGATCTACCTTGGGTCATGCTGGGGCTGATCGCAAGCTTCCGTTCCTGACCGCCAGCCGATGCATATAATCAGGTCGGAACGGTCCAGGCCATGGGCAGTCACTCAATCCGTTCCGAAAAACGGGCTGGCAGCCCCCCGCCCAGCGGCTAATTGCCTGCCCTCCATGGCCCGATGCGAAGCTTGGCCGGACTCGAGCTTGGGAGCTAAGCTGTAACCCGGCTGGCATTTCTGGGTCTCTGCATAGTGGACGGGTTGCTCCTATACACCACCGCGGGCCGCAATCGAAGGCAACGCACTTCAACATTGAGACCAATATCATTCATACGCCTTCAACTCCAGGACTACGTTCGAGCCTTTCAGACTGCCTCCATCGCCAGTAAAGGGCCTCGGAATACAGATTCACCAGCTCGTCAATCCAGGAAGCCATTGAGCCACCTCAACGGTTGATCAACCAAGGACAACGGCATCCATTGCAATCTCGTCATCAGGGGGCGCTCTGATATCCCTGTTCTCACCCTCGTGTTACCTTTGCCTAGCCGTCCCCATTCCTCTCCTTACATACCCCCTTCTCTCACTTCCCCTCCCGCAGATCGTTGCTTCCCTTTGTCGGTTCACACAAAAGCCCCTGCAACCCCCCACACACTTGACCGTCGTGACTGTCCGAGTCGGAAGCATACCCGGGAAAAAAGCTGACATGGAGCGCTTGCCGCGTCGAAATACAGGCTCATTTCGCACACCATTCACCAACGCCTCCTCGACGCCGCATACCTGCCAACGGTCCTCCGCTCCATCCGCGCCGCTCTCTTCCCCAACAACGCCCCCGGCGTCTCGACCTTGGTGGCCCCCTCATCCGACGAGGAGCTGCGTGCCTTGCGCCGCAGGTGCGCTAGCGCCATGCTGGCCAAAATCCCGCCCTGGTTGGCTGGTCTGTATCTAGGCGGGCGAGGTCTTGGTTTCCGGTGGCGGTCCGGACCGGAGTCGAAGCCTGGTGCTGATGCTACTGCGTCCATGAGCGAGAGCGAGGCCGGTGTTCCTAGCAAGGATGGGACCCGTAACGGTGACGAAACTAATGATGTAGGTAATGGCAGCAAAGAGGACGAGGACGAGGATCAGCAGCGAATGCTGTCCGAAATCGAAGAGGGCATACTGGACATCTTTTCCGACGAGTACTGCAACAAGCACCTAGTGTACAGCATACTGGAGCTGATTCTGGTGAGGTTGATGCCGGAGCTGGCGGAGAAGGGCGTCGTTGAGCTCTGGGAGGAGCGTCTTAGTCTGTGACGGATTTATCATGAACGAGTCCTATGCCTTTCTGTGTGTTTTAGATACCCTTGTCAGTCTCGAGAAACGTATTTTGTCATTCCATATGATGGGAATAAGAGGCCCGATATATGTTCCCACATGATGTTTCCCATGATAATTCACATGCTGCATGCCATGCGATGTCTTCCACAAGATAAAATAGTCACGCGCGCATTCTTGACGAGAGGAGGCAAAAGGCGAATGGGTATGAGATGATCGTATATTCGCAGACCGGTCGGGAGGGGGATAAAGGGGGAGAAAATGAAGGAAAAAAAAAAGGGGCATATCCCTAGGAAATCAAATGCAAAAGGGGCCGCCCTTTTTTTCTCGGTTTTTTCCACGCAAACTCTCTGGCCGGGGCTAGACAATAAGTCTGTATGTTGCATCGCGCCTTTGGCCCATTGTTCCTTGAACCTCCCTCTCTCTGCCCTGTGTGTCTCTTCTCGATCGCTTGCCTTGCTTCGTTCCCAGCTCGTTGATCAATTATGATAACCCGCGCGTGGCCCATAGCCTTGACCCCCCCCACCCCCTTTCCGTGCCAACCGTCCCTTGTAGATACCGTGCCTGGCTGACCGGCCACCAACCAACCGGAACCCGTCCCCCTACTTCCTATCCTTGTCGCCTCACAGATGCAGAGAGTGTAAAAGAGAAGGCTAGGATAATACAGTACTGAAAAAGTGAAATGGTTGAAAATTTCGCGCTTGGGGAAGCTATGAAGAGAGATAGACATGAAGCAGAACAAAAATAGAATAAGGAAAAGATGACTATAGAAAACCAGGCTTAAATCGATGTGGCGCGTGGGGAATTTTGCGGTGTTTCGCGTGAGCGGAAAGGTCTTCCCTCGAGGGGAGCGTGAGCGTTGATAAGAATGGGGTATATGAATGCCTCGACTGAAGTTTCGAGTGGGAGGGATGATAATGATGCTGTTGTTCCAAGTAGTAGAGAAAAAGTCTCCGCGCCGTTGTCTCTAGCCAGTGTCCACCCCGGTCCTGTATTGATAAGTTATAATTACTTGCCCATATTTCCGATTGTCGTGAGACTATGGACCGGTGGTGGGAACACGTAATCGCCTGAGATTGATGTCGCGGAATCTGAAGCCTCAAGGTCCAATCGAGAGAAGCCAAGGGGCTGTCGTGAGACATTGACCGTGTATTCCTGGGGTTTCGTATTCCCCATGATAGGTATCGCCATTGTGAAGTGGGTTTTGTTTTTCCAAAAAAAATCGAAAATCCGGTCCCGGCGAGGTGGATGTGCTCTTTGCAGAACTCTCGTCGGGTCTAGAGATCGGCGTGACCAAAATAATGGTCGTCGTCCTGTTGTAGATGCCCACGCATACCGTGCGCGGGATGGCCTGTTTCCCAATCCAGTCCAGGAATCAAAGCAGACAAACAAACAAACAAACGCCTTGAAGAATGACGAAGAACATTCTTGCTGAAAAAAGGAGAATTGTATGCGATCTGATATGGCTTTGCTTTGCAAAGTGTTTTGTTGAAGCGTCGGGCCGGGTGTTCATTGAGTTACGACGGGCTCGGATTTGATCCCCAGCGACATCGAATGAACGTGTTGCGGTGTCATTTCAGTGTCTCCTTCGGGTATACGATCCAAAATGCCCAGCGACTGGGGTGCTCCGGATTTCGCAAGCTGATGCTGTTGTAGGCGCAATTTCTCCGTCAACCTAACCATCACCACATACTCCGTTTGGTCCAACAAGGCACCCCCATTGGTGCTTTGGATGTAACTCAGCAAAGTGTCCGCAGCCTTTCGGGCATCCTCCTGTGTCGGTGATGTCGGGGATGACCCAGCTGGAGTTGTGGCTGATCGGCCAGCCATGCTACTGTTGCTACTACTGTGGTGCAGGTGCGGCGACGAAGTAATGGCAGTGTCTAAGCCAAAGTGGGGTGCTGCCATTTCGTGAATCGGCGATTCCAATGCAGAAGAAGGTGCTGTGGACGCCGGGTGATACTTGGGAGTCATGGGCTCTGTTGATGCGGCCTGGTTCATGTACTCCAGATCGAGAGTGGGAAAGGTTTGGCTCCTTGGTCTCTGGAAGTTTGAAGCGGCCCCTCCATGCAGTTGGCGAGATGTATCGTTGGGGAGGAATTGGCCAGCGTTGGGGTCAGGAGAGAACGTAAATGTAGCCGTGGGACTCATCGCGCTTCCCGAGAAGGACGAATTCCCTGCGTCGGTCAACGCGCTGTTGAGGGATGTAGTGCTTTGCGAGTTGGTGTGCTTGTAGGCGCCGCTATCACTATATCCGACGAAGCCGAGACCGTGAACAGCGTCCTCATCACTCCTGTCGGCCGAGAGTGGAGATGGATGTCCTGTCGGCGACGCCGGTGAGATGCCAGATGCTCCAAGAGACGGAGAGCCAGATAGTTTCGCGTGGTCTGTGATGTTCGTTTCCGATGCTCTTCGCAAGAGCTTTCCTGATACCAGAATGTTCCTCTGCTTGAATCTCTCCAACCAAGTAGTGTTGATGGATTTCATTTGGCTGGCTTCAGGTCCGCCGTTGGTGGTCCGAGAGAAGTGCTTTGCTTGATCGAGAATCTCGTCGTCGCTGGGTGTTAACCCGGCTTGTTGCTGTCTCCTGACCCATGCCGCAACGGCCCGATCGATGTCCGGAAACTTTCCCTTGGTGTGCCGCCTGCCAGCGGGAGACTGACTCCTGTCCGCCTCTGGGTTCAGGTACTTCTCCTTGTTGCGTAGAACTTTGGATACGGTGCTGGGATGTCAAGGTTAGAACTTCAACGCACTCTTCTTGCTCATGCTTAGACCCACCTTCGTTCAACGCCAAACATGGCGCCGATATCCGTCTGCTTCACGTTGGGATGCTCAGCAGCATACTGACACATTTTCTTCCGGTCGTCGTCGGTCAAGACCCTTCGCTGTTGCGGCTGCGGGCCATTTGTCAGCCGTGTAGGCCTTGAAGGGGCTGGGGCGACGACGGGTGCCATTCCTAAGGGAGGTGCCGAATAGCTGTTGGGATTGGTCAACATGCTGGGCCATGTTGGCTGAGAGGGGATCATGAGCATCGGTAGCTGGGCATGAGATTGTTGTTGATGAGACTGCATCGGCTGCACAGGAGCTGGCGGAGGAGGCATTCTGCCGATTGACTCAGACGGTAATCCATGGGTGACTGCCGGCATGAAAGCGAAGCCTCCGAAATCCGACATGCTGTTCTGATGGCCGTATGGACTCATGTCTCCCCAACTCTCGGCGCCGAAGGCTGTGTGGTTGTGACCCATATGGGTGTCTTCGTCCTGTGTTAGGTGGTTGTCTTGGTCCATGGTGGCAGTTCCCACGATGGAGCTGTTCATTGCTTATATAACTATTAGACGTGTGTTCGATCCCAAGAATCCAACTCGGCAATGCTCAAAACGAGACTGTCTGTCTGGCCTGTTGTCGTAAAGTCCAGGTTCCAGGTTGGTGATTGCGAGGAGGGGGTTGCGCCGACGGCTTCGCCTTGACTGATGGGATGACACTCGGACCAAGGGTGGGGATTGCTGGTCCCGACAGATGTTGGTGGGTTTGGCTTCAAGAAAGGAAGACACCATGCATGACAGAGGTGGCCAATTGGTTCCTGAAGGCACGCCGTGCAGGCGGTCTGCTTTGTAGGTCAAGAAGCCCTGGGCCTCTCAGGGTGACTCGATGCAAGTGCGTTGCAGGCTGCAGAGAGGTGTCGGGGGCAACGTCGTCTATGAGTTGGACTGACCAGCTAGCCGTCTATTTCTCCGTGGGTTTCTTAAACGAGAAGTGCCGGTCTGGCGTGCGGGTTCTGGAGTTGGAGTTTGAGGGCGTGCTTAAACTGCGGGTGCAACACCAACAGCCGTTTCTTGTCGCGGCAACCACCAAGTTGGTCGTCTGCCGTATCAGGAACCCTCGACTAGTCCACAGAGTCTGTTCCAAGGGGTTTCCTAACCGTATCGCGGTTTGAAATTACCTAGATTAACCGGGACGAAGGTGTTATACCAGCCTTTGACGAGTTGGTCGATTTCTGACGATGACACGCCTCGCAACAACAAACTTAGGATGGGAGGAAAGAGGGATGATCGACTGTTGAAAGAGTGCTGCTCCCGGGGAGAAGGCTTGTCTGTCTATTCGGTCGGCCAGTTGAGGGTGATGGCGAACGAGCCTGACAGGACTGGAAAGTCGGATCGGGCCACTCAGAAGGAGGGAATCAGACAGCGGTATGCTGCAAGAATCAGACGCCGCGACGCACGAGGCAAGGCTTGAAGGACAAAGCTAGCAGCAGGTCGAGGTTGGGGTAGGCGGGCTTGACAAGATAGTAATACTATCAGGCGCACGGAAGGATGAAGGTTGTGTGGGCGGCGGTGGGCCGCAGTGTACATATGTAGAACGGCGGATGCTTCCCATGTAAGTACACTACCGGCAAGGGTCTGGGGTGTGTGTGTCTCGTCTTCTCCTGGGGGTGTGGTGGGTATGATTGAATCTAAGCAGAGCCGGGGTCTCGACTCGGCCCCTCGGGGTGTGTGGTAGTAGACCAGACCTTGCGAAGGATAAGATGGACTTCTCTATGTACCAGAACCGCGTCGTCACTAGGTAGTCGTTGAGAGACGATGGAGGAAGAAAGTAGACACGCGCAACGTCGGCCAGGTGAAAGTCTGGTTGATGAGCGATGCATCACACAAGACAAGAATGAGAATGCAAATGCAACTTGCCTGTCAGAAGAAAGCGCCCGGCAACGAGAGCAGTTGTGATAGGCCTAAAAGAATGGTAAAGCCGCAAAGGTGCGACGTCAGGACTCGAGTACAGCACAGTCTTATGCATGAAGCATCATGATATTGGCAGGGAATGAGACAGAGCAGAATGGAGAACGGTTTCCGCGAGGGCAGTATCGAGACCCTTTGCAACCGGCGGGACTGAACAAGAGCAAGAGAGAGAGAGAGAGAGAGAGAAACCGGACGAGGCAAATGCCGTAAAACTGAGTTCCAGGCATCTGGGGGATTGATTGTTGACGTTGACGAGGTTGCGTATCTTGTGCGATGGTGTGAGTGTTTTCATCAATGCAGACATCATAGTCGGCCTAGAATTCATGTCTAGGCCACTGATAACCGCCACGGCTAGAGTATTGAGGAGGAGCTAGAAGAAGCCACTGGCTCAGTTTGTCTCCGTTGCCGCATGGGAAGAAACGACGGACCATATGGAAAACGCTGTCGACGGGAATGGGACAAGCCACACACAGACACTAGTTAGGATGCTGATTTGCTTCCGTCTCGTCTCGTCTCGTCCTATAGCGCCTCGTCTAGACCTGGCCTCGCGGCTCGCTTCGACTTTGCTGGTGTCTTATTATTCCCCCAACGCTGGCTGGTAGGCGAACGGCTACTAGCCATTCGGGGCAAGAAATGCTTCCCTCTTGAGAGTCGAGACTGGCCATGTTCTTGGCCCCTGGGTTGTGGAGCTGAGTATGTCGGTCTCCTGCGAGATGATGACAGCAGATGGGATGGATGGCCCGATGGTGCGGATTGGGGAGATTCTGTAGGAAAAGCCGAATTTGTATCACCCAGGAAATACAATAGTAGACAAGTTGGAGTCTGGAGCCGACGGATGGGAAGAAAAAAAAAAAAAGAAAAGATAGAAAACGAGATGTTACAGAAAACGGTTGCTAGGGTGCTCAATAATCAGGAAAAGCCGAGACGGGGTCGAGAAATGGAAGAATCGCGCGCCAATTAGCTGACATCAGGACCTGCTTTGCGCTGAGATTACCACCCACACGACACGCAGACACACACGTACTAGGTAACATGCTCACTGGAGTCTTCGTACGGAGTAGTGGTCGGAGAAGGGACGAAGAGATGAGAGGTCTTGATCCAAAGACGGACGGAGCATTTGCACCCTTGACGGGCTGTATTTGTGTGAGAGCCTATAGGAGAGACTGAGGGCGAGATCGGGTTAGTCGGGGACGGGGCCTAAGGTAGGTAGGCGAGAAAGGCGCGTTCGTTGCCTTGCTCGCTCGCCGTAGTATTCGTACATGGTGTGACGGGAGGTTCCTCTCCTCTCCCCTCCCCTCCCCTCTTCTCCCGCGATGGGTACGAAGTATCGGTAGGTACTGGCGAGTGTTGCCCCGACAAGGGGTTAGATTGAGCAGAGGGGGATATAGATGAACGGTGCGGCGACTTGCGTGGGGATGTTGCCGGGACAAGGCGTAAGTTGTAACGTTGAGGTATCCGTATTCCGTAGTGCGAGCGATGGCCGGTGGAGGGATCATTCCAATGTGAAAAGTGAGTAGGACGAGACGAGACGAGGCGAAGACGAGACATGTTGAAGCAAATTAAAAAGGGTGTTAAGTCTGGTATTCGTAGATGAAGCCGTCTCTATCTCTAGCTGTTCTCCAGGGTAAGAAAGGTAAGCTAAGTAAGTATGCTGAGGTAGCTGCCGGAAGCTGGGCAGTAACGCATTTCCTCGCGGTTCCAATGTCAGCTGAGTGGCTTACCTAAGTACTGTCCAGTGTCCAGGGAACAAGAGTCCTCCGTAAGGTAACCAGAGTAATGGAAGGTACTTGATGGTAATGGATCATGGAACAAGTCGAGGTATCTGACATGTAACGGTACTTGCATTCCTCGCTTCGGTTCCATACCAGTGCCATGTTTCTCGGAGTACTGGTCTTGGATAAGGTGTCTGCCGTGCCTGACTCAGCACGCAGATAGATGATTCAGTCTTGGTCCTTTGGGCTCTGAGTAGCCGTGAGGTACGGAGTAGACCTCAGACCTGAGATGAACGGGCGGCATGGAAGGAAACGACATGGACGGATACGGACGCCAAAAGGAAAGGAAGGAAACAACGTCGTCCCATCTTGGGCAGTAGACCGGCGGGCAAGCGTTGACTGGTTCACCCGTCCTTTCCCTGCTCCACCACAAGCCCTAAGGACGCACGGGGCAGGGATATATGGGCAGGGGGGAGGGAGGGAGAGGGAAGGAACACACTCACTTCAAGGCTTCAAGGGCAGGAGCAACAAGTGCACTGTGAACTCTGCAATCCTTGATTCCTTCCCATCTCGAGCTGCATTAAGAGACAACCTCCACTGCTCCAGGAAGACCTTCTTAACCTCAAGGCGAACTCCACTTTAAGTATCCGGCTCCACCTTTTACCGCCATGGTCCGTACCTTCCCCGAATGAACGAACTTCAAAGTTCAAACAGTGGACGGCAAGAGATGGACAAAAAGACTTGCTTGACTGGGGACCTGCCTGCCCTGGGCGGAGAGCAAAAAAAAAAGGAAGTAGGTACGGAGTAGAATTTGGTAAACCACCAAGGTCCCGTCCCGTTCTTGCCTTCCCATGATACATACCCCCGGCCAGCTTATGAGGGGTCGTCTTTTTGCCTCCAGGTCTGTTGCTTCCCATAGGACCATCGCTGCCCAATGCTCCTTCATTGCGACTCATGAAGCTCCTTGCCTTCACGGATATTTACCTGGCTTCTTCTCCTCCCAGTTTTTTTTCAACAGCATCTCCTACTACGGATACCTTACTCGGACATCGCCGCAGGGGCATCGACAACGAGCCAGTAGCAGTCTCATCTGCACTTCAAAGACCCTGACTGGATCGGAGCTCCAACTTTCTTACCTTCCCGCTGCCTTAGTCCCTCGGCACGCTACACTTCTATTCGACGGCTCGGCCGCCTGCCTCCACGTCTCCAGCCGCTCCCACTAAGCTATCCGTTCGATAGCTACCCTATGGACGCTCCACGGACACAATGTGAACGACCTGCCAGAAACACATCCACTCAACGGCCTCATCATCTGACACTCCCGCTACGGATCCCCATCCTGATTCCTGACCGACACTTCGTTATAACCTCGACTCGCTATTCCTTCATGGATACGAGTCCAGGAACCTGAGCAGCGCTGCGCGAATACTTCACCAAGAAGCGCCTTCCGTGCCACATGGACCTCCCATCGCGCCTTGTTCCGACCACGGCCTAGCTCAGAGTTGTATACATAGTCTTCTCTCTCACCGATACAATGTGCGCCTAACTCGGCACGCCGCACGCCAACCGCGAGACTTGCCTTTCCCCTCTTACTCTCGCCCTTCCCCAAATCTAGTCCCCCAACTCGCAAACGCCTCGCGGATACATCGCCCCGACCCTACCACGCTGTGCACGCCTACTTGGTTGTCTCCGGTCCGTCCAAGCTGTCAAGCGATCGACTGATGCTACGAGAAATGGCCCGCCGGCGACCTGACCCATCCCTGTCTGGCGTTGTCAGGGGGGGGGGGGGGGCAACCCCGACGTCCCACCCTTCTCTGAGCCGTTCAAAGTACTTCGTACGGATACATGGCGGCCATTGACCATCTGGGGAGGGGGTGTGGTTTGATAGACCTAGAACTTGTTGCGGATATCCGGTCGTTCACTCGCGGACTGCTATCGCCTTTCGAGCAACCCTCAGGTCCTTGTCAGCAAGAATCAAAATAGCGTGCCATTTTGTCAGCCTCGGTCTGTTCAAATCAAGTCAACCGGGCGTTGCCAGCATAAACGTCTGCGGCAGTTCATGGCGATCAATGCATTCGACCACAGGGGCCTCTTCAGTCTGGTCCGATTCCTTCAAACTACTTCCTTCCAAAACCATTTGCGAGTGTTCAAATCCCACCAAAACTCCGACGTCAAACAAGCCAAGGTCTGCCAAACGCTTTGATCTCTCATTTCAAGTTTGATATGCGACGTCAATGGCAGTCTGTCAAGCCTTGCTGCTGCCCGATGTTAAACTAAGACCTACCCGAACCACTCTGACGCGCCCGCCACGACATCGCGAAAGCCGTTCCCAATAGCTTTCCGTAAAAAGTACAAGGACTCCTCACGACGCAATTCAACGCTCATGGAATTGGCATCCACAACCGTCACACTCATCGTGGAGCGTCGTTCAACAACCAACGCTCCTCGTTGGACGGACAGGCGATCGCGATGGGCGCCTCCCCTCCTTCTTCCAACGCTGAACGTAAAGCTCTGTTTTAATCATGGCTTGTTGTATTCGGTTAGATTGTCGGTCCATGCCGTCCATCTTGTGGCCCGTCTCCCATCCAGCTGAGCCTGCCGCGGTCATGCGGTTGGAGATTCGAGTCGATACAGTTTTGATAGATCTGGCTAGCTCATCATGGGACGGATCTTTACACTCATTTTGCAACCAATGAGTCAAGAACAGGGTATACTCGCCAACATCCGGTCCACTTTTGCGAGGCACTCAACTTCCTTACTCTCTGGATAGCTCCAGCTTCATGGTCACCTTTGGAGCCGTCACAAGACTTGATATGAAAGTCAGAAGACAAGCGCAAGCGCCATTTCGGTCTAGGGAACCAAGAGTTGAGGGAGGATTGCTGACCAACAGCAGCGCTCAAATCGTTTTCGGAATTCCCATTGGACATAAATTCCGGATTCATCACCAAGTTCGCACTGGTCATTGGATGGAAAAGATTTCTCTCGCATGAGGTGGTCCTAGCAAGGCCATTGAGAGGCCCGGACTGATTCCCAGTTGGTCAGATGGTCGCGTACGAAGACTTGCTAATCCGTGGGTCCATCTTTGAAAGGCTTGCTTAAACGGATGGTCTGGCCCAGCCTCGACGCAAAGGCGCACAAAAGCGAATACTTCAACGAAGAGTAGAGCATGACCGGAGGGTACAACCACGATTGGGGCATGATCCAGGTTCGGATCCAGGGTCGACCAGCATCCACCCGCGTTGGCCCGCAATGTGCGCCGTTCTCAATATGAAGCGGGCCCTGCCGACGGTATCCTGGGCCAGGCTGAATTGATACCACAGCACCCCCGACTCAACCCTCACCCGAGGCAGTATCTGATCGCTCTAACAGTAGCTTCACATCAGTCATGAGAAGGGCCTCTCATTTTACGACAACGTTGGGCAATCAACATGCATAATGATGATGGGCGGGCCGGGGAAGAGACTAAACAGGAAAGAAGGCTGATTCGGAGACCCATCTGCTCCATCGTCCCCTTGGCATCTTCCCGCCGCTAGGTAGGGTAAGGGTTTTCCATGAGTTCATGAATGACGCGTATTAGCCAGGCTGACGATATCACTATTGAAGCCATGCTAGTACGACGATGTGAGCAGTCTGCCCGCCAACTTTAGTTCAGAAGCCTTCGGATACGAGGAAGAATCTCAGGTTCTGGTGCTCGCCTCGTCAGTGGCTGTCAGCCGTGGCTAATCACATTTAGCTGCCCTACCTTGTCGAGATAGCAGGATTTCACGACCAAGCCATTGTTTCAAGCCATGAGGAGCTCGGGCTTTGGGAACTTAGCCAGACACGAGGACTTGCGTTTGACACAGCGGACGGAATGACCGCATCCACGTTCTCATGTCTCAACTAACATGATGGGCAAGATGCCAGCCGGCCATTGCCCTCCTCGACGACTGCTCCAGCGACTGGTCCTTCGGCAGACTACCCCCGCCCAAGGCTGCATCTGGTCTTCTTGGAATATGCTTACCGTACTACACTACTACACTACTACGTATGCAGGCGCGGGACGTTCACTACCAACTCTGCCCTTTGAAGCAGCGTTCTGGGAGGAGATGAGAGCTGCGTCAGTGCTCAGGTGGAGCGCAGCTTGCTTGTTCCCGAGCCCTCCCCAAAACCCGCTGGAACTGACCGGGCTGGTCGACTCATGTCGCCTTGGAGCGAGCAGGGGACCTGGGCAGCACGAGCAACATTGCAGCGCAGCATCCGCCGCCGCCGCCGTCTGTGTTGCCCCTGCGCCTATTTACCCTTCCCTGCAGCCGTTCTCCCGTGATCTGTGTCCTATCGCCCGCCGTTCGCCTCATCTGTAGTTGATGCAAGGTACGGTACGGATACACTCATCTGCCCGCAAGTAATCTCGAGTCGAAGTCGAGACGAAAGGCCAAGATCGCTGGATTACTTTCGACTGCGACCATACTCCGCAATCGACCTTTCCTTGCTTCGCATATCGCGGACTCGGACCCGGGACCCCTCGTCCAGGCTCCTCCCATCATCCTCCGAGGATAAGATGAGATGAGATCACGGCTCGCTGCGAGGGCCACGGCCGACCCACCATTGACTAGCACGTCCCACCCAGCAGTAGCAAAAACAAAAATCGGGACTTGTGAGAGGAAGAGGAGGTAAAGAGACCACGAGACATGGGCGGTAAAGCAAGTCTTGTGAAAGGCAGGCGGAAGAGGAGGATTCGCATCTGACTGGTGGTGAAGCTCTCCATCCCCCCTCTTTTATTTTTCGTTCTACTGAGAGAAACCAGGTCCGTGGCTGCTTTCATTCCGCCGCCGGGCACGTTTCTCGTCGGGGAATTGCAGTGAAGTGCATCGCGCCAGTAGTGCCGAGTCCGTCTCGAGACAAGCGTCAGCAGCAGCGGGATGAGAGGGCAGAAGAAAAGGCGGAGCTATGAAGAGCAGCATGGTAGGAGAGCAGAAAAGGGTGTCGTCTTAGCTCTGCTTTAAGCGCCGACGTTGCCCTCGATCCAGGGAGTCCCCCGTCTGGCTCACCCACACACCCGCCCGCCATCCCCCACCCCTCCTCGGCCTGTCACCCCATGCACTGGAGGAGGAGGAGGAAGAAGAGATGTGTGTGTCTACGGAGATGTGTGTGTGTCTGTGTGTCTGTGTGTTTGCACGGAAGCTGCATAGTCTTATTCACACTACCTATTCCTCTAGTTCCTCTCTCTGTGTCTCCTCCTCCACCCACCACCTCTTCTTTTCCCATTCGCGCGCGGAGCAGAGTGGTGTAAGCTGGGCAAGGGTATACACGCCGGGTACGGGCACATGCGTTGAGCCTTCTTGCAGAAAGAAGAATACCTACTGCGTATGCAACCCACGCTTCTCCTGGGAAGCATTTGCGGCCGCAGGACAAGAGGCCCTCGGCTATGCAGGTTCGCCCACGATTTGGGCTTCGTGACTTTTTTCTCTTGGGTTGCTGCTGCTGCGTGAACTTCAGATGGTGGCGCGTGTGGGGTAGACGGGGCGGGGATGGGGGCACCTTTCCAACGACAGTCTATCTCAGGTCTCTTTTTTTTTTTTGCCCCCCTCGACGACGACACTTGTTGAAGACGACCACGCGAAAGCGGATGAAAGACGATGGTGGTGTTGCGCGCGCGCGCGCGCGTCCGCTCATGAGGCTGGCTAACAAGAAGAAGCCACGCTCCGTATCCACACGGATTGGAGACCGACGAGAGCCCTTCCTTTTTTCTTGGGCGGCACGGCGGGCTTGTCCTGTCAGGCACGCGCCGCCCGGCAGCCAGCTTTTAGTGCCCGACGGCTTCATGGCGAGGACCTAAGAGAACCACGGATACTTGAACTATTATGGATTGGGATGGGATGGGCGGCGAGCGGGCTTCACTACCGTGGAAGTCTGGGACCCTAACGCGAACTGGACCGGTCCATCCCAATCCAACCCAAATTCATCACAATGATTCACATACAATGGATGATATGCAACGTTTCTTTCCTCATTAACGGATACCTACCCCAGATGGGGAAAACGAATTGAACATCAAAAAGATGTAGACGAGCATTGTCTTTGTATCTCTGCTGCCAGAAGAAGCCGTTTCGATTGAAGACAAATCACTTTTTGTTGCAAGCCGGAACTCCCACCCCCTTTTGTCCTCTTTCCTTTTCATCTCTTTCTCTCTCTCTCCCTCTCTTTCCTCTATAATGCAAAGTAGCATGATATAAACGCTTGCCTGGCCTGGAGGAAACCAACAGTGCCCTTGATCCCCGTCATCACCTCCCCCCTAATCCCTCCCAATCCCCATCGGAATCTCGGCGGCAAAAAAAAGACACAAACATAGAGCAGGGAGATACCCTGACGCCGCCATCGAAGGGGACCTCCCCAACTCCCTTCTCCCCTCGCCACGAATGTCTGCTTGCGGCAATACATCCCACATCCCATGCTCGGCAAGAAAAGTAGCGTACCTAGGGAGCAAAACCCACATTCACTCACTCAGTGTCCCACTCAGCCTTGTTCCTGGGGGAAAGAAGGAGAGTCGCAACAGAACAGTGCCATTGTGTTTCCCGGCCTTGGCTAGAGCTTACGCGCGTAAGATGCCAGTTGGGTCGGTCGGTTCCTTTGGTTCCAATGTTCACTTTTGAAAGGAGGTAGGGTAGCTTGCATTCTTTTTGAGTTTGCACACGATGCCATGGAATCGGTACTCGAGTGAGATCGCGGCAGATGGGTAACTGGAAGGATGGGGAGGGGAGAGAGATGGCGGAGAAAAGAGGCAAGTGGCTTGAGATTTTGTTTTTTTCCTTTGCCAAAATGGGGGTTTGCGGACGAGGGAACCCGAAGGCGGATTGAGTCTGGGGCTGGCTGGGCTGGGCTGGGCTGGGCTTGTTTCTCCTTGGGGCCAGGCAAAGGCATTTGAGGCGGCGCGGGGGAGAAGCATGACGACAAACGGCCGCCATGCGCCGCCGAGTTTTAGCTTGTCGCCGCGTTCGTCAGCGCTTGACGATTGTGACTGCGTAGTAGATGGAGATGTTAGTGCCATTGTTTGCTTTTCCTAACCGAACTTCACTTGACTGCGCGCTTCCTTTCCCCGCCGGCCTCTTTTGAAGTAGCTCGCTGTGGGAAACGAAGGTTTTGAGATAATAATGACGAGGGGAGGGGTTGAGGGATGTGGGGGGTCTTGGACAGGAAGATGAAAACGTACCGATATCCTCGTCGGATAGCTCGTGAGATAGACCGACGCGCTGAGGCTGATGCTTTACGGACTTGCCGTACACAATGGCGGTCTTGAACTGTTCGAGAATACTCCTGTGGATTTGGTTACACTAGACGGAAGGGACGAATCGGTTAGCTAAAACAGAGCGAGCAAGAGCAAAGCAGCAGCAACATGCGCTCCGTCCATTTTCGCACGCCTCCTTGTCGCGGACCAAAAACAAGGTTCACCCTACGTACGACACGGGATTTGCTCGGGACGACGCGCAATGTCACGCGGAGGATCAACTACTCACGAAATCTTCGACCGTGCACCTGTATGAACGGAGCACGACGGGCTGAGAGTAATCTGGGAGTTTGCCCTTTGGCTTCGTATAAACACGGACGAGCTGGAGCTTATCCCACCTATACGCCAAGGAAAATCAAAAACGTTAGCTCTCTGGTTCTTGTGAGGGCAATTTAAGGAGTAACGGGTTGATCCTTGTCGTGAACGACGATCGTGTCGCTCCGGAAGACGAGAACCGGCCGAAGGTCCGACGCGGCTAACAAGGAAATGAGGCCAGGGGGAGGGAAGAGAAGCAAAGTTTGAAAATCCTTACATTGCCTCCATCAGCTCGTCAATGTTCCAGCCCTGCTCCGAACTGATCGGCACGGCGTTGGGGATACGGTAGAGCAAGTCGAGCTCCTCGATACTGATGGCGTCAATCTTGTTGAGGACGTAGATGACGGGGATGTAGTTTCTGCTCCTCGCCTCGAGGACGTCAATGAGGTCGTCGATGGTGGCGTCGCAGCGGATGGCAATGTCGGCCGAGTTGATGCGGTACTCGTTCATGACGGCCTTGATCTCATCGTGGTCAATGTGGGTGAGGGGCACGGTGCTCGTGATGTTGAGGCCGCCCTTTTCCTTCTTCTTGAAGGTGATGTTTGGCGGCGACTTGTTGATGCGGATACCGAATCCTTCAAGTTCCGTCTCGATGACGCGCTTGTCCGTCAGGGGCTTGTTGACATCGAGGATGATGAAGATGAGATGGCACGTCTTTGCGACGGCGATGACCTGCCGACCACGACCGCGGCCGTCCTTGGCTCCTTCAATAATACCCGGCAAATCAATGATTTGCAGCGGCGCACCTGAGCAACGAAACAGAATGTCAGTATTTTGACCTTTCTTTCCTCGTTTCTCTTCTCTTGCCACCTCACTGTCCCGAAGCACACAATCTCTGTAAAAACGTACCATTATAAGTGACCTGACCCGGCACAGACGTCAACGTCGTGAACTCGTACGCCGCGGCCTCGGAGTGCTGGCCCGTCAACTTGCTCATCAGGGTACTCTTTCCCACGGACGGGAATCCGATGAAGCCGATACTCGCGACACCCGTACGCGCAACGTCGAAGCCAGCACCACCGCCGCCACCACCGCCCGAGGGCGTCAGGAGCTCGCGCTTGAGCTTGGCGAGCTTGGCTTTCAGTTGACCCAAGTGGAAGGACGTGGCCTTGTTCTTTTGGGTCTTGGCCATCTGTTTGAGGAGGAGGAGAGCATTCCGTCAGCCTTCTGATTATGCGTCGCATTCGTGTATGGCTTCTGTGTAGAGGATGGAGGGGGGGGGGGGGGGGGGGGGGTTTCCTCATGTCGTTGGATTGAGGGTGACAGACGGAGACAGCCGTCGGAGTCAAGACACCGTCATCGACGACGAGAAAGAGCGAGACGAGGGTTGCCATCGGTTTGGAGGTGGAGGGGGAGGAGGGGTTGAACACGTACTTCGGCCTCGATATCTTTGATCTACATGAACACAGAGTTAGCCAAACTGTTTCCCTCGCAAATAGGCAACAGAGGAAGGGGGATGAAGAAGGAAGGTATGCGATTGTTTCGGCTATGAAGCCCTCCGCAAGAAACATTACCTTGTCAACTGTGGTCGCCATGATTGCGGTTTTTCGTCGTCAAGACGTTCCTGTGCTGTATGGAGGGGTTCGATTAATGGCTAGCCTTTCCGATTGCGACGTCGACGTCCAAAGGCGCGGGCGGGAGGTAAAGTTGAGAGAAAATGTGTCGTAGTTTGCAGGTATTGGGTGGGGGTATCAAATAAAGAACGTTCGTCGTCGTCTTTCTGCGTCGTCCACCTCTGTCTCGCTGCCCAAAGTTTGGATTGATGGTTCTGGCAGTTGGTGATTCCGGTTGTGCACCTGGTGGTGGGTTTTGGGGTGCAAAATGGCGGGGACACTGGCACCTTGTGCGAAAAGGCTAAGGTGGTGCACATGAAATTATAGCGGGGCTTGATGGATATACGCCACTATCATTGGCTGGAAGGATTTTCGAGTGCAGTGATGTCAGAAACCTGAATCATTCAGTCAAAAGTCTTCAAGATCTTAGGTAAGGACTGCCAACACTCTGTATCGCGATGTACGATGCGCAACAAGCGAATCTTGGTCTTGACAGACAGCATTTGGAATATGGTGTTTTCGTCATCTACCTTCTCTGTCCCTATGTTCCGTCCCAACCAGCAATGCCTTCCAGGCTTCCAAGCTCTTGATTCTCGGCTCCCAGCCATACTCGTCGTGGCCCTCCCTCCCGTTGTCCGTCAACTAACCACATACAAGAAGTGATTCTTGTGCCTCTTAGACTTCTACTTGATAAAACTCTCATTCGTCGATATGGCTATGGCGACTGTGTCGCTGACCACCAACTGGTGTAATCAGAAGGCCTTTAGCATCCACCAGACCTATGCTGAAGCCAAGCGAGTCTCTGTACCCCAAGATTCGAAAGGCGAGATAGGCCGCTGGGTTTATCTTCAACAGTGAAAGGCGGTGGTCCCCCTGGGTGTTCCATCGGCACTCGGGGCGTAATGAGCCGGGGATTGCTGCAGGAATGTGTACATGTGTATATTAAATAATGGTACGTTTGATCTACTTGTGATCCGACTCCACTCAGTTGGTGCTTGGGGCTGATATGCCGTTCACGCCATTGGGAACAAGTCTCGGCTCGGGCAACACTGGCGCAGTAGCGGAGGCTGCCGGCTGGGTATCATTGACGGGCTCAGCCATTGCTTCTGTGACATTCGACTGGCTCCGCGGCGACAAATGTCCGCCGTTGGGCATCGTCGGCGTTTTTGTGCCGTTCAGAAGGAAATCAAGCCCTTGTTCTTTGCATACGCGGGCATAGTCGGGGTCGCCAGGGAAAACCTGTTGCAATCCCTTTCGAGGGGCCCGCTTCTCGGGAAAGGGTGTGCTGCTTGTAGCAGAAAGTCCAGGCATCTGTTCCTCGACCATGACACCGTTGACATAATATTTGTTCCTTGGCGCGAATCCAAAGAACCGATCAGCGTCGGGATCTTGTTTCCACTTCTGCGGAACTTGCCATCCGTAGAGTTGGCCTTCGTTGTCTGGGATTTCGCGATACTCTACGCTCATCTTGAGATCCCGGAGATGAGGAACGTCTGGAGCAATCGACATCAAGTCCGACACCTACATCCGGAGTCAGCCCAGTCACCCCACTGTCATTGGACAAATTTCAAACGTACCTTGACAAAGAACATGTCCATCTTCAGGAACTTCTCACGGGCCTCAACACGGAGCTTCTCCTTCAAGCGAAAGCTCATCCTGAAGGGATCCTCGCCTTCTCCGTAATAATCTGGCAGGCCAGCTCCGAGCTCGTAGAAGTTCTCCTTGAGCAAGGCATACCAATCCGACTCAAGTCTCCAGATGACCTTTTTAGCGACGTCGGACACGGGGACATGTTCCCAAGCCGTATCTGATTTTTCGTTAGTGACGAGCAACATGAACAGATCATTCGAGCACTTACATCTTGACAAGGAAAGGTCCTTCTCTCCGAGGAGTAGCGCGATATGTGTGTTTAGCACCCATTGTTCTCTGCCGTCTGCCGTGCCGTTTGCTTGTGGGTGAATGGTGTCGAACCGCACGCCTTGCATATGCTTGAACTTAGCCGCGTATTCCGAGGTTTTGGGGTTCGGGCAACCGTCTAGCCAGCGCAACAGAGGAGGCAATTTCGCCACGCGCATGCGTTCTTGCTCCTCGAGGATACGACGCTGCTCGGCCTCTTTAGCAGCTTGCTTGCGCTCCATCTCCTCGCGCTCAAGTCGCTCCTTGCGCTCACGCTCTTGTCGTTCCTCCTCCTCGCGAACTCGCTTGGCCTCCTCGGCAGCTTCTCGCTCGATACGTTCCTTGCGGAGCCTCTCCTTTTCCTCTCGCTGCTTGCGAGCCTCCTCTTCCTTCCTCTTGGTTTCTTCCTCTTCGCGCCGCTTCTTCTCCTCCTCCTCGCGGAACCTTCGTTCCTCTTCTTCGCGCTCGCGTTGCTTCTTCTCTTCGGCCTCGCGCCGCTGCCGTTCTTCTTCCTCCTGGCGTTTCTTTTCGAGTTCGGCCTTGCGCTTGCGTTCCTGCTCCTCACGCTGTCTGGCTTCTTCCTCCTCCTTTAAGCGTTTCTCTTCAGCCTCGCGCTCACGCTGTTTCTGCTCAGCTTCGCGTTTCTTCTGCTCGGCCTCCCGCTTCTTCTCTTCGGCCTCGCGTTCGCGTTGACGAGCCTCCTCCTTTTTGCGGGTTTCTTCGGCCTCAGCTTCACGGCGCTTCCGCTCTTCTTGACGCTTCTCTTCCCTTCGCCTCTCCTTCTCTTCAAGACGTCGCTTCTCATCGTCGCGCTCCTTCTTGACGCGTGGTTCCGCTTCCACTGTGTCCTTGACATCCGACGCATCCGGCATCTCGATATCAAAGTCCTCAGATTTAACGTGGATGCTAGATTTGTCACTGTTGCTTGATTTCCCGGATTCCCGTCTGTGGCCATCAGCATCAGCCTTGGGCTTGGTCGGTCTCCGATCGTTGTCATCTTGGTCTCTCAAGCTCGACTTTGATCGAGGCGGGCCATCACGAGGTGTCCTGTGAGGATCGTCGGGTGAAGCAGTCGATTTAGGCCGTCGCTCCTTGCCTTCAACGTCGAGCCGCCTACGCTTCACAGGTGCCTCGCCTTCATCCTTGTCTCCCGTGCTCGAGTGTGGTGGCGTGACACTAGAACGGTGACGCTTGGACGAATTGTCGCCAGACACCGATAGCCGATCCCGAGACTCGTCTCTCTTGAGAGCTTTCGTGCGATCGTGGTACTTCTCTGACAGCGGCTCGCCCTTCGGCTTTTCGGAATGGTCGTCAAGTTTTGGGTCGCGGGGGCTCGAAGGATCTTTCAGTGATGAAGTTGTAGATACCATGCTCGCTCGTCGGTTCTTCTCCCTCTCGCCACGGAGCTCCCCCTTGGAAACGAGCTTTCGGCGCGGCTTTGCAGCTTCCCCTTCAGACGACATTGCGGCAACATCAGACTCGGCTCGTTTCGCTGCTTTGGCGGCCTGCTTCTGTGAAAGAGCCGGTGAGGCCTCTCGGTCTGAAACAGCGATCGTAGGTACTCGCTCTTCTTTACGCGGCCTGCCGGGACCACGCTTCGGTGAAATTTGATCTTCGTGAAATGAATCTGCCCTACGTTTCTCCTTGGGACTCGTGATGGCTCGTCCAGAAGAAAGTTTCTTCCTTTTCTCCGGGTCACGGGATGGGCTAGAGAGGTTACGCTTGTGCGCACGCGCTTCGTCCTTGAGTTCGTTTCGACCTTGGCGCTTCATCTCACGGTCCTGCTCCCTGTCGCGATCTCTCTCGCGTTCCTTCTCTCGCTCGCGTCTACCAGGAGATTTCGTCTTTGAGATATCGCGGTGCGACTTCCTGTACGCATCGTAAGACTCCTTGAGCATGTGCTCCTCATCTTTCCAGTTCGTTCCCTGTCGACGGCGGGCAATTTCGTGGTAGGTCTCGCCTTTGAATCGGCGAGTCGGATCAAAGTTTCCCTGATCCAAGAGTAGTCTGACGACCTTGATATTTTCCTGGCCAATCGCCGCCAACATCGGTGTGGCAAATTCGGGTGGCATGCTCGAGACAGGTGCAGGATCTGGATTCGCTCCACCAAGAGCCAGCAGCAGTTGGATCACGACTTCGTGCCCACCACGAGCAGCAGCAACCATGGCTTCCGAGTCATCGCAACCGTCCTTAACCTGCAAAATTCGCGTGACAGTCTCCTCGTCGCCTTTTCCCGCGGCTTGTCGTAACGTCTTGTCGTCGAGTGACATGTACAAGAGATGATTGCTTGTCTTGTTTGCCCTGACCGTGCCGGCTCGTCGACCGCTAGCATTAGACGCAGACGGCGCAGGTGACCGTCGTGGGCTGTCTGGGCCATGAGATGACCTGCTATCGAATTGGTCGGCAGGGTGATGGTCTTCGGATGTACGTCTGCGTTCTCCCTGCCGTGACTTGGCTTCAACCAATGCGGCTCGGAAATCTTCCGCATTATCCAAGTCGTCGCTAACTCGATCCAAGGGCTCCTCTCCGCTCAAGTTGGCTTTCCTTGGATTTACCCCCGCATTCAGCAATAGCTTGACCACTCCCAAGTGACCGTTGTCGACAGCGTCTAACAATGGTGTGTCTTTGTCATAGTTGACACAATCCAGGTTGCAGCCCGCGTCGATGAGAAGCTTGACGATGTCCTCGTATCCGTTAATCGCGGCAATCTGAAGTGGCGTGTTGCCAGCATAGTCGGCCACATTGAGATCCTCGGGTCGCTCTCCTAGTCTTTGCTTGGCCAGGTCGTATTCGCCTCGGGCACATGCCCTGGCGAGGAAGGTTTGGCCGTGGGCGTCGAGATGTTTCTTGTGTGGTGCAATCTTGGCCGGCGACATATTTGACTCAGCGGTTGCGGGGGTGGAGAGGTTTCGCAGCTTGGAGCTCCGAGGATGAGGGCTGCCGCTGGCAGAGGATTCATCCGAGTGATAGTCTGTAGATTGCAGCGGGGGAGGGAGGCGTTTCTTCTTGTAGCTCAGGCCATTAGACGAGTTTGCGGGAAGTTGGGTCGAGACGCTCCGCCTGTGGGCACGTGGGTGGTGTGGAGAGACGGATCTGGTGCGTGATCCTGAGTGGCCGTCGTGTTCTCTCCTAGACGAAGACGAAGACTTTGGTTCCTTGGGCAGACGAGCTCGAGCTTCGATGGTGTTGTTGTTATCCGAGATTCGTTGCCTTCGGACCTTTCGATTTTCCGCCTCATCATCCGAGTCTGCCCTGGAAGCTTTGCGTTTGTGGGGAATCCTATCGATGGACTTTGCCCGGTCTTTCAGGGACAGCTTGGGGGATTTCCTACGGTCAGCACCCGTATCGGAATCGGAGTGCCCACCAGATCGACGCCTGCGGTGGGGAGGGGACGCAGGAGCCGAGCTGAGGCCGCTGGAACCATCTTTACTCCTGGCGGATTGATCGTGGAGGCGCTTCTTCTTCAAGCCGAGCGAGGAGGCCGTTTCGGACAGACGGGCAGGATTGGCCGTCTTTTCCTTGTCGCCGTCTCTGCTAGCACTCGCATCACGATTTTTCCGGGGGAGCAGGGGGACTGGGAGAACCGGGGGCTCTCCATCGCTGCGGTCCTCGTGCTTGACCTTCCTCACCTTGGAGGGTGAGTGGCCATCCTTACCAGGCAGTACGATGGTCTCGGCATCAGAGTCTCGGTCGACAGGAGCGTCGTCGGCTACAGGAGGGGCGCGGAATACGATTACGCTAGGCTTGATGTCTTTGGGCAGATGAGGCGGGGATTTGATGGAATCGTCCAGGTCCTTGGTCGGTTCGCTGTTGGACTCGTGAGACTCGTCAGGTTGATGATTGCCCGGTCGCTTCTCCGCCGCAGCGACGGGCTTCGGCTTGTCGGACCCGGCAGCATTCTGCGCATCCATATCATTTATCTAGAGGTCGAAAAGCTGGCCAGCACCATCCTGGCCAGAGGTCGGCCGCGAGAAAGAGGGTTGGAGAGGCGGATTGAATTGATGGCAGTCGGTGGACTATTTCTCGGTCGCTCGAGATGACCCCCCTAAGAGAAAGTGGCCAGGTCAGTCACGGGGGGGGGGGGGGGGGGGGGGTGCGCGCGCGCGAATGGCGTTGGGCGTTTGGGTGTCGGACGGGAGGAAAGAGTTGCGTATTGGATATCGGATCACGTCGAGGATGAAAGGGACAGAAAAACGACTAAGAAAGCGCCTGGCCGGGACAGAATAATGCGTGCGGAATGTATGGAGGCGGGCGTTGGTAGAGAATGTGGGAAAAGGGTCTGTTGGTGACGCTTGATGCTTCGATTTGGCTGAAAGGTGGAAATGGGGCCGCGAGCGAGTCTTCAGAGTCAAAAAGTCTGATCGCCACCTCTTTGATTGGACCCGACCAGGGGGGGATGGACTTGCTCGAAAATACGGGACACGGGACAGCCACAAGCAGCAAAGGAGACGGGAGACGGGAGAAAGAGAGAGAGGAAGCACCAGCCGACATCAGGCAAGCAGGCACGCAGCCCTGAGGCAAGCAGGCACGCCGCACAGCAGGCTATGAGAGTGAGAGGTGTGCACCTGGTGGTAGCGGCACTGCCAGTGGCAGCCTGACGACTGAGGTGGCCACATCAGCAGTCGGCACTACGTAAGGTAAGGTACTCGAATTTGACAAAGTGCTACTTGGAACCCCAACAGAGTTTTGCTGGATCTACAAGTACCCATCGTCGACAAGCACGCTGTCTCGATAGCAACGCCGTCGTCTTTCTTTTTCGCAAGCTGCAGCAACCGGCTGCACGTTGTCTATTGGGCCACCTGACCCTGGACACACCAGCCTGCGGAAATTTCCCATGGCTCCAATGCAAAACGAATACCTATTTAGCCCGACCCGACCATCCAAGGTTTTTTTTGGTTTGCTACCTAGTCTTGCAAATGCCAAAACTTGTCTTTCTCCTTGCTGGTGGGAAACCTCGAATCTGCCCGGTGGGTGTTCTTGGTGCGACTTGAAAGATACGTATAGAAGCCTCCAAATTCTCTGGACCCCACCTCGGCCAATCCCAGCCCCCTTCCAGAGTCGCAGCAGACTCCTCTTCCCCCTCCCCGGTCGTCGCATCTTGAATTCAAACAGCGAATCATGAGCGACATTGAAAACGGAGAGCTCATGAAGCGGGACCCAGACCAGCCAATCAGAGTCTGTGGCGAATAGCACCACTGCCACTGAGAACGGATACCTTATCGTCAGTCACACGCTGCCTGTGACTCCATCTACCGTTTCCTGATTAGACCTAGCGTATTCTAAGCAGGCGTCCGTTCTCGCCTTCTCCTGTTATTAGTGCAAGACCTCCCATCCTTGACTGCTTGAGGCAACTGGCGACCTCTGGTTTGGCGTGTCTGACTGTCTGACAAGCACAAGGCAGGCGCGCTCAAGCCTTGAGGACTGAGGTAGGTATTCCTGCCCGTCGCATCCATCCAGCTCCCGTCCTTGCTTCTCCACCCAACCTTGCCATCCTCGTCGCTCCCATCGTTGCCTGGATCGTCCCAGCTCGACGCAGAACCGTTTGACCCTTGGCTTCTTATGCCGCTTTGCAGCCGGAGCTTGGATCTTACGTCGACGACATTCGCGCACCTCGTGCCGACTAGCCACAAGCTTCGACGTACCTGGCCTTCCCGGCCTCAACATCCAACATCACGTCACTTCGTTTGGGATCCCCATCCATAAAGTTGGGCGCAGCGCCAGATCACACCACCCGTGTCCTAACTTTCAAACGTCTGCGACCACACAGCTGCGAGGCGAGGCCGTCAATATGCCTTTGGGAACCGTGAACTTACCTGCCTCCCTCGACGACGTCAGAGTCAAGAAGCTTCCGCCATCCTCTTATTACATTGCAGACTTCATATCAGAGGAAGAGGAACGCTTAATCTTACAAAAGGTACCGGAAACTTATTTCGACGACGTCCGTCGACGCACAGCTGTGACTAACTTGCCTTTGCAACCAACAGATAGCTGAGGCACCGAAACCCCGCTGGAAGCAACTGACTCATCGACGTCTCCAAACATGGCCGTCCGATCTCGTCAACAACAAGCTGATCGATGCTCCCTTACCACCGTGGTTGCAAGAGCCTGTGATCTCGCGGATTCTCTCCTTGCCTCTCGCCGCCGATCCTGATTCGTCCAATCTCTTCGCCGGCAGTCCTCACAAACGACCGAACCACGTGCTAATAAACGAGTATCCTCCGGGAGTGGGAATCATGCCGCATAAGTTGAGTACATGGTAGGTGTTCACGTGAAAAGCTCTGAATCTCATACTGGCTATAGGACGGGGCTGCCTATCATCCAGTTGTATGCACCGTCAGTCTTGGAGCAAGTCTATGTCTGAACCTATACCAAATCAAGGAAGATGGTGTCATGGACCCCGAGCCTGTGGGACGCATTCTACAGGAGCCCAGGAGTCTCCTCATCACTACCGACGACCTCTATACCGATTATCTCCACGGCATTGCCGATATCGAGGAAGACGTTGAGCTCTCTGCCGAGACGATTGTGAACTGGGATCTCCTGCGTTCGCAGAATGACTTTTCTGCCGGCCGAAGCGCGCGCGCAACCAGGACGAGCCTTACATATCGGGATGTCATGCAGGTGTCGAAGCTTGGAGCCAAGTTTGGCTTGTTTGGAAAGAAGTAAAATTCGAGGCGCAAGTGTGTCTAGAAGACAAAGGGTATCATCCTCCATTTACTGGCGACCTTCTCAGCGCCAAACTTGTGTGCGTACCACTGTTTGGTACCATCTGCTGTTGTGCCCAAGTTGGCGACGATGAACCATAGCGCACCCATGAGGGTGCGATTGACGATGTAGCCCTTTGGCGCGGCTATTATGGCAAGGCCCAGATAGATCAGGCATTCGCAAGTGTAGTGAGGGCAGATGAGGTACCGAAAAAGGCCCTGCTCCGGCAAGGAATACTTTTTGAGGCTGGCCAGGTGTTTATGGCAATTATGCTGATTAGTCCAGCCGTAAAGGTACGCGATGGTCCCCATGACGACTCCAGGCGACAGCAGGCCCTCAAAACTCGGTGCTGCTGCTTGTCTCAAGGCAGCTGGGAAAGGTGAGTGTGTATCTTGAAGTGGAAAATAGACATCCTCACCTGAGCCGTCGACCCAGACGGATACGCTCATGCAGAGATAGAAACCCAATCCAAGCAGCCAATGGACGAACCACATTTTGGAAGACCCTGGTCTCATTACAAAGAGACACTCGTACAACCTCCTCGTGCCTTGCAGCGCCATCAATGTCCAGACAAGAACCGTCTGCTCGATGCTCGTAGAAGGACCTCCCGATGCCGCTTGCCGAGCAGCGATGAAGGTCATGGCTGAACCGCTTCGAAGATACTGCCATGCCCAGAAGGCCGAACCCGCAACGGACGCGACGTAGAAGTGCATAAACCACGAGTGTGGGATTTGACCAATGGACGACACCGCTTTGGCGGCTTTGGTGAACAAGTCCATTTCCTTGGGACCAGTGGCCTCCTTCGTCCGTTCATCGGTGGTATTGGCCGGTGAGCGGGCGCCGTAGTCGAGGAGAAGACGCTGAGTTGTCCTTGGGACTACTTGAATAGCCAATACTGCTGCTGTTGAAAGCCCGAAGAATACCTGGCACCACTGGGCCGGCGTCAAGGCTGGAAGAGCATTCATCTGGGTCGTAAGGGAGGCCATAGGTGTGGTCCATGTGATGAGCGGCTGTTGTAAGCTGCAGTTGAGGCGAGGGCAGGGATTGCTTAGGTATTGTACAGTGTTGCGGAACTATGCGATACGGTCCAGCGTAACGGGCCGGATCAATCGGATCAACTGTCAGCCGCTCCCGATGGGCACCTAGTTGACGGCGTAAAGCAGCGGGCATTTCAACCCCCAATACGGAGTACTCGAGGCGTTTTCCACGCCGGGAAGCTTATTCGAGGGCGCGATTCTCGCAGAAGCACAATCCCTACTGGATTTTCACAAGAGATGTATGCCCACATGCAAGCTGAGGGAGGATCAGCACACTGCGTCTTCCCGCCCGTTTCCGCCCGGCCAAAGTGAGGCTAGCGACAGCGTTTCCCGTCTCTTTTTGTAAAGTGTACCTACTACGTAAGGCGGCCCGTCGAGGCGCCGCCGTCATCATTGGGGGCGGGCGGCTCTGCAGGCTGTAGGCTTTCTCTCTTGTCTGCCTGCTGCAAGCTACCTCGTTAGGACTCGTCAGTGTCGAAGCGCCTGGGTGTGGCTTGCGGTTGGACTTGGAATGCAGTGAGGTAAAGGTGTGGTCTTTTGGTGACACCGATTCTCGGCTTGTCTCTTCATCTCGAGGCATCGGTTGTAGGCTTTCTTTTCTTGACGGCGTGGGTCGCGAGCTGGGAGGGAGTTCTGGGTGTATGTAGATGTAGATGGAGGGAAGTGGGAATGTGATTTGAACAGGGCCTTGCGCAGGTTCCGTTTTACATTGGTGCATGCACGAGGTACCTACTCGTTGTGAGGTCGGTCAGTGACAGCCTGATCATGGCTTAGATTTGGTGTGGGAGTTTGTGGTGTGTTGGCGTTTGGTCCGCCTGGTTCGCCCGGCGTTGCTGGCGCGGGGTCGCGGGTCGTATGAATGAAGTGGGAAGCGCGGTTCGCTCTACCTCCTTGAACTTGCGTATATAAGAGGATTCTGTTCTCCAGAAATTCAGAGTGTTTTCATCTCTCATCACGAAGTATCGAAGCACAGCCTCCCTTATCATTCTCCTCTTTGGTACTGATCCCTTTCCACCTTGATACTTGGCCTACCTACCCGCATCTCAGCCTGCGTCTAGCCGACCCGATTCGCGACCTACATACACCGTGACGTTAAACGACACTTTCCTGACTCGAGACTGCGCTGAAATCAATCCCCTCGCTCACTTTTTGTCTTCTCTGCTACGTCTTCAACTAGTCTTTTGCCTCTCAAGTGAAGCTCGTGAGGTATTTACTCTCTTCTTCCGTGCGAGGCTTCCGGATCGTGACCAACGTGACATGGTGTCCGTCACCCTGTGATACGTGCTCATACCCGCTGTTGCGCCGTGGCGGGCTCGTTCCAATAGAAAAGAGATATTAGCTAGTTGATCTACTGCGTTAAAGAGGTAGTCAGTCTAGTTAGTCTATGGAAGGGGCTTGGCTGAACAAGTATGATGATCCGGGCATGGAAGGCGATATCAGAAAGGGGCGGCGGGGGTGTGATGACTTCGGATTTGGGATTTGGGCTATCATGTGCAGTCGATGAGATTAGTTTGACTACAACTGGAAACATGTGTAATGATATATTCGGGCCAAGAAGACGATGATCTGACTAAATTACCTATGTAATGGTGTATCCATAACATACATAGCTTGCTTCGTAGGTCTCAGAGGAGAGTGGCATGAGAGCTACTCTCCCGGTCGTTGAGATTGGTTTCCGGCGATTGCGTTGGTCTCGGGACATGGACCTTGACATTACATGGGAAGCAAGAGATGGATGTATTCGTCTAGTGATGTGATTCATTCTCCGCTTCTGTTTTAGTTTTATTGGGATAAAGCCAAAGCACTCACATCGACAAGTGATAGGGTAATATAGGAAATGCAATGCCCTCATATCTAGCCTCTTCAATGGTGATCGGTCAGTATCGGTTAATTCTTCCAATGTCTCGTGCACGAGGAAGAGCGCCACACGTACGTTTGGACGTGTACACGATATCAACCAGCCTGGACCATCTACAAACATTGGTAAAACGAACGATGCGTTTGCTCGCCCACTTACAAATACTCGTGAAATCAAGAAAGGGACTCCGGGGTCGTCCTTTCTTATTAACAGTTCTCTTCTCCACGGACCTAACACCCGTTTTGATCACTAGAGATGCTGCTGACAGGAGTGAAGTTAAGAACTCTTCCATTAACACGAACATCTAAAGATGAAAGTCTCGTCCTCGGCCTCATAAGCCTCGTCCTTAAACATTTTTTTCTTCTTGTCCAACGAATATAACGAGCGTTCGAAGCTTGTCTTCAACTCTTTGTTGGACCGATTTTTGGAACCATGACATAAAGACGAGCGTAAACTTACATGGCATAGCAAGTTATCATTGAATTTACGAGAAGGTTGAAGGCGTGAACAGTTTGGCCCATGGGTAGTTTTGAGTGAGCTGAGTGAACAGAGGGGGTTCCTATTTATGTTTGCAATATATTCACGTCGAAACCGCATTCCCAACAAGACGCTTCCTCGCAATACTCGTTGGAAGAGATTACTTCATTAACTTGGGTTTCCGAGTCTTGGAAGCCCTCATACATAATCCGAAACTCCATGGTCTAGGTAACCACCCCAATCTATATCTACTCAATCAAACACCGACATCGACCATCTCACAACCCCTTAAAGCACCCTCTGATCCATCCCAAAACCCTCTTCAACAACCGTCTGCCACCTCTCTTCTCCCCCTTCCTTCTCCCCCGAGCCACCTCAGCCTCAGCCTTCCCACGACTCAACCCGAGCCCCCCATCCTCAAAGGCCCAAGCTCGCAACCTCTGCAAGTCCCACGCGTCCCTCTCCGCGTCCACAACCCTGCCCAGCGCACCATCGTCAAAGGCAATGCCCCTCCAGAGCAGGACTCCGAGAACCTGAGCCCGCTTCGCCCGGCGAATAACCTCCTCATCACCCACCACGCGCCCGACCTCATCCCAGAAGAGGGTGCGAAGGGAGGCTGCTTCGGGATAGTACTCGAACCTCGTCGTCGTCGTCGTAGTCGTGGCGGTAGTAGCAACACTTACACCGCCAACACAGTCGATATCACTGCTCTCATCAACAACAACATCCTCCCCCAACACCTCCTCAAGCCCGTACATCCCCACCCCGAACGGCAACCACTCCGCCTCAGCCCAGTCAATCAACCCAACCAACCCGCCAGCCCTCTCCTCCCTCCCCCACCCCAGCCTCTGCCTCACCCACGCCTCGCCGCCCTCGCCCTCACCCTCCTCGCGCGGCGGATGAACCATGACGTTATCCGGCACGAGGTCCCCATGCGTAACAACCCAAGGCAACCCCTCGATATCCCCCAAATCCCCCCTAACCTCCTTCACAACGGCCCTAAACTCCAAAGGCAACCCCTTTTCCATAATCTCCAACCGCCACGCCATACTCCCTCCCACGCGGCCCCTGACGCCGTCGCCGTGTCCATCACCCCAAAAAGCCTCCCGCCTGCCCCTCCACGAATCCGCAAAGACAACAGCCAGATCCGCAACAAGCCTCCGCCTCGACGCCCTCGGATCCGTCCCCAGACCGGCGGACATACCCCTGAACCCCGTCAACGAAACACCGCCGACCCTCTCCAAGAGATACGCGCACAGCTCCCCGTCCTTCCTCCCCCTCCCACCACGGCTCGTCGTCGTCGTCGTCTCCAACCCCTCCAAGACACCAAGCTCCTCCACGCCCGGCACGATCCCATCCCCAAACACAGCCCTCGCCTCGCCGCAGATATCAACATCAATACCATGCCTCCTAGGCCGGAACTGAACGAGTCTTCCACCACCGCCGCCGCCGCCGCCGCTGCCACCGCTCTTCCAACTCGTACCGCCCTCGCTCCCGCTTTGACTCCCCAAACTCCCTCCACCGGTCCCTTCACCAGCCTCGACCCCGCTATCCCGCCGCGGTCCCGTCGCTTCGTGGCTTACACGACTACTGCCGGGCGGGAGCGGCCTCGGGAGCGGCCTCAGGAGCAGCGTATACGAGCAGTACCCCTGAAACGGCGCCCTCTTGACGTCGCAGGCGGGAAACAGTGACTGCGCGAACTCGTGCGCTGCCGCGATGGCGGAGGTGTGGAGTCCGTTCCGTTGCAGGAATGCGGCGACTTTGCCGTCGTCGTCGTCTTTGGTCTCGGTGTCTTTGCCATAGCTGCGTTGTAAATCCGCATCCTTGCTCACGGAATCCAGGGCCGGGCCACCTGCGGTATCATGTATAAATGATGTTATCATCGAAGCCACCCCGCCACCTTGTCTCGCAGCTTTCGCGGCAACACGATTATCGTCATCTCTGCGGGGTTGGGTATCAATCGACATGATTTCTTCTTCTTTTTTGCTCATTTCTCAAGGCGGTTTTGTCATTATACAATAAACATTACGATAAACCCGCGAGTTGAAATGCGGGCTTTCGACGACAAACCGTTTGTTTATCATATGTTTTCCTCAGCTTGTGTCAGAGAGGTCGTTTGGAGTCAAAAGGTGGGGGGGAGAGAGAGAGAGAGAGATGGTCCAATTGAGTTCACATGACGGCACCATCAGCTGGTTTTCCCGCCTGCTTTTCTCGGTCAGCGCGCGTATGTGTTTGGTTTTTCTGCAGCAGATGGCTTTTTTTTTCGGGGAAAGAGAACATGAGGAGATGGAGGGAGGGGGGGGGGGGATGAACAACTCCGACCACACCCACTCACCCACGGGATGCGCCCGCGTGGGGTGTTGTCTTGCAGATGACTAGGCCGTTCGACCATCACTTAAGCTCGGGAATAACCACACTGCTTGTTCTCAAGATGGCAATGGAAAGATACTACCTCACGTCACAAATAAATACAAGGAGAGGCAACATGAAGATTTGTCTTTGAATGATAAGTTTGTATTATTACCTTTCGGTAAATTTAGAAGTGGATGAAGAAAAAGAGAAGAAGGAAAAAAAAAAAAGGCCAGGGTGGTTTTCTAGAGGACAAATAAAGTTTTTCCCTAGCCCTTTTTTTGATGAAAAACATCCCGTGTTTATGCCCGTTTCCTTTACTCCATGCGAAGGGTATAAATCGATGCGCGAACCTTATGGCCGCGGCATGCATGCTTTGTTTCGTCGGTGCACTCGGCTCCTCCATCTTACACGCGGCATCATCTTGTCCAGAGTGCGGTGCGTCGGCCAGGGAAACTCCGCAACGGAAGGGCGGAAGGGCGGAAGCGCTCCGGCTTTTCACGCCGGTTTTGTCGGCTTCCGCCGGCGCCGCCCTACTCATCCGGGTTTCCCGACGCCACGATGTGCGGCAGATCATCCTGTCCGTAGCTCTGTGGCCGTGGACGGCGTCGACCGCGGCTCCTGTGGTTGATACAACCAGACGCTTTCCCTATACACCCAACACCCTCCACAGGCTGACCCGGCTCTGCCTGCGCCCGGTTCTATATGATATTCGGCCGTTACTGATATTCGTTACACGCGCAGTGATTGCGCAGCTCGCCAGTCCATTTGAACCAGTTTATTTGCGGGCTCTACGGTCGAGCTCGACCTTGCTGTACCATCCGGCACCAATCATGGTGAGAATCATGCCGGAGCCGTTGAAGAGGTGGACTTCGACGCCAAAGGCGATAATGCCGAGGCCAACCGTCAGGCACTGCTTCAGGTTACCGCAGATGCTCATCGTCAGAGCACCGGCGACCTTGTTCGTCTGGAAAGAGGCAACGTTGAGGGCGAAAGCGAGAATGCCGTTTCCGAGAAGAGCGATAACGGTGGCGAGACTGATGTTGCCCTCCACACGCATGGTGTTGAGATTTCCGAGCTCGCCGGCGGCGATGGCGCAGGCCAAAGACTGCATAGCCGCAAAGGGCGACATGCGCAGCAGGACCTCCATAGCGGGGAGGGCCAGGGGGCCGGTCATAATGCGGTTGGTAGCGACGGTCTGTTAACATGTTCGTCAGCAACTGTAATTGCATTGATAGTAGCACTGTAAATGGGACGAAGGCTTGCTGGACGAGTTTCAGAGGGCGCAGAGGGCGGAGATGGCGGACCCAATTGGAGCCGCCGGGACCACTCTCCGCAAACTCGACAAAGCGTAAGGATTTCGGATGATGGACGGGGGATGGGCAAACCCAAAGTAACGTACCTTGACCGCAGCAAGCAACACGCCCGCAAAGGTGAGCAGGAAACCCAGGTCGGTGAAAGTGTACTCGCCAATGGTGGTCAGAGCAGCACCAATCATGATGGGAACCAGCGTCAGGTAGGTCATGTTCTCATAAGTGCGACCAAAGACAACGCGGTAGATGAGAACCGTGAACACGGGGACGGTAGTTCGGAGGACCTGGTAGAATGGCACGGAGACCATGGCACTGCGTAGTGAATTAGCATCATTGCTCGTTGAGTTTGTTCGAGTTCCGCCCCTGCCGGCGGCGGAGCTGCCGGGGAAGGTGCGCCATCATGCGGCACAGCACAGAACAGGCCCAAAGAGGAAGGATTTTGGTTACTTACAGTGACAGGTTAGACACGGCAATGTTGGTGGTGAAGAGCAAGCTGAAGGCGAGGAGAATGAGGTTTTCGCGGCGTCCCAGATGGGACATGGTGAAGTAGCCACATTGGAGCAAGCAGTAGCAACCCAAACTCGCGCACGTGGCGTGAAGTGAGGTGAGAAGCCACGGGAAGGGGAACTAAGATGAACGTTAGAGGAAGCTCATCGAGGAGGGCACTTTTTCCATCATTTCATCGCTGGTAGTTCGTTTTCTCGACAATTCTGACGAGAATCCGGGGCTGGCGAATGCAATGATGAGAGGCAATTCACATACCGCTCCGAGAATCAACTTGTTGTAGAGGGTCAAAACCAAGCTGAACATGAAATAGGCGCTCAACCAGCCAAACTTGACCTGAGGTGAGATGGTGTATTCGACGGGGTTGCGGACTCTGTCGGCGTTGGCCTGTTGTTCGGTGGCGGCAGTGCTGTTGGCCTCGAGATCGTAGCTCTCTTCGATTCGCTTCTCATCGCCGTTGAGGAGGCCGTGGCCCTCCTCGCTCCGTCGAGCCTCGTTCTTGAGGTTGCTGGATTCCGCCATTGCTTCCAAAGGGTCGTCGGGACGGCGGGGGGGGGGGGGGGAGTGGTGGGTTTTTTTGGCGTTGGGTCGTAGAAGAAGAGGTAGAGCTTTTGGGTTTTCCCCGTTTTCGTCGGAAGGTGTTGGAAGCCTCTTTCGTTTATTTGTTTAGAGACCGTGTGTTCGTCCACAGGTACCCTGTCGCTTAGGGGGTAGGTCGAGAAGCTGACGACTGTCCTGGTTTCACGACGTAGATCGGTCCCGAGCGGGCGGGGGGGGGGCCTTTGGGCGGTAAACGGGCGTGCGTCAGGTAGTCGAGCTTAAAAAAATAAATCGGACTAAAAAGCGACGAATGGAGGAACGGCTGCGGACGATGGGACAAAGTGTAAATAAAAGAGAAAAAGGTCCAAACGAGAGGCAGAGCGATCGAAGGAGTGTGGTTGACGATATGGATGAAGGAAGAAAGAATAAAAGAAAACAGGGACCTGGATAGATGGAGGTAGGTGAGGTGTGTGGTAATGGGGGGCGGATAACAGAGGCGGGAGGTACAAGGCAGGGGCGTTTGCTCAGTGGAACAGGCTGTAAATGAACCCAAGACTTCGGATCGCGGGCTTTGCGAGGCGTCAGCTAAATCCGATGCAGCAATGTATTCAGAAGGGTCTGGAAATAGGGGGGCAGGGCAGGATTAAGGTAAGTTTTAGAAAGGGAACGACAGGAACCGGAAGGGTTGGAAGGACGTGTGGAGAGAAAAGGAATAGGAGTCAAGTGAGTGGTGGACGTGGTGGTTGGTGATGAGGCGGGCACACGGCAAGACAGGTAGGTGAGGGAGAGGGTGGGAATAGGAGTGGGATGCACGGTACGGAGACTGGAGTATCTCAGAGAGAGTGAATACAAACGGGATTGAGGACAGGACAGGGTGGAGAGGGGAGGGAGGGATGGCAGAGGAGACATGATCCACCGGGGTGGAAGGACAAGAAGAGGAAGCAGAGGAAGCCGAGATACTCAAACGGGCATCTTTCTCGCTTCCGCGCTTGGCATCAATGACGTTTCGGCTGGCGGCATCGCTCACTGCCAGTCCTCCTTTTTTCGAGTCCCCCGTCTTGTTCATTTGCCGTACGGTGTACGGTATACGGATAAGGATACCAGATTCCAAGTGCTCCCCAATAATAGACATTAGATGCATCCTCCAATGGTGAGTGAGTGAGAATGCCATGAGTGAACGATTGACCGAATGAGTAAGGTAAGTAAGTGACTGAGTGAGTTGGTGACTTACAACCATCTCCCGGCCCCGGCACACGATAAATTACACACGTACCTTGGCTAGTCTGGCTAACCCAAGGGAGCTTCCTCAAACAGTAAGGGTACCTCGAAGCTCGGGGGGAGGAGGAGCACACCACGAAATTCCGTAGAGACAGACAGAAAAAGTCAGAAACAAGACTTGATCCTCCGCCACTATCCGTACGTAGAGTAGCAGTGCAGGTAAGGGGTCTCTCAGATCTGTCTGGGTTTCTCCCGAGTCTATTGAATGGAAACGAAACCCGGCATCGCGGCTTCTCATCTCATACACTTAGGTCCCCCCCTCACACCATATGAGAGAGAGCTTACGACGTGTGTACCTACACTGTAAGGGAGCGAGAGCAGACTCAGCCACGGGATACGGGCGATACGGCATCTCTGTCACGAGCGATACTCAATAGTGGACAGAGGGCGTCGTGGACACGCTCACGTACGCAACGCTCTCTCACACTTCATACAACTCAAAGTCTGAATGTCAACCGCCTAGCAAACCCAAGCTTGCGCGTTTGGGGATAATTACATCGGCAAAACCTGGCCGGTTCGGCTGGTCTAGTCTCGATGCGACCCCGTCGTTCTCGAACGGCCTCGTAGTCGTTCGCCCTGTCGCTGTCGCTTGGTGCTGGCGCTGGCGCCGGTTCGCCTGTATGGTGTGTCATGTACATTGTGAGGGAAATCTATCTGCCCGCCCGTTTGAGCCAAACGGCAGCTAGTAGCCGGGCTCTCTCACAAGTTCAGTTCTACCGGCAGGCTCACCGTGACACCGCTTCGTTTACAGCGTGCTGACAGCTGCTCTACATTAAGTAGAGCGGATGTCCCGTGTTTCCCATTCGGATCCTCTGCCTTCACGGATTGATTACCTGTACAATGGGTGTGCTCTCACTCACTATGGATGAGGTGGTGGTGGTGATGGTGGTTTAGATGGGCGGGACACTGTGACAGGGCTTGAGGTGTACGGAGTAGTCTCCATTATCGATCAGTGGCTACCAGGTCATCATCGTCATCTATCCTCATCTCTAGTCTGGAGACTGGCGGGGGGGATGGAGGGCCTCGCGGGTCTGGGAAAGAGTGAAAGTCACTCAACCTGTGGTTGAAAGCTCTGTGAGTGGTGGGTTGGATGAACAAGGCCGACGGACCCAAGGTGCGGTGGGATGTATTCGTACGGTGCGGTGGCGGGTGGGATTTCGCGTCCGAAGTGAACTTGTCTTGGGAAGAAAAGAGCGCCCCCATAACCCCCCTTGGCAGCCGCGTAAGCCTGGGGCCCTGATTCATCCTGGTGCGGCCGGACGGCAAGGGAGGGGGGGGTCACAGAGTACTATGGTAAGTACCTAGCGAAACGGGGCCAGTTAATAAAGGAGAGGAGCCAGATACAGTGTAATTGCGGGATGAGGGACCGGGGAGGTGGTTCAATTGGAGGGAGGGCAGCAATTATCTGTGGCGGATCAATCATGAAGAAACCTGGATAAAGTGGAATGGAAGCATTTTTGGATACCTACGGAGTACACCCAGCTGGCGAGCAAGCTCCGGCTCCAGTGAGCTGAGGAGGACCTGAGCCTCTGAGGTGAGTCTGGGAGGATCACTGGATCAGTCCATCAAGCTCTAGAACACGTTTAATTGCGTTTAGGCGGCGGGTCCTGTTTTTTTTTTTGTCTCGAATCTGGTCTATTTGGATCAGTTGGAGAAATTCCACAGATGATTCCAGTTGTGCGGCCGCCGCTGGTGCATGATTGCATCTTGTCGCGTTGTTATCAATTCATGATCTAAAAAGCCTCAGATTCTAAAGCTACGTATTTCGAAGAGCTACAAGGCTTGCGCATGCACGAGCTTCTGAACAGACTTTGGAGACTGACTCTCCAAAGACTCCAGCTGTCATCCTTTCTTCATATCAAGAAAAAGCCAAAAAAAAAAAAAAAAAGCAGGCAAAAAAGTGGGGGTAAAGCGACTCCAGTACTGTGTGCTCGGTACGAACACTCAGGTATACGTTCCTAGCGCGTGGGTAAGAGAGGCATTATCACTGGCCGATCTCATTTAAATGCGGCTCTAGGCAGGGTCCAGCATTCAAGGAGAAAATCTAGCTTGATGAAATGGGAGCGAGCAAGCCGAAGATCGAGCAGCAGACTACCTACTGTGTAGCAATGATGTAGGGGGTGCCGGCGGAGAAGAGCAGTAATCTATCTGGATAATTCGTTTTCTGTCTGCGGCTGCTCACAGGTTTCGGCCCACTTAGAATCATCAGTAAGTGCCCTACCGTGTATCCTGTCATGGCACGGGAGGTTTATTTGGCAGGTCTCACTCTAGGTTTAGGTAAGGGAGATACGGTACCTAGGTAAGGTACTGCGAGTGAGTGTAAGGCAGGGCCCCGAACAGAAAGACGTGCGCGTGGCAGCAAGGCGATGCCTGTCTCATGTTGTTCTCGCTCTCTCTCGTCTGTGGCCCTGCAGCCGCCGCACGGAGGTGAGGAGGAGTGCGAAGCTGCATACAGTGTGTTCGGATAGTTGACTGATCAAGCTGGACGGAACACGCTCAGATGCAGTGTGCTGACAAGAAAGCGAGCCGATGAATCCGAAGTCTGGCGATGCCCAGCCTTTCCTTCTTATTTTGGGTTTGGTTCCCTCCCTTGGCTTTTGGGGAGGAGCGGAACGGTGGAAGCGCGGTGGAGAGGTGATGAGAAGGCGACAGCAAATAGGGGAGAGCCACAGAGCCAAGCCACGCAGTGCTGCAGGCAAGCAAAGGAGACACACAAAAAATAAACCACTGAGCGGGAAGCAGCCTTCAACGACACTGGATGCGACTGGCTGAGGAGAGATGCAGGGCGGGAAATGACGACAAGAAGCAAAGGTCAACAAAGTACCCTATGATTGAGCCAAGCATGGCACCAGCTCCAGCACAAGCAGCATGTCGAACCAAGACACTGGGGCTCATGACAGCAACTGCAGCAATGAAGTGGAGGAGAATTGTGGCTGCGCCGTGGGAGTGGGAAGGGGGAACGGACGGGATGCGGTGGAGACGGTGTGACCTGGCGGCGGGAACACTTCCAGTTCGATGTAGAAAAGTACGTATCTGGGACATTATGTCATCTTTTCTATTTCCTTTCACCTCGTGCTCGCAACACCGCAGATTGACGTCGCCCCGCGTACCTCGGCACGCAATCCGAATCTTATCTCGTTTCTTGCGCCAGGTAGATTTACACAATGAAACCGTCGTGGAGATACAAGTGCCGCTCGCAATTTACAGCGTCTATTCATCAATGTCTACGAAGTATTCAGGACCAAGTATCCATCCACGAGGCGGCGCACAATCGTGCTATGTACCGACCGACAGGTGAGAAACAGAGGCACAGAGAGAAAAGTGAAAGCAGAGCAACAATACTCCAATACTCCAAGACTCTCCAAGCAATAAGGGAGCACAACGGACGAATCGACGAGGGCGGTGGCGTCTGCAACGGTCGGTAGCCCATCTCAGACAACCTGGCAATTCAGCCACTTAGCAGCGGCCTCTCTTGGCGGGAGCGGTGTTACACAGTTGTGGTGCTAAAACTGGTCTTTTTTGTCACCAACGGCTCTTCCGGGACAGCCACAATCAACGACGGCAGTCAGGGACTCAGGGACAGTGCGCCCTCCCTTTCGCGGCTTGCCCCAAGTGCCCAACTCCATGGAAAAGTCTCAAATTCTTGGGCAACATGTTGCTTGCTCCCTGTCCGCTGCCGTGCGTAATAAGGCAAGCGAACGATGTAAGGTAGGAAAATAAAGCAATGCGCCAAGCAAAGGCCACCAGGGACGAGGGTTGTCTGTTACTCTGTCTGAGTCTTGACTCTAACAAGAGCAGTACTCCGTACGACTTTGGGAAACTTCTGTGCGTGTTTGCAGGTAGCACGAACAGCTGCACACTGCTGAGCTAAGGTCGTCAGTCAGTCAATCAGTCAGTTGATTGCCGCCATGCTGCTGCAGACAAGACAAGACAAGACAGGGCCAGGCTGCAGCACGGCTAAGGTCTCAACCGTCACCGATGCGGCACCGATGCGGCGATACCAAGCATCCAAGCCGGACGACACGGCAAGCTTGATGTCTTGGGTCATCACCCACTTCTCTCCCACTGGTGACTGAACCACCAACATCAGACCGTCACCGTCAGCCCGGCCCTGGGCTAGCCAATGCCATCCGGCGCTTGTCAGCGCCCCCCCTCCGTGCCTCCCAATGGCGGCATGGCTTGATATTCCGATGGTCCCAAGATCCTTGGACTGGACCCAGTAGGCTATTTCCTACACGCGTACTGGCGTACCGGCGTACTTCGTACGGAGCACAGAACAATGACAAGCCCAGCCCCAGCCCATGCCATGCGACGGCCACCGCAGCACCGCCAGAATGTCTGGACGGGACGGCAACTGTGAGACGCCTGTGTGCGTGTCCCTCTCCTCGCATCGCCCAGGACGCGAGGGACTCCCTCCTGTCTATCAACTCTTCAAGACATGCGTACCATGAGAATGAGATTGACGTGGCGGTCAAGCTGATGATAAGGCATCCGACCTGAACCAAATACCTACCTAGCACTATTTACTTTTGTTGAAAGGCGGACGGTGGCCTCTCCCTCTCCGCCAGTCCCGGCGTCCCGCTACGCCACGCTGCACATTCCCCCCTCTCCCCCTAATTGCCGTCCGAGGAAGGTACCGTTCCTCGCACCTGCAAAAGTAAGAACCTAGGTAGTGCCTCCTTCCGCAACTCACCTGGGGCTGCGTGGCTTGCCGCTCACCCATCCCTTCCTTCCTGCCATGCGCTGAAGAAATGGATCATCATTTGGGACACCGCACCGCCGCAGCAAAACAACCTAATAATCCAATATCCGTACGGATACTTTGATACTTGGTCAACAACCACCAAAAAAAAAGTACCTTGGTCTTAGCTCAATCTTGGCCCCTCCAAGTCGTCGTCACTCCGGGCCCGTCCTTCCTTCTTCCCTAATTCTCCCTTTTATTCCGTCCTGTATTATTATTCTTCTTTTTTGACCTCCCCCCTTCGAGACTTCCGCCCGGCCAATCCAATCTTGGGCGAATCATCCTGTGCAGTTGGTCCACATAGCCAGACACTGCTTCCAATTTCCTTTCCGCCGCTTCTTCCCCGGACTCTGCAGGACTATCGACGCGCTCTCGGAGTCTAGTCCACTGTCCCAAGGATCAAGAGGTACCTGAACTGGAATTCACCACCTCAACCTCAGTGCGGCTCAAGTCACAGCTGTATCAGTCGACTGCGCGTGTCTCTCTCTCTCTCGCGTCGACGCCTGACCACCCACACGTCAGTCTTTACCGAGAAGAGCAGCCCCCCCCCCCCCCCACAAGACAAAAGTAGACGATACCGAGACCAAGGGGTTCGACCACGAGGGTGGGAAGAAAGGAGCATTCCGGCGGCAGCGGGCGTCTCTTGTTCCTCTGACCTAACCTGACAGCTCTTGGGAATACTGATTTTGGCACTTGGCCTTGGCAATTCCTGACCCTCAACCCAGGAGAAAAAAAAACTCCCCGCCCATCTCCATCCGCCATCTGCCACCTAGCATTTCTTGCCACAGCCGACCTCTTCCACTCATTTCTTCCCCTTCCTTTTATCCTCCAGCCCCTTAACAACGACGACGATCCTCGAGTCCTGAGAGTGTGCATATTCTTCTCTACTTTCCTTCCTTACCCTCGTTACTGCCGGCCCTTAGGTGTTCTTTTGGTTCGTTACCTACTTTCTAATACCCCAAATTGCACTTTCGACCTTTTCTCTCGTGGATATCGCCTCGTGTCGCCGTCGCCAACCAACATTGCACTGCACTAGCTTGCCTGCCCGCCTGTCAACCCCCCCTCCCCCCCAAAATCGCCCAACCTGGATCTCAAGCCTATCCGGCAGCTAAATGAAACCAGAGTCGCACCCATGTTGATGGCTCTGAAAGGCCGCAGACTCGTTCTGCTGGCCGCCTTCGTCATCGTTTCGGCGCTTCTCATCTTCTCACAGTCTCTCTACCCGGAGAACCTGAGCTGGGTAAGCTTCTTTCCTTTTTTTTTTTTTTTTTTTTTTTTTCCCGTCGTTACTTCAAACTTCTTGTCGTTTTTTGATCGCCGTCGCAAGTCCCCCGTCTACCGGGCAGTTTTTCCCCCAGGAGAGGAAGAATGCGGCCCACGTGCCGACTTGGGCTGAAACTTCGACCGAACTCCTCGATGCGGGACTCTGAGACACCCGTTGTAGCTGTTTGCGCTTGACATTGAACTGACATTGGCTTCCTCCCACAGTCCGACATCTCAGCTTCTCTCCCCACCGGAAGTAAATCCTCCGCGCCATCCAGCAAGGGGGCCAAACCCGCCCGCGCAGGCACCGGCCGTTTCCACTTCCTGATCGCCGCCAGCGCCCCGAACTTGCAGTTCTGCCGCGCCCTCGTTTCGTCCACCGTCAACCGCTTCGGCGCGCCAGTCGTTGCAGGATGGAACGGCACCGGCGAGAACGATGCTGCCCAATCCCACTTGGCCAAGATTCGCGTCGTCACCAAGTACCTCGAGGACCTGCCCGAATCCAGCAACGATGATCTCTTCATGATGATTGACGGCTACGATGTCCTTCTCCAGTTTGGCCCCGATGTCTTGATCGAGAGATACTTCAAGGCTGCGGCCAAGGAAGACGAGCGCATCATCCAGCAGCTGGGACCCGAAAGGGCCCAGAGTCTAGCCGGTCCCATGAGCCGACATATCTTCTTCGGCGCCGACAAGGTCTGCTGGCCCGTGGACTGGAGGCGCCCGGCTTGCTGGGCTGTTCCTCCGGTGCCCAACATGGATGGCCACGAGTTTGGCCCTCTTACGAACACTGGTGAAGACATGACCTTCAACCACCCCCGATGGCTCAACAGCGGTACCATCATGGGCCCGATCAAGGAGATCCGCGAGATGTTCCGAGCTACTCTCGACTTGATCAACGAAGTGTACAACCCCGAGTATGAATTCAGGGAAAGCGACCAGTTCTACATGAGCGACGTCTGGGGTCTGCAGGAACTCGAGAGAATTCAGATGCAAAAGGAGGAAAATCCCGAAGCCGCCGTCATGCTGCCTCCGGAAGACGGCTGGGTTCCTGAGTTGGAGCCCGCGTACAGCTACAACTTCCACATCGCCATGGACTATTGGAGCCTGATGTTCCAGACATGGGCTGGCTACGGCGAGTGGGTGGACTGGCGCAAATTTGACCGCCCCCTGTACTCGGTCGAAATCTCACAAAACTATCGTAACAGCTCTAGCTTTGTGCCTTGGAGCTTGCATATGCAGGCGGATGGTATGAAGTCGCTCAAGCGCATCTTCAACACAACTGAGGATGAGACCATGGGCGCGACGGTGAACGAGCTGATCCGCAAGTCCGAGTTTGGTGCCAACATTGTTACCAAGCAGACGTTCCCGCTGCTGCACGTCACCGGAGAGAAGGGAGCCTTGGACGTGTTCTGGCCTCGGATGTGGTTCTTCCCCTACGGCCGCTCGCTGATCCGTTCCGCCATCAACTGGTTCCAGCAGGAGGAACACTATTCGCCTGACCTGATTGACGGCCGAGTGTGGTATCCCGCACACCCATACCCCAAGAACATTCGCGAGAGCGATGGGGGTGCCTGGTCAGACACTGCTAACGACGACGGGACCGTGTATTGGCTGGGATTCGACCAGCTGTGCGCAGAGCACCACGGTATTTTGTTTGGAGAAGATTAAGTGAGGTTCTCCGTGAAGGGGACGGGAGGTTTTTCTCGCGCGTTACTTGGTTTGAGCATATTTGAGCACCTTGGGTTTTCGAGGTCTGGAAAATACAGTGCAGGTTCAACGGGAACCACCTGCATTCGATCCGCAGCACAGGAGCTGCTTGCAATCAGTACTGGAACAAGAGTAACCCGTACTACCCAAAAATGAAACGGCCGGCTTTGCGTGTTGCGCTCAGCATATCACAATGCAATACCCACAATGTTTGTGTGCCCTGTTTTTTCCTTCGCATATCGCAGCGCTGTCTGATATCGTGTTTGAGTACGTAAAGCATAGCGGCTAGGAAGTAATAGACAGGACAGACCGCCGTCAGAACGACGGGCGGCAAATTTCCAAGACAAACCCAACTTTGGATCAGCTGAAAGCCTGAATGTGTTGATGTTGGATCATCCGGTGACTGAAGGTGTCTAGAACATCAGACTTGGCTGTCTCGGGCTTGCTCCGACGAGGTGAAGTCGAGATTGACTTTCTTCTTCTCCCTGCTTCCGCCGCCGCCGTCGCTGCAGGGAACTCGTCACGTTCTATCGCGCCATTGTTCGGACTTGATGTAGGGCTGGGACTCGGGAGAGACTATTGAGCGGCAATGTTTCGCAGTAGCTGAAAGTATTTAGTACTAGATGGACTATACGGAGTAACCTAGTCTAGGGAGACTGGTGAAAAAGATGGGATGGCGCGAGCCTACTTTTCGATAATTAAGGGTTTTCGGGAGGGTTGGTTCCCTTGCAGCAATAGCTGACATCCTTATTTTTCCTTTCTTTCCGAATCAGGATGGTTTTGGGGTCACGTTCTTGGGGTGATTGGTTGGGGTCACGGCGATGGCGTTGTAGCTTTTTCAAATGGCGGCGGCGGCGGTCCGGAAGCTCGCCAAGGCGGCCCGGGTCGCGGCCAATTCAGCCTGGGGTAGGTACTTGGTCACGTCGGTCGGTCCATTGAAGTTGGGGAGTATGAAGGATTGAGTCTTTGGTGTGTTTCGTGGCTTGTGGTTTTGTGGTCTAAGGTGAGTATTGTGATGTGACGGTCAGGCTGCAATGCATCAAAGGGAGTCGTTGTTTTGAGACAAATTCTTGAGATGGGGATTGGGATGAGACTTGACTGAGTTAAGCTTGAGCTGCGCAGAAGAAAAGGAAAAGGAAAAGAGGCGAAAAGAAAGCCTCAAAATGTTGCATCACAAAAGGCGGGGGGGAAAAATGAACCTGACCCAGATGGATCAGTTCGTACTGCCCAGAGGCGGATTCGAACCGCCGTCAACACGGATCGCTGTATAGAAGAACCACAACGTATCATCCTAACCAACTAGACGATCTGGGCGAGTTGATGAAGGTGTTGGAGGGTGGAAGCGTCTGAGGTAAGCATCGTGGTGGGTTACGGGTGGGTTTTTGGTCTGCGTGGTAGTGGGGGAGAGAGGTGTGGTGGATAAGTCGATAGAATGGATCTGGATCGTGAGAATTCGGGGGCATTCTCGTATGGGAAAGTTTTTTGGAGGTTGAAAATTCCGGGAAAGGGAGACGGAAGAAATTCAGATGTGGATTGGGTGCTTGAGAGACGAGGTATTTGGTTGGGGGGAGTAAGACGGGAGTCATTCGAGGTTTGTGGATGTTCGGGCTGCAGAGTACAGTCAGACGGGATACGGGTTGTGGCGGAGGCTTTTTAGGGGGAGGTGTTTATTGAATGTTTGCGTGAGCATCTGCGCAGACGGTTATTTTCGGTGAGTTGGTTCTTCGAAAGACGGACAATTTCCCTTCTAGATTGACAAAGTGATTGGCAGAGTTTAGCTGATGTTGTTCGAGATTGTATGGTTCATCCCATGATTCGGCATGCCGGCCTCCCCGGAGTCTAATGCGGCTCCAAAGTCTGATCCGGCGCAGGGTCTCACGGACGGGGGTGTTTGCACTTGGGTATTGATGATCACGAGGTTCGTGAGGGTTGGTCTGGAAATCTGAGGTGAGATGCGGGACTGGGCGATCCCGATCGTAGGGCTGGGCTGGTTGGATGTTGATGCGTCTGGTCTTACAACTGATGGGTGCTTGACGTAGGTAGTCATTTTTGGCGGGGTATGCACGACGGCCTTCCCGTCAAGCTAAATGGTGAGTTGAGGACGGATAATGTGATACCTTTTAACTTTGATTCTGTCATTATTATCATCACTTCTTCAGGTAACAGAACCTCCTGCCCATCCCACGACATAAGTCTAGTCAAATGGTGCAACGGCGTGTTGTAAACTATCCAATTGCCTATATCTCGAATGCGTCAACAAGGCCAATAAAGTTCCGAAACCCTGTTGGCGCATTTCAAAGTGATACTGACTGAGCCGAGAGCCTCATAACTGTTGCCTTTTCTCGCTCGCCAATACTTTGCAGTCAATTGGTTCGCCTACCACGTAATCGCCTCTGATGAACTCCCCAGTCACCTGCCCCAAGAGGCAAGAGCAAGTCACTCCTCCCCTGTGCCGTCCTTTCCTTGCCAATGCCCAGGCGAGCGCCCCAATGGCTCAGCGAGACGCAGATGAGCGGCACTGCCCGCCTGCTCAATTCCATAACCTCTTTAGCAATTGAACAAGCTGACCTATTGCAGGCTGCTGAAATGACATTGGAAATTTCCTAAAATTGTCAATGGTCGAGGCTTTGTCATTGTCGAATATTGAAATGCGAGTGCAACCCCCTTTCTCAACTAATTGACGGTGGAATTGTTCCTCTACTACGTTAGGCTCACACTCGTTCCTTCAGCCATCCGCAGAGAGCAGGTGACTTGTATTGTAATCGAGGCTGAGCGCCTCCACCACCACCACCAGTGACTCCAAGACTTGTCCTTTTCATCTGAGTCTTCCGTGGAGAATGGTCAACGGATGCCTTTTCTCGAACTCTGTACAACCAATCCACAAGAAGCCACCGAAAATTGAGTCTTGAACGATGGGAAGGCGGTCCCCGCCAAGCGAGTCCTGCCCTGTGCGACTTGGACCATCCACCCCCACGATCCACCCAAATGATGACAAGAACACCACACTGCTCTTTCCCGCTTACATTGCCTACCTCATCAAGAGTAGGTACATTGGCCTAACACGACACAAGCCGCAAGGCGACCAATGAAGGCGGCAAGAACCCCCCCCCCCCCCTTGCCGCAAAGGTATCCTACAAACTCTTATTCTGGTGCCTGAAATGCTTCTTGCCCCGCCTCTCTTCAGAGATGCTGTGCCTCCCCAGGCTCTTGCTCAACAAAGGGCCTGAAGAGTCATTCCTCACCGCAACACCTGCCTGGTACTTCCCTATTACCTATTTTGTGCTCTCAGTGTCAGACTTCAGCCTCGTTCTTGGCTGTTTCCCTTCCCTCCCTCTCGCGCAAGTAAGCAGCTGCGGTGGGGAGAAGCGAGCGGTGCGGCAGAAGGGCGCGCATGCGCGCTTCCAGGTTCCTTCCTCTTGCTCTTGCAATGTGTTTCTCTCTCTGGAATGCCCGCATCTCACTCGCGAATGCCTCCCGTCAGCTCCTCATAGGGTAGCCTTACGGGTTTCTTAGCTCTGTTTCCTCATGCCTCTTCTGTGCCTCCTGTATGCCTTGTCCGGGGGCCTTTTGCTTCCCATCGTTCGCCCCTCTGTTGTTATAAAAGAAGGGAGCAGCCGCTTCCGCATCCTTGGAAGGTAAAGATTGCAAGTCCCACGATATCCACTCAGCGTTCAAAGAAACCCAGGCTCAACCAAGCACTCGGCAACTGATCCGGGAACCCCCTTTGACTTCTATTTCTCTCTTCTACTCTGATTCGACGTCCATCCCTTTGTTCACTGCCTCATCGCCGTCCGTTCTTCTGTTCCCATCGCATTTCTTTACCTATACCTAGACCCTACGAGATAACACCATTCTCCTCCGTCTTCTTGCCGACAGGTCACTGCCCATCATGGCCGCCCCAGCCGCTAACGTGAGCTACTCTCCAAAGAGACTGATCGTGTGCTGCGACGGCACCTGGATGAATTCGTATGTATTCGAGTCTGCCTAGCTTAGATATACCGATCTTGTTTGCTAATTGGGCCCCACAGAGAGAGTGCATACGTTAAGCCCACGCTCCTTAAGCCCAAGGGGTCGTTGCAGATCCCCTCAAATGTGACTCGCATCTCGAGGTGTTTTCGCCGAAGGTGCAGCGATGGCCGCATGCAGGTCATCGAGTACGAGTCTGGCGTCGGTACGGGCAGCAACACACTTGACACCCTTACTGGTGGTGCTTTCGGCCTCGGTCTTGGAGAAGTAGGTGTTAGATATCACGTCTGATTGAGGGTTTAGACAAGTACTAACATACATGACAGCGAGTTCGAAACATCTACAGCTTCCTTTGCGCCAACTACTGCGACGGCGACGAGATCATCCTCGTCGGTTTCTCTCGTGGCGCTTACATTGTCCGTTCCGTTGCCGGCATGATTTCCGATCTAGGACTCTTGACCCGCGAAGGTGTCGAGCACTTTTGGCCCATCTTCAAGGATATGGAGAACTGGAACAACCACCGCTACCGTGACGAGTTCCCAACGATGCCCTTTGACAACAAGCCCAAGGGTGATGGGGCAGCGGAGGCATACAGGGCCAAGCTGGAAAAGGTAAGTCGGACGTTCCTATGATGATGGATAATACAGAACGCTGACCTGGATAGCTCGGTATGACCCGTGTTAGGCAAAATGAGGGCCAAGGGGATATCATCAAGGTCAAAGCAGTTGGTAAGGAGCCCCGATTCCGGTGAATGTCTGCGACTAACAGCAAAAACAGCCGTCTGGGACACTGTTGGTAGCCTTGGCATCCCCCAAATCGCCTGGTTGAACAAGCTCGGTATCTACGCGTCCAACCGCGAGTTCAGATTCTGGGACACGAGCCTGTCTGACAGAGTCGAACACGCATTCCAGGCTCTGGCTCTCGACGAGACACGCTACTCCTTCCAGCCGGCTGTCTGGGAACGTCTTAAGGCTAACAGGCATACGACTGATCTTCGACAAGTCTGGTTCCCGGGAAACCACTCAAACTGCGGTGGCGGCTGGAACGATCAGGGAATTTCTAACATCACTCTTGCCTGTAAGTCTACGTCCTGTACGTGATGCCTCTGATCATGGACTAACATTGTATTCCAGGGATGATGGATCAGTTGGCATCCATTGGCGTCGAGTTTAACCACCTCGCACTCGAACGCTGTGTGCAGCAGTCCAAGTCGTTTTACCAAGCCCAAATCAAGAATAAGAGCATCCAGTGGGCAATGGAGCCTGTCTACGGCCAGAATCATCCCCTCCGGCCGTGGGGTCTCGGCTCCATTCAGAAGACATCGAACCTTCTCTACACTTTGGCCGGAAAGATTATTCGCTCGCCTGGTCTGTACAAACAAGTCAATGCTCACACGGATGCTCGAACCGCTACTTTCCTCACGGACACGAACGAGCGCATCCATTCATCGGTCCGTATCCGCCTGGCTTGCAAGGGTCTGGGTTTGAATGATCTTGGAGAGTGGGACAACCCGGCGATGAAGAAAAACTGGCGGCTTGTCTATTCGAATGCGGCTTACGAGGACCCGGTCCCGCACCATCCAGTCTGGGAGCCTGAGTCGGATCAGCAAGAGTGTATGAAGCATCCTGCCGACGCCGACTCCGATGGTCGCTGGGTCTGGGAGTACTGTGGACCAAAGGAGAATGCTCCGACCAGTCCCAATGGGAGGACCATGGTCGAGGAGCCCTTGGGGCCGTACGAGCGTCACCTGTTGAAGTTGACTGGCGGTGACCCCAATATTTACCAGTATGTGCAGTCGAAGGAGGGCACTAAGCGCGCTCTCGAAGTAGAGAGCAGCTAGTGCTAGGTGTTGGAGCACGATACGGCGCTGAGATACCCCCTTTACCTCGTAGCATAGCTTTGGCGTTTGGTTGTTTTTCGAAATATTGAAATAGATCAATAGATTGGCATTGTATTTTACATCTATGCTTGCCAGCTCACGCGAGCCTCCGTGAGATTTGTTCAGCCTCTAGGGTTAAGACTAAGTCCCCCAACACTTCTATATATGCATTTTCGGCACTGTAGTCTTACAGAAACTCCTTAGACCCTTATCCGATACAACTGCCACCTCCGACACCTGCTTCCGATCGTGAAGTCTTGGTGCTCGGGTGTCATGCGATGCTGACCAAGCCGCGGAAGGGGATCCCCACCCATTTGCAGCTACCAAGCGGCCGACGATCCGAAAACGAGCACGATGCGAGGTGCGAGAGTGGTCCATCCATGGCAGGCATGTTTCCTAAAGCGGTAATTTTACAATCATGGTTGAGAAAACAATGTCGGCAAGTATGTCACCGCACCAACTATGGCCGCTCTGATACTACTTTACCAGCTAGTCTCTCCTATCATTTCTGTCCTCGCCTCCTTCTGCCGATCGAAGGTTTCTTTTAGGACTCTTACTCCGCCGAGCTATGTGACGCTCATAATCTTGTACGTGTAGGGGTAGCATATAGTCTATTTGGGGGTGTTCATTGGAATAAGCTTATTGCCCAGCGTAGAGTCAAAATTTGGATGGCTCCAGTTCGTCATGCAACGTCAGGCTTGGATCGAGTCCTGCTACTAACTTCCCTCCCTTTCGTCGCAAAGCGAATAATCGGCAACATGCAATTTGATCAGAGAGCTTGGCTTGGCCGGCACGACCCTGGGTCATTTTGGTTACGGGAGCAGGGAAAGCAAGAAACTGGTCTTTCAAGTTTATTAGACAAAGTGGTACGATTGATCTAGTAAGGAGAGAAGACGCTAGAGATAAGTAGACTAACATGGTGACATTATCTCACGAGGTGGAGTCGGGCCAGGGCTGAGTCCCACTGGCTTGGTAAGTCTACCGCGCGCGTCGGCTTTTTGATTTTCCACCTTTATGGTGTAGACACTGCTTGTGACGATGATGCTTACCAAGTTTTGAAGTTTTCGCGATTCGCGTCTTGCTAGAACATGCGGATTTTGCGTCCTCTGACGGGCAGGCTTGGCTAGGAAATCTCAATTGTTCAGCAGAGGAGCGGCACGAAGAAGAGATGCGATGTGAAGATCAACACTGTTGACCGAGTCGTGGTCTTGTTGTACCTTAGAAGACAACATGTGTCCAAGAAATGCAGTTGATCCTCGACTTTGGTATACAGGGGATGTGATATCCCTTGCAGTATGACTTCCGATTAGAGCATCATCGTCCTCACCATCCTCAACTTTCATCCAGGACTCGGCTTCTACATACTTCACCCCTCACATCTGACTTCCACCAAACTCCCATACCATGATGATCGGCTCTACTCTGCTGGCCGCCACCAGCTTCGCCACCATGGCAGCAGCATACGACACAACCTTCGGCTTCAACGGCGCCCCCATAATCGAAAACCGAACCCTCGACGAGATCCACCAAGCCGCCCTCGCCGAGGGCGGCATCGTCACAGCCTGGCACGGAGGCGACGAGACCAACCAACAAGACGGCCTCAAAAGGGCCTTTGAGGACCGGTTCCCCGGCATGACGCTCAACATCACCGTCGACGTCTCCAAATTCCACGACGGCCACATCGACGGCCAGCTCGCCCTCGGCGCGGGCGCGCTGTACGTCGACACGGCGATCCTGCAGACCCTGCACGATTACCCCCGCTGGGACCTCGAGGGCGCGCTGTTGCACTACAAGCCTGTCCATTTCGAAAAGGTTCACCCTGCGTTCCGGGACGTTCGCGGGGCGTGGCATGGGGTTTCGATTTTTGCGTGGACGTTTATTTGGAATTCGGACTGGGAGGGGGATGGGCCTAGGGAGTTTGCGGATTTCTTGGAGCCTAGGTTTAAGGATAAGCTTGTTCTTACGTATCCCAACGACGACGATGCGGTGCTGTACGCGTTTGACCTGATGTAAGTAGATACCTTGCTGGTTGATTTCCAATCTAGAAGTTCTCTATCCACCTGAAGTATCACTGACACCAAACTCACCCCTTTAACAGCATGCAACAATTCGGCTACGAATGGTTCGAAAAGCTCCTCGCGCAGAACCCCCGCTGGGTCCGCGGCACCGGAACACCCGTCACCCTCCTCACCTCGCCCAACACCACCCTCTCCGCCACATTCACCGCGGGCGTCGGCCTCATCCCCACGGCGCCGCTGAACGTCTCCATCCCGAGCGAGGGCAGCTTCGTGACGTGGGCGCAAGGGGCGGCCATCTTTAAGGATACGCCGCACCCTGAGGGCGCGAAGCTGCTTCACAACTTTATGCTGAGCGACGAGTACCAGTCGACGACGGGGTCGTGGAGCGTGAGGAAGGATGTCGCGCCGCCGGCTGGGTATCCTGAGATTATGGATGTCAAGTCGACTAATCCGGTTGAGTTTGAGAGGTTTATGGGGGACCGGGTGCGTGTTGAGCAGTTGAAGTTGTTTTTTGAGGATAAGATTGGGACGGCGCAGGGGTTAAGTCCTCTGATTGATGACTTGTGAAGGTTTGAATTGGGGATCTCCTCAATGTGAGCTGTGAAATATAGACTGGGTACTAGATGGAGTTGAGAAGATGCGGCGGATGGAGTTGGAGTGAGGTATCATTGAGGCAGTGGTATCGATTTGATGTTGTTGTTGACTTTGTGGACATTGGCGAGGCTTAGAAGTTATCAGTAATCCAGGAAGGGACAAATTATTTTGATCAATGTAGAAGAATTGGCAGACAATGTATATACTCTGAAGGGTTTACATCTCCTCACAACATGGGCCCCTACGATGTGATCTTGTGACTCTGACCCTCTCGTCACGAGTCCAACGCAACCTCTTCTTGTTTGTTCTCAAGTCTTTCTTCTCATCGCTGGCTAGACTTTTTATTCATAGAAGCAAGTAAGACTCCTCGCGGAGTTCCGCTACCGAACCCGCAGGGACACCCTTGCCCTTACATGCTGCAGCCCGAAATAAGCGGGACAGGTCCTCCCGCATGGTTCATCACGTCGAGTCTAGCCACATCAAAGGATCAGATGCTGAATCAGCGCCCAATCGTGAGAATCCCCACGATGTCTCGTTCCTAGGGACAAGTTTTGAAAGGTGGACTTGTCTAATAGATTGTACCAAGACATTCCTGACTAAGAAGCCGGTCGGAATTCCATCATTCTAGGCATCAGCTTTTGTTTCAATGTCTTGTTACTCCTTAGAATGGAGATGATGTTGTTACAATGACATTTAGCTACCCCGAAACTTGAGAGTATATTGGTATAAAAGTCCAGCGTTTGAGCCGTTCTGGTATCATCCAACCGGCTCTTAGCCATTCATCTCTCCAAGCTGAAACAAACTTCCCACTACTTACCATCGGCCATTCCACCTCTCACAACAAACGATTACCAATAACACCCTACTCCTCCACCACCCAAGATGTACATCCCATCCACCCTCACGCTCCTCACAGCAGCAGCCCTCCAGCTCGCCACCCCAGTCTCGGCAAACTACGAGACCGGCAAAGCCGTGCAGATCAACTTCTACTCCAACTCGGGCTGCTCGGCCTACACCGGCGAGACGGCGGCGTGGTGGACCCGCTCCCCCCACGCGGGCGAGTACGTCAACGGCGGGAGCGCCGGCGACTGCTTCTCGCTCGGCATGCCGGGCGCCAGCGGGAGCCTCAACGTGGCCAACGTGTGGCGGGGCAACGGGGCCAAGACGGGCGGCAGCTGCGACTTGTATGATGGGTACAACTGCGGCGGCGTCAAGGGCGGCATTGGGTTCGATAAGAACTCGGGGTCGGGAGGTTGTGTTGCTTCGAGGAGCTCGAGTGGATTGTTGTGGAAGAGTGCTCGGTGTGGTGCCGCCTAAGTGTGGGAGGGACGAGAAGGGTACCTAGAGGGCGCTGGGTTTGGGTTAGACTTCATCATATGTTGGGATTAACTTAAGTCATTCACTCAGTCGCTGGTGATGATGTTTCGTGGGTTTTTCGCAACCTTATGCTGACGAATCCACGCTTTTCCGGCGTACCAATCACGGATAATTCATGGTAAGTGCAGTCTTTAGAAGACGTAGATATTAGAACCATGAAAGCCGAGTACCTTTTGAAGCCATGCCTGTCCCTACGAAAACAAGTTCCAGCATTCCAGAAATGTACGACTTACACCTGTTGAGAAGACTATTACCCATGAGAGACCCGTCCCCTTATCGCTTCGCCGGGACGATGCCCTCCCTTCCATCAACATCCGTCCACTCCTGAAGCGCATCAAACAGTCTCCCCCATTTCCCACCAGACCACTCATTCCTCAACGCCTCCCACTCAGGCAAACACCCTCTCATGAACTGCAACCAACCGCCGACAATAAAGTCCGCATACATCGGGCTCTCTCGCCCATCAATAAAGGGACCTGCTCCCCCAGCAGGGAAACAGTGACGGAGCTTAGCCTCCAGATTCGTCTCGAAATCCTCCAGCATCTTCTTCCTGACGTCCGAACCGGGTGGAATCTCAAGGTCCTCCCACTTCTTCCCCGGGAACCGATCCAGGAACGACTTCCTGTCGGCCTCGACGGTGCGCGGGTCGAGGGACATGTAGAAGCTCCCGAGCGGGGCGCCGTACTGGCTAAAGACCTGGTCTACAAAGGCGTTGAAGACGCGGTGCAGGGCTACCGTGCCACCGTCCGCTCCGCCCTGGAAGAGCTGGTCTTTCTTGCCGGAGAGGTAGGTCTTTTGCAGGTGCAGAGCGATGTCGAACGAGTCGCCCACGACGACGTCCTTGTCTCCTGAGGCAGAGGCGAGCGGGTCACGGATGATGGGCAGGGTGGGGAAGTCGGTGCCGTCGTCGTGTTTGCGGTTGGCGGAGAGCTGGAGCGAGTTGCGCGTCTCGGCGACGGCGTTGAGGGGGACCCAGGTTGTGCGGTAGGGGACTTTGGCGAAGTTGAGTGCGAATCTGCAGGGTGTTAGTTTTGGTTCCGCAAGGGGTTTTTTCTTTTCGTCTTCCTCCTGGACGGAGGTATGAGGGATCATCACGTACCGCGTCTTCCACGGATTCGGCGCCGTTGGGTAGACCTTGGGGTCGAGGATGATGTCGTAGAACGTAATGGTGGTTTTGTCAGAGGCGTCCATGGTGGGCGGAACTGAAGTGGAATGCTGATTGTCGGACTGTATCGATGTGGCGTTCATGTGATTCTCGGTGCAGGAAACTGGGCAATTGGGACAGTCAGATGTTGAAAGGAACGAGGAACCAATGGCTATTTCAACTTTTCACGATGAGATCAGTTTCACAATACGAACGTTGGAATGCTCTCCTGCCACGATGCAGACGAACCACGGGTGATCTGCCCCTCGAATGACATAGCGGCGATGATTCATATGCTATACAGGCCCTAGCGGCCGCGACGGCGTGCCCCGATAGGCTGCCCCCCGCTCGCAGCTGTGTACTACGTAAGACAAAACAACGCCACGGCCCGCAGAGTGGGGCGGTGTACCCGGAGATCGGTTGAGCGAGCTAATGCCGTAAGACGGAGCCGAATTATGGAGTCTGCCGGTGATTTTCCCCTGAAGCAAGTCAGATCCCACATCCTTCCCGGAGCTGAGGTGATTACTGATCTGGTAAATGCATGTAACAACTACCGGCTTTTGCTCGAATTGGCAATTAAGCAGTCTGACACTGTAACTGCCTCATTGACTCGGCAGTACCGTGCACGATGGCACGTGTGTTCGTATTCTCCAGAGAGTGAAATGGCCCAGTCCGCGTCGGGTTAGCGAGGACATGTAATGTTCGGTGAAGAGCTCGGTGAAGGATTCAAGAGTTGAAGATTAACTAAGCAGGATTAATAGATCACTAATCATAAGGTGAGGACACGCCCTATTATTAGCTCGGTGAAGCACGCACAAAAGTGCACCTTACTCTTGGGTGATCAAGGCAGATGTGATGCCCATCATATGTACCAATTGTCCTTTGATTCGTCTACGAGAGCTGAGCGCGGAATCAACATCTTCCAGAATCATGGCGGTGGGATACCGAGGGACACGAGCGGCCTATGTTGCCTCCCTAGACGTTGGCATAGGAAATGACTATTGACCCCCCCCCACGGGAGCATCATTCGCCTTCAAGCCATCATTATCAACAATTCCCAGACTTGCGCCTGCCCCGACAAGCAATTCGAAAGCCTCCTCCCGGCCGTTATGGGCTGCGATGTGCAGAGCCGTCCAACCATGGAACCCTCTCCGATCCAGCCGCGCACCGCCCCGTATCAACTCCGTGATAGCTTCGAGTTGGCCGTACCTCGTCGCTATCATGAGAGGTGTCCATCCGAGACGGCTTTCCACGTCCGGGTTGGCGGATCCCGCCAACAAGATCCGGATGCATCCCCTCCCGCAGCCACGGCGGGCCGCGATGTGCAGAGCCGCTTCGCCCTGCGCGTCGAGAGGTACGCCGAGCTTGAGAAGAGAGTCGAGCATGTCATGTAAGCAGCGTTTTGTCAGCCGGTGAGGGTAGGACGGTGGTTCGATTGCCTTTGGAGACTCCCGGAGCTCTGACGCGATGAGCTTGAGGATGGGTGGGAGACCGAACGCTGCGTACGTGCGGCTTACAAGGCGCAGTTTGCAGAGGTCGTGCTTTCTTAGATGCTAGGTTGTGTTAGTTGGTTTGGTTTCATGGATCACTCATCTTGGAGGGTTGGTCTTGACTTTTAGTATATCGTGAAGAGTCTCTGGCGGAAGGCCGTCAAGTGTGAGCACGCCCATCTCTAACGGCTATCGTGAAAGCCTTTCGCTTCCGCTTTGTTGATAGCTGCGCTCGTTACATGATGGGTATTCAGTGCATATAAGTATCTGTGCTCGGTGCTATATGCCAATCTTCTCCATGATTGATAATCATCAGACTTTGCGCTATGAAAAGACAAACTTGCAGCGCTATATTTTGAGGACATATAGTTTGACCCGTCAACTCAAGTCTGGCCTGGCCAGCTTTCGGCAATCTACCGAATGGAATTGGGCCGGTTCATGGTCCGGTGTTGGTATAAAACCGTCAAATCTACCGCCAAACGCACACTTCGCAAGGCACCAACTGATCTACTACGACTTAGGTCAGGGACGCGCGATTATGTCTAAGGCCCATCAGACGATTGGGAATACAATTTTCAGCGAGTAAGTTCACTCACCGGTGTCATGACTGGAAACTTACCACGCAACCTAGGTGTCTCGGGGAGCCCCCCCCCGGCTTTCGGAGGCAGTGGCGGTAGCGCTCGGCCGGCCGCACTGATGCGGCTCCTAACCCCAGCTTGGGTAGCATTGAGACCGCTGACCGACAAGTGTGCGAGGAAAATCAATTGGCCAATCAGACCAGTGGAATGGGACGAAGCTCCAGCTCCATTCTTCAAGGTCAACGCTTCGCTTTAGTGATGAAATTGAGCGCACCTGACTTACTTCAATCTCCAGGCTCTTGAGCAGTCGACCTGAGCATTTTTAAGGTCTTGTTTGGCGTGCTTCCTGTTGGGCAGCGATTATCAGGTAGGGGGTCACTGGGATGTATTGATGAGTATGAAGAACGAGTGGCTATGGGAATATCCCGACTATCTATATAGTGAGTAGAAGACCCTTTATACTGGCATATCCTTGGCAAACTTAGTCATGCTTGTATAAGACCATATTATCTCATAGGCATAGTGTGACAATCGTTATAACGAGTGTACTGGGATGGGCCTGACACACCCCCCTAGGTTCAAGTCTTTGCTTGAAGCTATTCACACTTCTTCCTGGCCCAGCAGGTGTATGATGTTAACAAGACGAAGTTGACGAACGAATTCTCGGTGTTTTTATATGTTCAGTAGCTTGGTTAGACTATTAGCGATAGTGCTATTAGTATCCATCCACTTGAAAGTGATGTCTCCTTTCCGATAGACTTGGCGAGCCCATAAATTCTATATATCGATGTATTTTAGCCTAGATATTCTATAAGGCTTTTTATCTATTAGAAGACAAAGAGTTTGACTATTATCGTAGTAAATAATAAGGAAACCGTCTAGTTGAATCTAGAGATTCTCTATTAACCTTATAGTTACTATATACACTCAAGCCGGGATCTGCGTAGCTAGGTCTAAGTGCGCCAACTGTTATGGGCCTTTTCCAGCAAACCACGCAGACTGCCCAGCTAGGCCTCTACTGGTTAATGGAAACCTTACTATCCCAACCCGGAAGGAACTGCGAGGAATCCGGAAGGCTGGAGAGAAGGCGTCTGAAGACCTCCTAGCCAGCCAGGCTTGCTCCGTGGGCAGCAACCAGCAAACTGAGGCTGGACCAAGCGCTACACATGGGCAACAGCCGATATCTAAGCGCCCTCGACCCCTCACACCCACACAAGACTCAATTGTTGTAGCAGATACCGCTAGCGTAGTTGGAAGCAGCATTATGGTTGAGGATGAGGTTGAAGACTCTGAAGCCCTCCCCCTAACCAACCGCCCTATCCGCCCGCTCCCGAGCAGCAGCAGGAGCCAGAGGGTAGTACAGAAGCCTGATTACAATGTTATTAATGCCTACACCCACCTCGACCTCGACTCGGAACAGTATGCTCAGACCAACTGCCCCACGGGTACTACGGGTAGCCCAGTGTAACGTGGGGAAGAAAAGCCCAGCTCATACAGCTCTCCTAGAGCTCTGCTGGGAAGATCAAATTGATATAGTACTAATCCAGGAACCCTGGATAGGCTATAGAGATAAAATGCAGATTAACACACACCCAGGCTTTAACTCCTATATCCCAGTTGACTTCTGGAACAACAGAGATACAAGACCTAGGGTTATGACCTATATACGCAAGAGTCTAAGACTTCAAATACAGCAACAAAGGCCTACCCAAACGAGAGATATCTTATGGGTTAAGGCTGGCAACTTCACTATTATCAACGTATATAGGCCGCCAGGTGAGCCGACAAACCACACGACTACTGCTCTCCTAGGATACTATCCGCCAGAAAGAGCCCTTATAGCCGGGGACTTTAACGCCCGCCACCCTACCTGGGAACCAGGCTCCCCTAGCCGGAATCGGGGGGACGATATTGCAGAGTGGGCTGAAGGCTACGATCTTTCGTTTATTGGGGAGGTTGGGGTCCCTACCCATACTCATAGGCATACCCTCGACCTAAAATTCTCAAATATCCCCTTTGCTGAGGCTTATATTAGCCCACACCTGCACCCAGGGGCTGACCACCAAGCTATCACAACAACTATCCCTATAGGCAAGGCCCAGGAACAGAAACGCCATACTGGCCACCTCTCAGTCCCAGAGTCAGCCCTACCCCGACTTATCGACCTAGTAAGAGCTGGATCCTCAGCCTTACCTACCCTAGGGGAAGTACCTAGTCCAGCAGAGCTGGACACTCTAGCTACCCAACTAGTCAGCCTCTTCTATACAGCTATTCAAGCTGTAGGTAAGAGACGGACAAATCAGGGTAGGGGAGCCCCCTGGTGGACAGAAGAGTGTGCAGAAGCCCACCGAGCTGCTATCGAGGCTAGGCGCCAGCAGGCCCAGGAACCTGGGCTAGTTATACCTCCCCCCATCCTAGAGGAGCAAAAGATCTTCTTAACAACTGTTAGAAGGGCAAAACGCGCTTACTGGACTACTAAGATCGAAGGGGCTAAGACAGACCAAGACCTATATAAGATAGTAGGCTGGCGGAAGTCTAGCTTAGCTGTTAAAGGCCCGCCCCTTATAGTAGAAGGTCAGATATTCGACAACAGCTACGATAAAGCCCAGGCCCTACGAAAGGCCTTACTAGAGAGATTCAACGCTACAGACGACTTACCTGGGGATCCTTTTACTATCCCAGTAGTTGCACAGCGTCTAATGCCCTGGCAGGATGTGGTTAGCATGGAAGAAGTACGCCATGCTACTCTGACAAAGACTACAACCCCTGGGATTGACGGGATTACTACAAATTTACTACAGCAGACCTGGGAATCAGTAGCTAGGCCTATACAGCAGCTCTTCCAGGCCTGTATTCAAGTAGGCCACTTCCCCAGACCGTTCCGCAAAGCAGAAGTTGTCATGACCCAGAAGCCAGGGAAAACAGACTTCTCGAAGACTGGGTCTTGGCGACCGATATCCCTTTTATCCTGCTTGGGTA